TTGAAGCACCTGGAAAACTGGTGGCACCCAAGAATGTGAAATGCTTAGTTATCCCTGTGCAAACTCCTAAAGAGCTGGCGGCGGTGACAGCAATTAGGAATTTGGTTTAAAAAAGAAACAAACACCCCTCTAACAATTAATCCTTGCAATATTGTGCACATATGCCATTCCAAAACAGAACAATCCCACAACAGATAAGCCAGAAAGGCGGGGGTGAGGTGGGAATCTGAAATGCAAACGAAGCCAAGTAGAGTACAAGGACACAATGTAACAGTTGTGTAGTTGTGCAAGACTACTGTCTATGCACAGATTCTATTGGAAGGTGAATTCAATATGCCTTTGAAAGGTTTGCAGTCCAGAAAAAGTGACAGTGTTCTTGCATCTCATGATAAAGCTCAGACTCTGGGGTCCCCTTAGGCAGCATCTGCAGACATCTCACTCAGTGCCCATGAGGTCCTCCCTCCCTCCTTTATTAAGAAGTTTTTAATCTGGTGGCCAAAGCATGCTACAAAGCATAGTGCCAGCCTCCAGCCGCCTGCCCCCTGAATTTCCACAGCATGTTTCTGGGTCCCAAGCACCCAAACTGCCTGGCAAAGCATTTTGTTTTCAAAGACTCCTTCATTACTGCTGCCTGGCAAACATGGGTGTGTGAGTGGGTGTAATGGTGGAGTGGCCAGGGAGTTGGGGGACAGGAAAGGGGGGGGGGAAACAACCCAATGAGGTGGGTGTGGAAAGAAAGCAAAGAGAATGGGACTTTCAGGTGTGGCGAGTGGGGGGGTTGTGTGTGTTTGCAGTCTAGAGAGTGTGTAGGGGGGGGGGGAATTGATTTGTGGATAATCATCCTATTAATGGGAAGCCAAGGGAGTGCTTCTGTGCCTGGGGGCTGTCCTGACCCTATCTTTGCTTCATAGTGATTTCTTGGCAAGTTACTTGTCTTTTACCCTCACTAGATTGCTTTCTGTGGAAACTGTTTTCCAACTGACCATGCCCATCACAGCCACCCTTTGGTGAATGGTCATACCCCCCCCCATGGCAGCTGCTTTGTGCCAGCACACACGCTTCAAAATCCCAACTGTGCCCATGGGCTCAAAAAGGTTAGGGAGCACTGCTCATACCTCATTTCTCCATTTTAGACTCTAGAGGCGGCAGCATTTCTTGTCTTTAATCTTTGAGCCTGCAAACACATAATAAATAGGCCATTGTCATAGGTGATGTTTTTTGCATCTTGGTTTTTGAATTTCCCTTGTCATTCCGATGCAATACATACATTCACCAGAACCTACATTTGATTTTAAAATGACTTTCTTCCATTTTCTAGCCAGTGGTTAAAATCATTCCCATTTGCACACAAACAGTGAAAGAACGGCTTACAGGCAAGTTTAGGGTCTTAGGTGCAGATTGTCCATAACATCTCCCTTTTTCCTTTTTTTCGCTAAAGTGCAGCAGCTTCCTCCTTGAGGTAAACCTTATCCTAACTGCGCAACATCTATTTTTGCCTCGTTATAAATTCAAAGAAGAGATCCATTTGAGAAGAATTATTGCTCCCTCTCTTTGAAATGCTACTTATTCCAATAAAAAAGGCAGTTGCACAAAGGGTGACTGATGGGAGTAGCCTATAGGCGAAGAGGCTCATGTCTCCTTTGCGGCTTATTCTTTCAACTTATTCCTGTCCTCTCACACCAATGCTGCTGGACGGCAGTTCTGGGGCGTTTTTTCCCCTTTCCAGTTAATGCGAAGTCATAATAAAGAACGCCCTCTGAACATGTGCAGAGTGCATTCCTTTCCTTTCAGTCACAACTCGCTCCTATTCACCCGATATGAGAGTTAGGGGCACAGCGTCAGGGACAAACCCCAGCACTCTTCCTTTTAGAGACGGACCTACCCCAGTTCACGGGGCGCCCGCGTGGGTGGGTGCCAGGGCGCGGCGCGTTTGTCTCGAGCTGCGTGGCGTTTCCCGCGTTTCCCCCCAACTTCGCTCCCGCAGGCCCGTCAGTCCACGTGCCGCAGGAGCCCGCAGGGCGGCTCCCTCCGGCGGCCCCGCGGCCAGCTCGGCCTCCCGGGGGAGTGATAAGCACCGCAGGAGTTACTGCCGCCTGACACTTTAATGAGGCGGCGTCCTAGCCGACATTAATATTGCGAGGCCTGCCATTCCCCGGAGGCGTTTTGAGGGGGAAGCAACCCCGCGCCAGGAAAATCAAATAAATAAATCTCGCCTAAACGCCGGCGAGACCGCGGGAGCGCGCGGGGCACTCACCTGATTTCCCCGGTGAGCCAGCACCGGCAATCAGCGCCGTGCTAAACGGAGGCGGCGGGTGATTTATCCCAGCTGCTCTGAGGCTCAGATTGGGGCCGCGGCCGGGTGATGCATGGAGCGGGAGCGCAGGCGGGGGGGGGGGCAGCTCGGGAGGCCACCACTCAATCCCAAATTAATTTGAATATTTTGCCCCATCAAATCTATTTAGGGCCGCGTGTGGCCCACGTCCAAGGAAGATTGATGACTGTTCCGGGCTGGGGGCTTTGATTGCATATGGCACGATGCCCGGCTGGCGCTGGGCCTCAGGCAAGCTGATTCCCCCGGGGAGAGGAGGAAGGAGCAGCAGCCGAGGCGGAAACCCGACGGGCAAGCGGGAACCTTTGCAGTACAAGGGTCTTAGGTTTTAACCCTGAAAGTAAGCCCTGCTGACCTCAATGGGGTATATCTCTGAGTTGACGTGTACAAGATTGCCCTGTGAGGCTGCAGCCCTACGCGGGGTGAAGATAGCACAGGCTGTAGTCAGTGTGCAAACAGTGGGACATTTTTCAAAGTATGGGGTGGCTAATGTGGAAAAAGAGAGGGTTGGGAAGGGGTAGGACTCCCAAGTTCCACTCCTGCAGCCTTGGAGCACAGGCAGGGAACTTTTTTTCTTTTCAACTCCAGGGCCACAGTTCCTTCTTTTCACAAGCACAGTGCATATACACACTCTCGCCTTGTAAACTCCTCTCCAGCCTCCATTCAAGAGGCATTCGCAGAGTTCAATGACATATTCCAGGGTGTAAAGCAGGGCCAGTGAGGAATGCCACCTGCGGAGAGGGCTGAGGGCCAGACCTTTGGCCCTTGAGCCTGCGCATGTATCCTAGGCTTGAGGCACAGCAAGGTAATTCCACCTGCCCACTGTGTTTCAAATCACATTCGCACATTGTAGGCAGCACTACAGCTCAATGTGTTTCCATGTCGCCCACTGCCTGTCCACACTAGTGGGAAGGGAGGGGTATGGATGTCTTTGTATGGCTTACCTTTTCAAATGGGATCAAAACTGGGGTTTTTTTGGGGGGGGTGAATCAAAACTCTATTTCTCAAGAAATTAGATATGAATTGTGGCTAATATTGTGTGTACATGGCTTCACAGTGGAGCGCTGAATGCAGAGCAAATGGGAGTGTGTACACAGTCTGATAAGGAAGGGAACTAAGCTAATGTTTCTTTAGACCTCACTTGCTGTTCGCCAGAATAGAGTTGTCATTTTCTCCAACTCTACACCCCAGGGCAAGATTCATCTATTTTAAACAGCTGAATGATATTCAGAGGGTCAGCAGGTTTTTCTCTTTTCTCTGATAATCTTTACTTGTTGAATTTTTGTCTGTTGTGTTGCTGTTAATTTAGCACAGGAGCCCTGCCAGAAAAAATAAAGACAGCACCTTAGAAAACAATCAAGAGGGCATACCAGTTCCAGATTATGGAAACAGGGACCACATGAAGAAGCAAGGACTTGAGCTGAACTAAATTAATAAATGAATTTTTTTTTGTATCATTGTGGACAAGACAGATGCAGAATCCCATGATCATGTTGAAAGCTTATTTTTCACCCCAATGTCCTTGTCAGACCAAACGAGAGATTGAGGCGGCAGTCCTTTTAAGAACGTTGTCACAGATTCTGGTGCTAAATTTGCATGTTGCCATGCACAAAAAATAGCATTTGGGTCTTGGGGAGGTACCCAGATGACCCTTTCATCACCTTCATATTCGCTATGGGTTCTGTCTCCCTCTCTCTCTCCCTCTTTCCACACACACACACAGAGAGAGAGAGAGAGAGAGAGAGAGAGAAACAAACACAGAAGCACAAATTAAAAAGTCACAATGAATGGAAAGCACCCCTTGAAGAGCCTGTACGAATCTGGCTCCTGGGTCAGATTTGACAGTGCAATTAATGCCACCGGCAGGCCTTTGGATGCATGCAGACATATAAAAGACATTTATGATATTTAAAACCGAGGTATCACTAAAGACGTGAGAATAGGGAAGAAGAGGACTCTTTCTTGCTCTCTAGGTGCTGTCATACTCAAGGCTGTCACTGGCAGTGGCTGCTGCCACTGACTGCCTCCCTGTTCCTAGAATCCACCCCCCCCAAGCATGGGGAAGCCCTTCTTTCTTTCTTTCTTTCTTTCTTCCTCCCACCTACATGTTACTGCCACATTTATCACCAGGTGTCTGATGCTCATGGAGCGCGAATTTCCCAGTCACAACTAATTCCTGGGTCTCACACTCCATGGGCCAGCTCTGCAGTGTGTGTGTGTGTGTGTGTGTGTGTGTGTGTATAATTACAAGCAGAGCTGCACAAGCCACCTATTATTAACCCTTCTGGTGCTTGAAATGAGGAAAAGGCACTGAAGCTCCCAGAAGACAGGGCCCCACCCTGCAACCAAATTAATTGGCACCATATTTCCAGGTAGCAACTGAGTTTGCAGGCTAGAATGGACTCAGGGTTTCTGCTGCAGCTTGTGCCTCCTAAGGGTTTAGAGTTGTGTCCTGGATGTAATGAAAGGTTGTAGATTAACTATAAGCTTCACACTTTCTAAGCATAGAGAAATCTCACACCAATCACCTTGTTTGTTCAGACAAAAAGGGAATTTCAGAGGTTAGACCTAATTACTAATTGTAGTGTTACAAAGACACAGATCAAGGAAGTTTATTAGGCACACATTTAGTACAACCCAATCAGGTAGGAAATCACAAAATTATGGTGTGTGTGTGTGTACCTCCCTCCCCACTTCACCAGAAATTGTGCAGTAGCATCTTGCATAATACTTCAAGCAGGTGGTTCCACAACATGCCCAGGCCTCTTGTTCCCAATGACATTTTTCAGCAGGGACATATTTCTCTGATAGTCAACCTCAACGTAGGCAGCTGCAACAGAAAGCCATTAATATACAAATTAATAATGTATAAATTAATAAAACTGTTATGTATTGCTCCTTGCAACCACATTTAAATGATTTTTGAGAATGCACCCTACAGCATGGAGTTGGGGATTCTAATCCATTAGCAAACTCTTGAGGACAGAGCAAGATGATGGCAACAATCTGGGGCAATCAATCCTGGGAAAGACAGTGAGATTTGGAATGCATCCAAAACGCCAGCTCCCCTCAACTTGCCTTGCCCTTTACTGTTTCTGTTGTGACTTCTCACCCTTACTTACAAGATGCAAATTCTGCTCATGACTATACAATAAGTTTAAAGCAAATTGTCTAAGGCACAGAGGTTATTGGCTTCAGGATGGGTGCTCTAGGAAACTTGTGTGTAATGCAATGCTGCTCAGTACCCCGTTTTAGAAGTGTTTCCCATCTGATCAGAGGAGAAGAGGCCAGCTAAAGGTCAAGTAGGGCCAAAAGTGTATGGGGAGAGGAGGCTAGTTGCAGAGTGCACCAAGTGAGCATCTTTGCCTCAGCCTGTTCCTTGCCAGATCCGTGCTTCGTTTCACAGATGTGAACAGCTGTTTTTGTGAATCTGCATGATGAGCAATTTTCTCCCAAAGGGTTTAATGAACCGATGCTGCCATGGAATCAAATTAATGAAAAATTAGTGGCTGCAAAATGACCCTGGCTGGGCTTCCCTTGATCACACTGCAGGTGGCCATTCTGCAAGGCAAATAGCAGCTGGCACAGCACAGTGTCCATCCGTCCCCTGCCAACTTCATTGCAATGTGCTTAGGCCAAAATTCTCAGCACAAGCCTCCACTATATAAATGCTCATGACTAAACAGACCTCCCAAGGCTGAGCCACTGGGGTCAAACCGGTCACGCAGGCATAATCTTATCCCAGCATTGGAATCCCCTAGTTCTAGGCTGTAGGGCAGGGCTACTGCAAAACTCAGGGTATGTTCACATTAGCAGCTTAAAATACTACAGCAAGGTCAGTTCCTCCCACTGTGTTTCAAGCCGCATTTGCACAGGGTTGTTCACATCAAGGGGTGGGGCTATCTTCACCCAAAGTGCAGGACCCTTTGGGCTTCCTCACCCCTGCAAACCACACACTTGGGAGGATGGATGGCAGCTAACAGATTGAGGTTGAATCCTGACAAGACAGAAGTACTGTTTTTTTGGGGACAGGAGGCGGGCAGGTGTGGAGAACTCCCTGGTCCTGACTGGGGTAACTGTGCCCCTAAAGGACCAGGTGCGCAGCCTGGAAGTCATTTTGGACTCAGCTGTCCATGGAGGCGCAGGTCAATTCTGTGTTCAGGGCAGCTGTTTACCAGCTCCACCTGGTACGCAGGCTGGGACCCTATCTGCCCACGGACTGTCTCGCCAGAGTGGTGCATGCTCTAGTTATCTCTTGCTTGGACTACTGCAATGTGTTCTGTGTGGGGCTACCTTTGAAAGCGACCCAGAAACTACAACTAATCCAGAATACAGCAGCTAGACTGGTGACTGGGAGCGGCCACCGAGACCACATAACACCGCTCTTGAAAGATCCACATTGGCTCCCAGTATGTTTCCGACACAATTCAAAGTGTTGGTGCTGACCTTTAAAGCCCTAAACGGCCTCGGTCCAGTATACCTGAAGGAGGCTTCCGGGTTGGCGCCATCGGTAATGGCGGATTCCCTCTGACTTTCTGAGGGACCAGCTCCGCGGGATCGGGTCTGCACCGCTGCGGCGAAGCGGGGACCCTTCAAAAGTCACAGGCGGGTGAAGCCTGTGAACGTGGGACTCGGCGGGCACCTTTTGCGCCCCCCCAATCTGCGAAGGAACCCATTTTTGGGCTCCGGAGCGAAACGGGGTGAGCGGCGCGGTGCTGAGAGTCGACTGCTTCTTCCGCGGAGTGAAGCCGCACAGCCGTTATCGGAGAGCGCTGACTTTTTCCTGGGACAATTCGACTTCAAAAGTAACTACCCGTGAGTAGGATAAAATTGGATTTAAAGGGAGAAAAACAATAATTCGGAACCGAAGCGGGGAGGCATAAACAGGAAGTCCGCCTTCCGTTTCTTGTAAACAGATCAAAGCAAAGAGACTGTAAGCGGAAACTTTGAAAGACGTTTGAAAAAGGACGCAAATCCTAACATCAGAAAAGCGATCTCCCCTCCGGTTTGCAGGAGAGGAGGGGGGAAAGGTTTGAACTGTATTTATCTGCAAAAAAAGGAGGGAAACGAAGCTAAAATCCACCGCTTAGATCCTGGGAACGGACTGCCTTGGGACAAGGAATGCCGTTTTGTGAAAAGCACTATTGGCAAATAGAGTACTTTTGATAGCTAACTGCAAGAGAGATACAGTGTCTCTGGACTTCTCCTGGTTTAAAAGTAACCGATTAAGTTCAATTGAAACTGAATTGGGGGATTTATAAAGATTATTTTTTTCTTAAAGTTGCAAGCTTTGACTGCTACTGTGTCCCCCTAGAGGAGGTTCGATATTGCTACAATAATAACTGGGCTAGGGGAATTTTCCATTTCAAAATAAATTCCAGCCGTGGGATTGACCTTGGACTTCTATGAGAGTGTTATGGCAGATGGAAGAGGAAAGTTAGAGTTGATTCAGGAAAAAACTACCAGGTCTGGCAGATCTTTCCGTACAGATACTGGGTCGCAGCGAAGAGCCTCAACATCTGGCCCTTCTGGACCATCTGGATTATCAGGGGCTGCACCCTTACAAGTTAAACCAAAAGGAATGTCGTCTGAAGACGTTTTAGCCCTGGCACTAGGAAAAATTAATGAATCTTTGGAAAATTTAAGTAAACAAGTAGCTGAAACAAATAAACAAGTAGCGGAAGCATCAGTTAAAATTGACCAAAATACTACAAGTATCAATAATTTGGGACAGAAGGTGAATACCAATACAGAGACTATTGAGAAATTGTTACAGGAATCTGCTTTGACCCGAAAGACAGCTGAAGAAGCAAAGGATATAGCAACTACTACTCAAGAGAAGATACCACCGATATATAGGCAACTTGAGGACCACGGGTTGACGTTGTCCATGATTGAATTGAAGGAGAAACAAACGAATTTGAGAATCAGGGCTGTACCGGAACTTGAGAAAGATAACTTGACTGACTTTCTTACGCAGGAATTTGCAGATTTCTGGCAACAGGATTTGGGGAAGGAAGAATTTAAGATAGTGAACGCATTTAGGCTTGGAAGAGGAGGAAAGAAGAATAAGGTGAGAGACTGTTTGATTACCCTTCGAACAAAAGAGGAGAGAGACAAAATCTTGAATCTGCACTTCCGAAAGACTTTGGAAATACATGAGTCAAGCGTGGAGATATTTAAGGACATCCCAAAACATCTCTTGGACTTAAGATCTAACTACGGAGACCTGGTTGCCCTGCTGAGAAGCAACAGAATCATCTTCAGGTGGGAATTTCCCCAAGGCCTGTCCTTTAAATATAAACGAAGAAAGATTAAAATAAGATCAGTCGACGATAAAGATAGATTCTTGAAAGACCACGGAAAAGATTTACAGAAAGAAGTGGAATCTGGAGAAGAGCCAAAAGCACTGGAAAGAGGAATATTAGATATAGCAAACTTATCTTTTGGATTGCATGGTTCAGAGAAAGTGACACCACCGACAGAACAAGAACAAACACTTGGTGCAGTTGGAGGTAAAGCAAAGTAATAACATCATGGCTCTGCAACTATTAAGTTGGAATTGTAATGGTCTTAACTCTCCTCGGAAAAGGAAAAGTTCTTTTCGTTTATTAAAAAAGGAACAATTGGACTTGATTTGCCTTCAGGAAACACACGTGATAAGGCTACATAGGAAAATATTGATTAATAAGAGATTGGGACAGGAGTTTATTTCATCTGACAAAGTCAAAAAAAGAGGAGTAGTGATCTATGCAAAGGAGAGATTATCACCGAAATTTATTTTTAAAGACGGTCAAGGAAGATTTGTGGCAATTGAAATTCAAATACAAGGAGAGAAATTTCTGATAGTAGGAGTTTATGCACCGAACGAGGGGAAATCTGAATTCTTTAAAAAGTTGCATGAGACCTTAATGGACTATTTGGATTACAATCTGATTTTGATGGGGGATATGAATGGAGTAGTATCTACAAACATGGATAAGGCACAAAGACAGGTAGTCACCAAGGATGGTAGACTACCGAAAACATTTTTTGAGATGACAGACAACTTGGACTTAGTTGACATTTGGAGAACAAAGAATCCCTTGGGAAGAGAGGGAACTTTCTTTTCTGAAGCCAAGATGACATGGACTAGAATCGACCAAATATGGGTAACTAGAGGAATGGCACCAAAGATAAAGAAAGTGGAAATTTGTCCAAAAACCTGCTCCGACCATAATGCTGTAAGGATGGAGATGAAACTAATAACAACTGGCTCCTTCAGATGGAGGATGAATGACACCTTATTTAGAGATGGAGATGTGATTAAGAAGGCCCAAAAAACTTTGAGAGACTATTTTGAGATAAATATGAACACTAATGTTGAAAAAAAGAGTAATCTGGGACGCAAGCAAAGCGGTTATGAGAGGGTTCCTGATACAACAGAATGCAATAAAGAAGAGGAGCCAAAATGAGAAGAAAGATAAAATTTTGGAGAAAATAAAAGAAAGTGAGAAGAAATTGAGAGCAAAACCAAAGTCGCAGGAGATTTTGAGAGAAATAAAATTATATCAAGTACAATATATGGAAATGATGAATCAGGAAATAGAATGGAAAATTAAACAAATGAGACAAAAACATTTGAATCAGCTAATAAATGTGGGAAATTGCTGGCTTGGCAAATGAAAAAAGACAAAAATTAAATACTATTACAAATTTAGAAGTGGAAGGAAAGAACATACACAACCCTGCTGAGATTAGAAACTGTTTCCAGAGGTACTTTAAACAATTATATACACAAGGGCCACAGAAAGAAATGGATATAGATCGATTTTTGAAGATAAATGGACTACAAAAAATCTCTCAAGAAAGCAAACTAATGTTGAACTATAAAATATCTGAACAGGAAGTAGAAGGTGCCATTCAAAACATGCAACTAGGCAAATCTCCAGGACCAGATGGGCTGACTTCTAGATACTATAGATCCTTGAAAGAGTGGTTGGTACAACCTTTAAAGGAAGTCTGCAATGAAATATTGGACGGGAAAAGGGCACCAGAGTCGTGGAAAGAAGCGTATATTACACTTATACCGAAAACAGAGACTGAAAAGACTCAGTTTAAGAAGTACCACCCCATATCATTACTTAATGTGGATTACAAAATTTTTGCAGATATTCTGGCCAAGAGATTGAAAAAAGTGTTGATGGAAGAGATTCATAAAGACCAAGCGGGCTTTCTCCCGGGAAGACACTTGTCTGACAATTTGAGGAATATAATTAATATTTTGGAAAAATTAGAAGTGAACATAAATACTAAAGCTGTTTTGATATTTGTGGACGCGGAGAAAGCTTTTGATAATATCTCTTGGAGCTTTATGAAGAAGAACCTACAGGGGATGGGGGTAGGCCAAGGCTTTGAAAACGGTATAAGTGCAATTTATTCAGAACAAAAGGCTAAACTAATTGTAAATAATGTGGTGACGGAAGAATTTAAGATAGAAAAAGGGACACGACAAGGTTGCCCAATCTCCCCATTGCTTTTTATATCGGTCCTGGAGGTTTTGCTGAATATGATTAGAAGGGACCAGTTGGTTAAAGGTATACAAGTCGGAGCCAAACAGTACAAATTGAGAGCATTTGCAGATGACTTAGTATTGACGTTACAGGAGCCAGAATCTAGTACCAAAAGGGTTTTAGAACTGATTCAAGAATTTGGTCAGGTTGCAGGATTTAAACTGAATAAGTTAAAAACCAAGGTTTTAGAGAAAAATTTAACACCGATTGAGAGAGAGAGGTTTCAGAATGAGACAGGTTTAACAGTGGTTAAGAAAGTGAAATACCTGGGGATTAACATGACAGCAAAAAATGGGAATTTATTTAAAGACAACTATGAAAAATGCTGGGCCGAAGTGAAAAAAGATTTAGAAATCTGGTCAAATTTGAAGCTTTCACTGCTGGGTCGTATTGCTGCGATAAAAATGAATGTATTGCCTAGAATGTTGTTTTTGTTTCAAACATTGCAAATTGTGGACAAAATGGACTGTTTCAAGAAGTGGCAGAGAGATATTTCTAGATTTGTCTGGCAGGGCAAGAAGCCTAGAATAAAATTTAAAATACTAACAGATGCAAAGGAAAGAGGTGGATTTGCCCTGCCAGACCTTAAACTTTACTATGAATCAGCAACTTTTTGCTGGTTGAAAGAATGGCTGCTTCTTGAAAACACAGACATTTTGGATTTAGAAGGTTTTAATAATGTATTTGGATGGCATGCATATCTGTGGTATGATAAGATCAAAGCACATAAAGCATTTAAGAACCATATTGTCAGGAAAGCATTGTTTAATGTCTGGATAAGATATAAGGATTTATTGGAAAATAAAACCCCAAGGTGGCTGTCACCGATGGAAGCGAAAGCATTGAAAAAGCTCAATATGGAGGCCAAATGGCCAAAATATTGGGAAATTCTGGAACAAGAGGGAGACAGATTGAAACTGCAGAGTTTTGAGAAACTAAAAAACAAAGTGCGAGATTGGCTTCATTATTATCAGATAATGGAGGCATATAATTCGGATAAGAAAATTGGCTTCCAGGTGGAAAAATCAAAATTAGAAACAGAACTGTTAGAACCCAAAACTAAGACTTTATCGAGGATGTATAACTTGCTGTTGAAATGGAATACTCAGGATGAAACGGTGAAATCCGCTATGATTAAATGGGCACAAGATGTTGGACATAACATAATGATGGCTGACTGGGAACAGTTATGGACCACAGGTATAAAATTTACGGCATGTAATGCCTTAAGAGAGAATATTATGAAAATGATTTACAGGTGGTACATGACACCAGTCAAGCTTGCAAAAATCTATCATTTGCCCGATAATAAATGTTGGAAATGTAAAGAAACTGAAGGTACATTCTTTCACCTTTGGTGGACGTGCCCAAGGATTAAGGCTTTCTGGGAGATGATCTATAATGAATTGAAAAAGTATTTAAATATACCTTCTTGAAGAAACCAGAGGCCTTTCTCCTGGGCATAGTCGGCCAATTGGTGCCAAAGAAGGATAGAACTTTTTTTATGTATGCCACAACAGCAGCAAGAATACTCATTGCAAAGTATTGGAAGACACAAGATCTACCCACTCTGGAAGAATGGCAGACGAAGGTGATTGACTACATGGAATTGGCGGAAATGACTGGCAGAATCCGAGACCAGGGAAAAGAGTCGGTGGAAGAAGATTGGAAGAAATTTAAAGACTATTTACAGAAATATTGTAAAATTAATGAATGTTAGAATGATGTTGGATAGAAATTAAATGGTTTTTAGCTGAAATATTATAAGGGAATATGAAAAATGGATTACTAACAGGTAAAAATTTAATGTTACAATACTTTAAGATTAAAGATTAGGATAATCAAAGAGGGGAAGGATTTGCTGAACCAACAAACTGAACTGGAATACAAAAAAGGGAGGCGTGAGGAGGTCCGGGAAATAAGCTAATGAAAAATAAGTAATGGAAAGATTGACTTGTTTTTAACTATTTTTATTTTGTATTTTTCTTTTTTCTATTTTTATTTTGTAATATTTTGAAAACCTTAATAAATATCTTATATAAAAAAAGGAGCGTCTCCACCCCCATTGTTCTCCCCAGACACCGAGGGCCGTCTGGCGGTTCCCTCGCTGCGAGAAGCCAAGTTACAGGGAATCAGGCAGAGGGTCTTCTCGGTAGTGGCACCCGCCCTGTGGAATGCCCTCCCACCAGATGTCAAAGAGAAGAACAACTACCAGACTTTTAGAAGACATCTGAAGGCAGCCCTGTTTAGGAAAGCTTTTAATGTTTAACAGACCACTGTATTTTAATATTTTGTTGGAAGCCGCCTGGAGTGGCTGGGGAAATCCAGCCAGATGGGTGGGTATAAATAATTATTATTATTATTATTATTATTATTATTATTATTATTATTACTACTACTACTACTACTACTTCGGGAACTCCATGAAGCTGTGATCTGTACATGCACACTCATGTACCTCAGAAATTCAGATTACCACTTATTCCACATCCAGTTTTCTACCTGGATGGAAGCCGGTTTGAGAAAGGGGGGGTGCCTCAAACAGCAGCATTTGTCAAGAAACTACAGGATCAATATGGAGTGTGGCAAATGTCTCATTAATGCTTCTAAAATTAGCAGTGGAAGCACACTGGATGCAGCGAAAGTGGCAATGTGACCATACCCTCAGTTTGCCAGTAGAAACCAGTGGTGTAGTGGAGCAGGGACAGGCAGGTTGAAGCACCACCACAGGAGGGACGATAATATTTTGTAAGGCACTATTTGCCAATCCTCTGCATATCACAGTGATAATCTTCAGTGAAAAGCATCAGGCATCCCTACTTGAGAGGCTGGAGGAGTGGGAGGGCTCATATGCTAGTCCAGGCTATCAGGACTAGGCCGGGTCAGTAGTCCAAGAGGAAGTGCTTGCCATTCATGTGAGTTGTGGCAGACTTACTTATTTACCATGCATGCATCTTGCCCTTCCTCTGAGGAGCTCAAGGGGCTAACCCATTTTACCCTCACAATAACCTAATACCTTAGGTGAAGAGAAAGAGAGGAAAAGAGAGAGAAAGAGAGAGAGAGAGAGAGAGAGAGAGAGACCCAAGGGCACCCAGTGAGCTTTTTGGATGAACAGGGACTTGAACTCAGGTCTCTCCGATCTCAGTTTGACATGCTGCACTGGCTCTTCAGAGAAGCCCAAGTAAGCACAAATGGAGATAACCTGCTCCAGCCTTAAAGCGCTGGTTCTCACCCTAGAAGCTGATAGGCCCATCAGTCAGCAACTAAAAGTGCCCCAGAACAGACAATCACAGAGAACATGGTGGCAGAAAGACCCAGTTGATGATGTCAGCTAGCCACTCAGAGTGCGCTGCAGCGTGCAAACATGCACATGAATGTGCATCCCTCACATGGTCTTGACAGGGAATGCCCCAAGCTTACATGTGGAGTTCCTGTGCCTGACAGCCCTGCCAGGTCCGTCTCAGTTGTTCCACCCGACTGAGGTTGGTCTCCATTAAATCAATCTCGCAGGCAGGCTCCGGTAGGTCCTTTTGTGTCCCGCTAGGAACAAACGTCTGTTTGCATTAGCATTTGGTGATGACTTCTCCCACGGTGGGGAGCACCAGGTCGGGCCTGACATCTCCATCATGCTGCCAGCCTGACAAGCATTCTGATCAGAAGGGAAAGGTGACAAACCCTCTGGAAGAGACGGGCAGAGTTCTTCCAGGCTCTCAGAGCTCCTAGGCACCAACTTTATCCCTGGAGAGCCCATCAAAAGGGGACACTGTGCTGGCCAATGAACTGGAATTGGCCTTGTCTTTAGAGTATCCATCTGCATCACAGGGTTTGTGGCAGGCTCACAAGGGAAAGGAGGCAGGCCAGTGCTCAGAAACAAAACACACATTGCCCAATACACAGATGCAGCACCTTCCTAAAACACACCCCCTGTAGCTAACAAATGAGCTTCTGATATCACCGCCACCCCCAATCATGCCACACATTAGATTCAGCTTATTATATCTAACAGAGCAGGGTTTGACTGGTTGGGTCTAGAGCATGGTTAACTCTTAGTTGTGTGAGTGAGTGATCCCTGCTGCCTTGAAAAAAGGAGTGGTAAGGGCCCTCCTAAGGAAGCCAACTCTGGAACCGACAGTCTGGACTAACTACCGACCAGTCACCAATACCTGCTTTTGAGGGAAGGTTGTGAAGACAGTAGTGGCAGGCCAACTGCAGACATTTTTGGTGGAATCCTCACAGTCTAACCACAGTGGTTCAGGCACTGGGTTGCTGCAACGCACTCTACGCAGGGTTTCCCTTGTACTTGATGCAGAAACTGCAGAATACTGCAGCACAATTGCTGACAGGTTTAAGAGTCTGTGAGAATACTATATCTGTGCTCAAGAATTTGCATGGAATTCCAGTTGGCTACCAAGCCAAGTTCAACTTCAAGGTGTTACTATTAGTACATAAATGTGACTAGTTTTCTGAAGGGATCACCTTACCACATACATACTCAATCTACTCAGTCTGTGGAACTTGAACTTCTACAAATGCTGCACCATGTACATTCCACATTTGGTTGCAAGGAGTCATTGCTTTAGGGTGACAGTGCTCTGGAACTCCCTGCCTTGGCTATATCTCTTTTTAAATCTGTTTTTCATCTTGATTAATGTTTTACTGTCTTTATTGTTTTAAGAGGCTTTTAATTATTTTTAAATGTTTCAAATACATTTTTTATTTATTTTTAGCTGTGATGTGTTTATCGCCCTGGGCGACAAAACAAAACACTAAATAAGCATACTGTAACACAGACCATTATGACTAGTGAAAGCTAGTCCATTAGGGTGAAGGAGGCACTGCCCCACTCACTTGGGTCTGTCCTCAGCCAGTCCCACCTGTCTGCTTCCTCTTACAGACAACCAGTACTGGGGGTGGCCTTGGCTGCCAGCTTCCTCCTCCTTCCTTCCTTCCTCCCTCCCAGCAGTGCCAAGTTCTACAAGTAGTGCTTGTAGAAATAAGCAGGAAGGAGGATGCAGACAAGTCAAGAGTTAAGTTGGCTCTGCCTGTCATTGGCTCTTACCCACAAACTGTGGGCTCCCTGCTTTCCACCCTACCAGTCCCAATGGGCGGCAGCCACCATGGATCAGGACCATATGAAACAAGCCATAAAAATACCATAGCAGAATTTGTTTCAAATGGGTATTATTTCCTCTAGCCACAGATTCCTAGCTGTTACCCATCATTATGTTTAACGAGTGGGCAATCTGTGTACACAGTAGATGATCTGTACACTTATACAGTTACTCACATGGAATGTTTGATGAGTGTGAAGTGTGTGAAACTGTGTATACAACTGTACAAATCAACAAGTGTACACTCTTTCACACAAACACTTAAACGTTTGTAGAGGAAGCTTGTTACTGTGTTCAGCGTATCCTGAAAGCATGGAACAGATGCACACAAACTAACTCCATGTAGTCAGGCCAGTTCCTAAAATAACCCCCCCCACACACACACTGGGGTGGGGGTGGGGGAGAAGAGAGAGAAAAAATGACCTCCTAACTTACTTGAACCAATTATCGAAAGTAGATGCCCTGCAGAGCAGGACGCAACAGCTTAAAGTGGAACAAGATCTTATCAGAAAAGCCAGTGCAAAAAACTACACTCCCATATCCACTGAAGCAAATTACCCACATCTCAGACAGCAAACTTCAATTACAAGGGACCTACTTTTGCCAAGCATAACACATATGAAGTGCCTAGCACAATATCCCCGTTGTTGCGACTGTGTGGGTGAAACCAAACAATCCTTGAGAACATAAACAAGAACAGCCCACGGGCCTGTGCGCGAACACTTTCCTCCACATTATCTGGATTTTTCATTCCTCTTCCGAAAGGGAACTGGTATAAATACCTTTAAACAAAGGGCCTGAGATTGTTGACTCACAACCCTGCGGAGTCCAGTAGAAGCGGACTAAGCCGAGGCCTCTCGGCTCCTTGAGTCACTGCCCCTCCACAAACATCCACCCACATTCGAAGAATGTGGCACTTTATGCCCAGTGAACACACAATAGACCCTGCCAAGCCCTTATCTGCTGTTTTCCCCAAACTATGGAGCCACCTCCAAAGAGACATCCCTTACTCTTGACTGCTGCTTCTCCCCCAATCCAGCTGAATATGTGGGGGCATTGCTTGCAAGGCTGAATGTATGTGCAAGGGGGTTCCTGTGGCAATTTCAATTTGCATGTTAAGTGGAATAGTCAGATACATCTTGCATAGGCCTACAAGGTGCCTGTCTGTCCATGTCATGTTTGCACATATGTGCATGTATGCTTGAAAGGGAGAGAAGCCTACGTGCATCCCATGTGAAAGGGATGTACTCCAGTGCACGCCTGCTGCATGTACACGTGTGCTCGGCCTGCATTTATGAATGGGACGTGAATCGGTGTGCAGCTGCCTCCCAAGGGAGAGGCCATCCAAAGCCCTGGGGAGCCACTCCCCCTTGCATACACAAAACTCGCCGCTGCCTCAGACATTCCTTAACTGGCACGTGCCAGCGTTTCTGTACGAGCAATGGAGAGTCCAATTAAAGGCCCATTGTTGGGATTAATAGCTATGCCAAGCTCCCACACCGCCCCCGCCCTGGGCACAATAGAGGAGCGTGAGCGGAGGCTATTCAGGGGCATTGAAGCGTGGAGAGCTGCATGAATTCTGGATGTCTGCTTGAGCGCTGCTCATGCCCACACTGAGCATGAAGCCAGCCCAAAAATCTTGCCCTGGGCAAGTGCCACCGAGCAGCGAGGGGAGGAACCCTGGGATGAACAATGGACCAAGGCAATCTGGTTTCAAGCAGAGGCTTTGGCTCCTCTTTCAAGGTGCCAGGCCCACACCCTTGACCGATTCCTAAAGGTCTGGCTACTTCAGGTTCCATCTTCACAAGGAAAGTGTATTTGAACCACTTTAGAATCTGGTCCTTGCTCCAGGAAATGGGCACTTATACTCTGGACCAAACTAAGAGATGCAAAATGCATCTTTGCATTTAATGTGCATGCTGGCTAAAAATGCAAATAGCAGTGGCCAGGGAGAGGGGATAGTCATTCTCAAGATCACAATAGGTAGAGGGTGGGGGTTCTGACCCTTTCTTCTCTCCTGCTGCAGTCCTGACAAAAAAAGCCACTCCTTTAAAGGCTGCTATTTGTATTGGAAAAAAGCACCCAAGGGTACTGATGGAGGGATTTCTTCCTAGTGCAAATAGCAACTTCAAAGGAGTTATTTTCTGCAGGACCACAGTAAGGGAGGGAAGGGTTAAACTCTCCCTCCCTACCAGCTGGAATCCTGACAACTGTCAGCTCCTGCAAAAGGCAGCTATTTGCATTTTTTAAAAATGGGCATATTAAATGTGAAGATGCATTTAACATCAGGTCTGTTTTGGCCCTTCACTGTTCCTATTTTCCAGGGATCACTTTTTATCTGGTATATGTCCCTTGCAAAATGATGTCCTTATTTTGCCTGCCAGGAATGAATTTTAAGAATTGTTGAAGCCAAACACCATATCACACTAAAGCATCTCTGCAAACAACATGGATCCCCCCCACCTTTTTTAAAAAGTATAAACAGCAGGCAGGCAGAGGGATGGGTGATTAGCATCATAGCCATGGTTTGCACAGGTTTAACCATTCCCTTCCCTACCATGATCCTGATGACCACCACTCAGCCCCAAAAAGCCTGTTGTTAGTTCTGTGAAGGAAGTTTCCATTGACACCAAGGAACACCAGAGTTCTTGCAGGTTTAAAGTTGGCTCTCTAGATAAGGAGTGACTAACCTGTGCCCACACTCAATATACTGATAGGCTATAACTCCAATCATCCCTGACCATTAACCATCCTGACTGAGGTGATGGGAGTCTGGAGTTCAGCAACAGCCAGAAGCTAACAGCTTCTCCATTTGTGCTCTAAATTGTCTCTAGAAGCTAAATATCTTGAGTGAGTGATGATCCAACTTTATTCCAGCACACATACATGCAGATACATGCAAAAGGAGCTTTGCTTGTCTTCGATTTCCCTGCCCCTGGTTCCTGTCCAGGTAATAAATGCTGCTGAGTCTGAGTTGCAGTTGCAGCCAGATCCACAGTGAGATTCACTATTCTAAGAAATCTGTTCTGGTCAGTTTGCTCACAGACCTTGCTTCGGAAGCTGATGCAGGACAGGCTGTGGCAGAGTAAAATGAATACAATGGGCAGCAAGCAAGGAAGAGCCTTCAGCAACGTATAACACGTAATGATACTGAGAAGAGGGATTACAAGTCTCCCTGTTTTCATCTTGGAACTGTTGGAGGGCATGTACTCAAAAACGGCAGCAAGCAGAGGCCTTTCTTTGCAAGGGGAGTTAAAAATGCTGGCACTTAAGGCACCTGAAGCAAAAGACCAAAGTGATGTCCTCCTGCACTAGACTCAAGCACATTTGTGTCTATTCACAGAATAGCCCCCGACTAATAGCAGGTCAGATGGCTCACAGTATATAGATCAGTGTGTTGGTTTTTTAAAAAAACGACAACAGTATATTTATTTGCAAACATTTCAAAAATTATAAAAAGCAGCCATCCAGAAGATATAGTACAGGGGGGAAACACACACATACCTCTGTATATATATGCTTAAAACTTCCACCCTCTAACAACCACCAGCAGCACCACTCCATCTGTTGCTGGGTATGCACCATACTGTGATGAGTTTTGGCAGTGGCTGGGGGGGCTAGGTCCCCCTAAAAGTGTTACGAGTTTGGGGGGGCAGATCCCCCTAAAATCTTAAATTTAGTAAATGTTAGGAATAGATACGTTGTTTTGTGCTTGTAGCACAAAAACATAGTTTTTCTCAATCTGGAATCATTCATGATCATCCTCACCATGCTTCTTTCAACCTAGATTTATTCTAGTTCCTGCCACCCACAAAGGTGAGTGTGATTACTATACTTGATAGGTCTTTGAAACCCCTCCCTTTGATTAGATCAGGGTTTCCCAAACTTGGGTCTCCAGCTGTTGTTGGACTAGTCCCATCATCCCTTGCTAGCAGGACTGGTGGTCAGGGATGATGGGAATTGTAGTCCAAAACAGCTGGAGTCCCAAGTTTCAGAAACCCTAAATTAGATTATTTATGTCTTTTCCTTCCTGCACATGCCCCAGCTGAATGAACAAATACCTCTTGGTACCAACAATGTTAATGGGCAGGTGTGGACACACCCTCCATTACTGGGACCACCTACATCTATTCTTACCTGTTTTTGAATGGACACATTGAGGAACAATGCAGAACCGATCTGAAATGAGCTTTTATTTTTGGAATGAAACCCATTCCTCAAGAGGCCCATTGCAAGGGCAGAAACATGCAGTAGATCTCGATTGTGTGTGGACTACACAAAAAAACCCAACAACAACAAGTACTCAGTCTCCATTGCTTCTAGAATAAAATGTTGGGTGTACGCAGCCAAGGACAAGCATGGATGATTCTGGATGGAGAAAAATGGTGTTTTCGTGCTGCAAAAGGTTTGTGTCTACACAGCCTTATCAAGTTTGATCTGCTTGAGCTCTATGCCTTCAAAAGCCTTGCCTGCTCATTTTTAGCAGATCAAGCTGCTGTTAAAGGCACAGGAGCAGGCCAGCTTTGTCATCTGCCCCCCACCCCTACGTTGGCGGTCCTACTAGTGAAAGGTCCTGGGGGGAGGGAATCATGTGTTGTGCATTTGTTTGTCTCAATTTATACACGTTAGAAGTCCCCACTGCCTAAAGGCTGATCTATTACGGTACTTTAAAATCTGCCCAGTGGCAATCCTCATGCAAGGTCCTTGTGTCTGGTTCTAAACACAGAAGCAGCTGGGGGGTGGCCCTACCTCCTACAGTGAACAGGCCCACTCAATTTAGGCAGGGAGAAAAACATCCAGCCTCCAGATCCTGAGCTTTGCCAAATTCCTCCCTTTTGCTTTTCTTTCTCCCCCACCCCCAGGAGAGGGGATGCTGACGCCACCACCCTGCATGTGGAGAGGGGGGTTTGAATGCCTGATGCCTTTTTCTCTAAGGTGCTGGCTCAGCATTCTCCTCCCTGCTGTAGCAGGGCAATGGGGGGTGGGGGCATATGGCCCCTACGGAGCCATCTTTTCCAGATGGCAAGGACCGTTAGCATGGCTCCCGCACACTCAGAGCCATAAACTTTATGGGGCTCATCAGTTAGGGTAATGGGAGCTGTTAAAGTCGCGCAGTTTAAGCAAACTCTCCTTGCAGGAGCCTGTGATGCCAACATAGGCACAGCTTTCTTCAGCCAGACCCATTTCTCAGGGAGGCAGGCACTGGCCAAGGGCTTCCCCGCCTCCAGTCAGGTTATGGGGTTCCAGCTTCTTCAGTGAGGCAAAGACCCCATTCACCTGATTCACACCCATGGCACTGTTATGGTTTTGTTGCAGTTTGGCATCCCCACACGTCTGCCACTCTAAGCCCATGCCAAACTGTGGCATTTGTAATGTGCACCTGACCTGTATGGAATACATCTGTGCTTAGCTGTTGCACAGCATGATTTTGAATATTGTAGCAGTTTGGATGGGCAAATTTCCTAATGTAGATGTAACTGTGCAACAAACATGATGAGACAAGTGGCTACATGCACACCAAATGTTTAAGCCACATAACTTCCTCCACGGAATCTTGGGAACTGTAGTTTATCCTACAAAACTACAATTCCCTGCACTCTTAACAAACTATACTTCCCATAATTATTTGGGGGAAGTCATGTGCTTTAAGCAGATGGTGATTATGCAGTCGACAATTCCATTAACTGTAATTGTAATTATTTTGTGTTGAGACCCTTGGGGTTACTTCCTTTGGCCCTTGATCTTCCCTCTCTTTTCTGATCAATTCCCCCGTTTAAAAGAAAAACCCACAAGGGGGAGTTGTTTTAATCTGTGATTTGTATCTTCCCCACCCACTCTCCTTCCCTTGGCTTTGCACAACTGTACAGCCTCACAGATTTCAGTAGTGTGCCATGTATTACATTATGGATCTGCTGGATATACAACAACCACTTTAATACAACCATTCAGATAATGTCTCTTACTCCATATTCTTATGGGTGTATGGGAGTGGGGCAGAGGAAGACAGAGAAATCAAATAGCAATAAACAAATCATGTCATGAGCTATGCAGAAGATGTGATTCTCTAATTGCATTTTGTATTCTAAGGCATGGCACCTTCCAGGTGTTGTTGGACTCCAACTCCCATCAGTCCCAACCAGCATAGCCCAAGGTCAGGCTCAATGGGAGTTGCGAGTCCAACAATATCTGGGAGACAACACCATCACAACTCTCTCACTCACTTTCACCACAGATTCTGCATTCAGAATCAAAATCGTGGTAACCCTTGGAGGCTGTGTACCCACTGCACCTTTAAAGCATGTTCAAAGCACATTTTCTTCCCTCAAAGAATTCTGGGCACCCTAGTTGTTAGGAATTGTAACTCTGTGAAGGTAAACTACAGTGCCCAGAATCCTTTGAGGGAAAGAATGGGCTTCAAATATGCTTTAAAAGTATAGTGTGCACACAGCCTGAATGGTGTTGGATGAGATTATGCAGGTAATCCTATGCAATGAGCACACTCAGGGAGGATATAGCGCGGCACTGAGATGTATTTTTGGGCCTGGTCTGAGAAAAAGAATCATGGCCAGGACTGGAGAGTAACTAACAGAGCACTCTTCTACCTACTTACCTAGCAGCAAGCCCCATTGAACTCTGTGGGCCTCACTTCTGAAAAGACATCTATGCGCTGTAATGCCATTTTGAGCACCACAGCTGGAAGAAGTCTTATGTGAACAATGTGGGAGTTGCTTCCTTTCCCAGTTTCCTTAATCATAATCGCTGACGCAAAGTCCCCACCACATCCATAACGCACATTCTGTTACAAATCTAATTGTTGTTGTAATTTAATTAACCACAGGGTAGTTAAATAGTGTTCAGGGTTAACTAATCCTTGTTAAATGATTTTAAGTATGTGCCTTTTGCTTACTAGATGGCATTTTTCTCAACTGTAAGCCTGGGGACGGAGCTTGCATTGCTTTCAAATTTTGCACAGTGGTTACCAATTTTAGGCACTTTATAGGAAAGGAAGTAATACTGAGGAAATAGCTGAATTGGTTGTTTGGCCACAATAACATTTCAAGCAGGGTTATTCCTTCTGCCCCCCCCCCCGCCCTAACTTTCAGGCCAGCAACTGAACACCCTAATAGTTTTGGGGCAGGGCAGATTTTCCCAGCAGTAGAATTTACTGAGATGTACAAAAGGGACGCGGGTGGCGCTGTGGGTAAAACCTCAGTGCCTAGGACTTGCTGATCGTATGGTTGGTGGTTCGAATCCCCGCGGCGGGGTGAGCTCCCGTCTTTCGGTCCCAGCTCCTGCCCACCTAGCAGTTCGAAAGCACCCTTAAGTGCAAGTAGATAAATAGGTACCGCTTTCTAGCGGGAAGGTAAACGGCGTTTCCATGTGCTGCGCTGGCTCGCCAGAGCAGCTTCGTCACGCTGGCCACGTGACCCGGAATTGTCTCCGGACAGCACTGGCCCCTGGCCTCTTAAGTGAGATGAGCGCACAACCCTAGAGTCGGACACGACTGGCCGTACGGGCAGGGGTACCTTTACCTTTACCTTTTACAAAAGAAAAAGGCCCTGCCATCTAACAAAGTATTTCTCCCCTCGGTGATTGCAGAAACAGAACAGGTCAGTCCACACAATACTTATCCAACCTGGCAAGCAGCAATCCACAATTCATAGGAAGTGTCAGAGCCTCTCCTCTGTATGTCTGTCCAGAGGTTCTGAAGGCCCAAGGCAAAACTTAACCGGAGGCCAGGCACAGCATACCTGTGTATGAAAACCAAGATATACTGCACAAATTGCCACACAAATGTCTTTATTAGATGTGAATTGAATGACATTGCTGATGACTACTAGCCAGGCACTGAGCAACATAAAAACAAGAGCTTACATTACATGATTTTTTTCATAACACCATTTCAAGCTCTCATAGGACAGTAGCTGCTCTCCATACAGACAGAATCACATATTTCTAAATGTTGAAACTAGGTCTTCTTCTCTTTTCCAGCTTCCCTGACTTACCCAATGCGACCCTTATTTTTCCTTTTCTAGAATTCTCTTTTTGAAATGATGGCCAGTTGCTGGGAACTGCAGGAGGAGAGAATTTTCAGGTCCTACTTGTGGATTTTCCACAGGCATCTGTGAGAATAGGATGCTGGACTGTAGATGGGCCACTGGCCCCATCCAACAGGCTCCTCTTATATCATACCTCCACAGCTATGGTGCAGTGAACCCAGTATGGTGTGATGGGTAGAGTCTCGGTCTAGGAGCTGAGAGACCAGGGTTCAATCCCGACTCAATCACAATGTTCACTGAGTGATCTGGGACAAGCCACTGTTTCTAAGTCTAACCTACTTCATAGGGTTGTTGGGAGCGTAAAATGGAGTGGAGAACCATGTATGCCTCCTTGGACTCCTTGGAGGTCAGGTGGGATATAAATGAAGAAACAACAACAACTCACTGCAGCACATATGCCATGTTAGGAAATGCCAAGTGGTCAGGAGAGAAGAGGGAGCCAAGTTTGTGTAGGCATTGGTTGTGACCAAGGTGTCAGCTGTGCGATTGAGCTGTAACACAAACACATCTACACATAGGATGGCAAGTCACAGAAGCCTGAATTTTCTACAGAGTGAAGAATGGCAGGGAGCCTAGATTAATGGGTACCGCATATTATTTGCATGCAGAAGGTTCAGGGAGCTGCTGCCAGTTGGAGGAGAGAGTAATAGGCTAAGGTAGGCTTATCCACACTTACCTTTTGCCCCTCTCTTTCCAGGCACATGTATGTTCATAAGTCTGTCCTGTCCTGTTTACATATCAATATCAATCTGCATTTTTTTTAGACCACATGAAATTTTGCTTTGTGTTTGCATACATCTTTCACAGAAATACACATTTTTGCATGCACTTTATCCGAAAATATGCATGTTGGTATTATGTTATCATGAAATACAAATGTCAGTACATTTTTGAATAAAGAACCATATTGTAAGATTTGAAGAAGCATGGAAACAGCATCATAACTGGGTTCTGATCTGGGAAGGGCAAATCAGGGTAGGTTTGTTTCAAAACACAGGCCAAGCAAAATACTCAAGCATCACCACTTATTTTGAAGCAAACATATTTAGGATCAGGCTGTTAAGGACACACAGATTCTCAAGGAATCTGTAAAACAGAAGGATGAGTCTGTCCAGGAGCACAGACATTATTCCGCTTGCATCTCAGGAACACAGATAAATGTAGTTAGGCTGAAGCAGGAGGTTAGATGATAGCATAATGGTTTGTGGCTGCTTTTACTAGAAAATCTAATTTTGTTAAATTAGGCATTTTTCTTACTCATACCCTTGCCCTTGTTTGGCCAAAATGAGGGATTGACATGCCCTAAAGTATTCTACGCGTGTTCTCCTCCATTTCTTTGGAATATTTGGCTAGATGTGCTGTCTAAGGCGATTCAGAGCCATCAATGGGATCTGAACACTTCCTGGATTAGATGCTGTTCTCTTGTGCTCTGGCAGATACTTTAGAGCTCTTTATTGGAATGCATTTATCCCACTTATATTACAAGCTCTAGCTTACTGGGTGTGAAACAGGAAGTACTGACAGCATTTTGTAATACGGAATTCGTGAGATCTGCCTCCCCTTATCTCAGGGTGCTGCACAAAATCCAGAGGGGTCCAGAATACAGAAGTCACCTCCACCATTGCTCCATTAGGGCAGCAATCCTATGTCCACAAGTATTATTTATACTGGACCATTGATGTACACAGAGCTTTGTAAGGTAAGACTGACAGTCGATTCTTGCTTCAGCACCGGCAGTGGGACAGCGGCCTTCATGGCACCAAAGGCCACAGGCTAACTTAGGGAGTGCAGGGCAGTCCACGTGGCACAAAAAGCTCTCTTCTCTCCCTGTTCCTCAGGATTTACTGCCTGAGGTGGCTGCTTCTCTTTGCCTCCTGGGAGCTTAGAGTCTAAATGTTGATAGAGGAAAGATATTAAACCAAGAGGCGGGAAGGGGAGACAAACATAGCAAGTATACAGGCTTAGGATCAGACTGAACAACCAATATATTACCCACCATGCTCTATATTAGTGGAACAAATCTTGTGGACCAACCATTCCAAGTGATTGCACCAAGTGAGAGAAAATCTATGAAGAACCTTGACATCCACTCTCTTGCAGGCAGGCTGGCTGTTTTTTTTATTTTTATGAAAACATAAAGAGGCCATAACTGGGCTTGTTCTTGCTGTTATTCAACACGGAGAAAATACACGCTACTTGTGGTGCTACCTTAAGAAAATCCAAGGTTTCCTGCACCACAAAGCACTGGAGATTGGAACAGTAAATCAAAATACAATACCATCCTACATATTCTCAACTCCTTGGCTAAACGACCCCCTGAGCAGTTAATTCAAGCAATCAAATCCAAGGTAATGCTCAATTTGCTAATCTAACCACTAAAATAGCTTGGTGTGTAGACAATAAGTCGTAGTCCCAGAGCACAGAGAGACCAAATGGGCAAGGTGATATTGTTTATTGAACCAACATTTGTCAATGTAGAAGTATACAAATCATGGTGTGGGGAAGGGGAGAGGAAACAAGTCAAACCAGTTACACAGCTACAAGTCAGATTGCTGCAAAATTACGATGTTGGTAGCCTGCTTCAGCAGAAAGACTATCAATTCTTCTTCTTGTTTGATTAATCTTTGCCCCACAGACTGTACCCTTCCCTAGGGTCAGCACAGAACAGATGCTACACCTCCACAGTCACTGTCTGTTATCTTTAGCATAGCCTTCTCCAACCTGGTGCCCTCCAAATATTTTGGATTATAACTCGCATCATTCTCAGCCATCGTGGCCAATAACTAGGCATGATGGGATTTGAAGTCCACTCACCCTCTGAGTGAGTTTTATTAAAAATGAAAAATGTTGTATGTACCATGTAGTTTGGCCCTAAAGCATGCACAGAAGGGGAAATTGTACCTGGCATAGGTTTTCTCATTACATAAAATCATACCAGGAATAATTTTCTCTTCAGCCCAGCCAGCAAGGGAATGTGATTGTGTTGACCAGGAGCAGATTTCTGTTTGGCAACTACACCACGAGTTCTGCTCAGTTCTGGTATTCAAGACAAATTCCTGGACTCAGATTTATTTCATTCTAAATGGGTGCCTTTTGCACCCAGTTCCAGCGGGTCGATCTTGTGGTTCAGGGGTGTGTGTGTATGTGTGGATAACACCAAGCAGAACTTGCAAGTCTGACGTCTGCTCAGCCCTGCCTTAGTTTATATAGCTGGAACAGTCCACTGTGATAGATGTGGGGACTAGGAAGGCCTCCTCTGTATAGACAGTTGTAACAGTGAATGTCTTAGCACTCTGTCAGACCATAAAATGCTGATTCATGGTGTAAAGTCAGTGTGACACATGAGAGGTACCACCAGACTGCTAATCACACCACGGGCCCAGGATTGACAGTGTGGATTAACAATTGTCAACAGCATGCAGGAGACATGAGGGAAATCAATGCGTGTGAATATCTTTGTGATCTGGGGACCATGATACATGTACGTCAAGGTCAGCAGGCTAGTTGGATGGATTGTAATCGAGAGCTTTACCCAGACTAGAAAGAAGGAAGCAGAACAAACACACACACACACACACTGCTCGAGGCATAATGGAGACAGGCAGGTGTGTCCTTGGAGACAGAGGAGTGAGGACTTGAAAAGGAAAATGGGTGCTTTAATCAAATAAAATTCCTAAAAGCACTTCTCCTCTAATTTATGAAATTCTGCTCCTTTTTTAGCTTCACTATATCACACTCCCCCACTCTAGAAACCATTATGGATATACTAACACAAGGTTAGGGAACCCCAAGCTTGGGGCGAAATGTAGCTCTCTAGACCTCTTTATCTGGCCCTTGGGGGCTCTCTCCAGGCCACTCCCCTTTCTGAGCCACACCCACTTTCTCAGGTCACACCCCTCACCAGCCCTGCTTCAGACCTTCCTTGAGTGTTTTCACCTGGCCCGAAAGTGCCCTTGAACTCTGGTGATGCTTCTCACTGGCTTGGATGGGGAATGTGTGGAAGTGTGAGTAGAAACTCGTCAACTGTACGAAGGTAAAATTCATCTCTGTTGCTTTGCCCAATTTTGCCTCCGGCCCTGCCCACCAATGGCACATGACTTCCCAAAAGGTAATTCAGCCCCTGAGCTGAAAAAGTTCCCACAGCCCTTTACTTACCCCAGTACTTTCACCTCCTCTTGCTCAGCTTCACCACCACCATGATCCTGTGCCACTTGTCCCTTGGGCTCCTATAATCTAGTCCACTAAGGACGCTCTCATAACCAGGCCTGTTGCTACAAGTAACTTATGACCCCACTCCTTTCGGCAAGCCTCATGGGGTCTACACTTTGGAAAATCAATCGTCTTGATGATAAATCAGTTACTAATAAGACATGTAACATTGGTTCACCAGTGTCCTGTCTCTTCCAGGGAACCACACCCCACTTAACAAAACAGCCCATTAGAGGCCTGTTTCAGTGCTCTTTGAGAGAGGGAATAATTATGTCAAGGTAGGTTATGCTGGAACCCTGGACTGCACCAAAAGGAATCCAGCTATTCTATATATTATAGTCCAGGGGTAGTAAATATGGGTCCCTCTAGATGTTGCTGAACTCTCATCAGCCCCAGCCAAAATGGCCAAAGATGATGGGTGTTGTAGTCCAACAGCATCTGTAGTCTATTTGCATGCACCTGATCAGTTCCTGGCTATCCTTACAGGCTTCTTTCCATCTGAACCTGTTGCAGCTCTGTTGTGCATTCATCATGCACTTTATAATAAAGAAGAGGGTTGTCTTTCATTTACACCAGTCGATGCAGAATCAGATATGATGTGGTTTTTAAAAACTAAGCATACTTCTGGGATCACGGAAAGTGTTGGTATTAATTTCCATCATTTCAGGTAAAGAATGACCTTTGTATACTTCATACGCATTATGATGCATTGATCAGCCAGGGTTACAGGCAGCTGTAATCACCTTGAGTTAATGATCTTGGATTTTTTGAGAGAGAACTTCTTGCTAGTCAATGTATTGTACAACAGACTCAATACAGAGGGTAACATTTGGACAAGTGGTGCAGGGATAGAAAAGGCTATGAGCATCACTCCTGGGTTGCCGGGCAAGGACCCACAGAAGGGAAATCAGAGCAAGGGGGTACAGTTGCACCCTGGCAACCCTACCACCTCACAGCTTTGTCTAGTTCTAGAGAGGAATTCATATCTTGTAATGTGTACAACAATGGCTTTGCACCCATTGGTAGATTCTCCCTCCCTTCCTCCCTTTGCAAGTTTCCAAGCCCCCCCCCCCCAACCTGGCCAGATGTCAGAGCTGGTATGAGCCTCTGGTGAAGGAGCTTGTGAACTTGTCCCTCTGTATGCACAGAAGCCTCCCAGCCCTGACCCACAGAGCCTGATTAATTACAGAGCAAGCCATTAATATTCACGGCTAATTAAAGATTCTTATCGTGACTAATTCAGCTTATTCTACATACTTGGATCAGAGACCACAGGCCCTTGGGAACTGAGGACAGTAAGAGAATGGAGATCACAGCCTGAGAGTCTGGGGCAAGGATGCAGTGGGCAGATCTAAGCTTTGGGTTGGTCCAAGAAAGGCATTTTACTGCCTGAAATGAAAGACAAGAAAGCAACCTGCAAATACCTCCATTTGATGTACAAAAGTCAACCAGACTGGTAGGTGGAATCTTACTTTCAACACCCACAATGGGACAGCATCTTCTACTACATCTGAGGGTGGAAGGCTAACTTGGGAAGCATAAGGCAGGCAGTGTATGGCACATAAAGACTCATGCCTTCAGTACCTCACTACTTCCCAGCATCTACTGCTTGAGGCAGCCACCTCACCCTGCCTAACGATAGGGCTGGCCCTGGCCAGTGGAGGGGACCTTGGTGATTCTGGTAGTGAGTGAGCGGAAGAGAGCCAAGTGGTGAAATTATGTGTAGTCAGCCCACTGAACTTGAAGGAAAGAGAGGAACTAGGGATAGGTGGATGCATACACATAATACATTTCAATCTCACTCCCCCCCCCAAAATAATCCTGTAATCTGTAGTTTGTAAAGGATGCTGGGAAGCACAGGTCACCCTTGTAAACCACGTAGAGCAGTGTGGGGAATCTTTAACCCAACCAGATGTTGCTGTACTACAACTCCCCTCACTCCAGCAAACATCGCCAGGGATGATGGGACTTGCAGTTCAGCACCACTTGGACAACCAAAGGTTCCCCACACCCGAAGAAGAGGCCTTATTACAATCAAGCAGTATATAAATTTTGTTACATAAACAAAGTACAGCTCCCAGTATTCTTTGCGGTGGGGAAAAAACGTGTTTTTAATGTATGGTGTGTATGCAGCCATTGGGAGCAGGCAGATTTGGAACTCTCTCTGTGCCTACATATGTGCCTGAAGGAATATGCCATTTTCTAAAGAGGGGCAGGGTATAGACTTGTCAGGGAGTGAATCTTGGAGGAGGCAGAACCTGAGGCTGTCTTGGCTTCACTGCTCTTCCTGCCTGACATTCCCAAGTGGTTCGGCCCAGGGACGCCCTAGCCCCAGCTCTCCCCTTGCCCGAGTGTGAGATAGTGGGGGCTGGCCCTGGTAGGAGCAGTGGGGCGGTCTTCCTTCTTAAGCTCCTGTTACACAAATGAAAGGTTTTTAGTCGGAAAGACTCGGAGAGAGTAATACATCTGGCGTATTGATCGCAGGCCAGGGACCAAGGCACGGCTTAAACAGTAATTGATTTCCAGCCGCCGAGCCGTGTTGGGGAACATTGATTTAACAGCACTGCAGACACTGCTACTAATCTGATTAAAGTCTTTAGCAGGAATGTTATTCTAAAGAAACACGGGCAGAGTTGGGGGGTGGGGAGTGAGTGAGAGGAGGCCAAGGGGGGCACTGGGTGGGGTGGGGGGCTGGAGGGAAGGGGCTTTGAGAGCAGAAGGGGGGAGACTGCAGGGAGGACTCCCTTAAGCAAGCCATACCCATGGCTTCATGCAGTGAGGCTCGGACAGGAGGGGAAATTCAGGAGCTTGTGCACATGAGGGTGACACAACCCATTTCACTTGTGGCCCTGGGCACTAGTGCTCAGTTTTTCAGGCAGGCAGCTTTCCAGAGCTTGCTAAATATTAGCCTGCTGGAAACCGGAGATGATTGACAAGACACTGGAGAATTCCACAGATGAAATTGCCTGGGCTGATCCAGGCTTGCTCGGAACAAGCCACCAGCCAGAAACTGCAGCTGGTACAAGAAGTGGTTGCACAGTTTCTGGCCAGTGTCAGATAGTCAGAACATATGCCAATACGGTACCAGTTGCATTACTTACTGGTACATTTCAAAGCCCAGTTTAAACTGCTTGTAAATATATTTAATGCCCTGAATGGTTTGGGGTGGGGTTATCTGCCTGAAGGAGTACCTGTACCCAGGACAACCAGTTGGGCTTCAGATATGGTGTTAAGAGCAGGTTGTTGATAACATGCTGAATTTATGTTGGTAGGGTATATTGTTTTTGTGATGACCTTTTAGGTTACTATGAGGTTTAGTTGTATTAACATTTTCCAACTCTTTTTATACATGTTTTTTTTCAACCAGAGGGCCTGAGCCCTAGGATTTTTGTCGGCACCTGATGAGACCCCAGCCACTCATAATCATAATCCCTATAATATAAACTAGGATATACAAATTTGTGCTATGGACTTGTGCTCCAACTCCTTTTAGTTCCTATCAATGTCTCTGTCTATCAGCCAATAATCTGTCCAGTACATGGATCTTGAATGCCCTTTACACAGCACTGCAACATAGTGGAAGCAATTTTCTATGGTAGAATCCAAAGGTCCACAGGTAGATGGACAAGGCTGAATGAATGCCTGTTCCCCACAGAATCCCTGTGAATGGTTCAATCTACCAGCTGAGTGTGGCTAGAGGAAGACATTAGTAGACGAACTGTCCTTGGTCCCAGTGCTCCATTTACCACCCTTGGCTCCCAGGTAGACATTGGGCTACCTGTCCAAAACTATGTAAAATGGACACCTCACATGGAAGGATGAGCTCCTCTTCTTCCCAAGCTAGATGAGGAGATGGGAAACATACCATGGCATTGCCTGCACTTGGCATAGGGAACATGGGGCACCAGTCTTAGCAGATCTCCAGGTTCATACCACCTATGCTGCATTCTCCAGAAAGCTGAAACTAACATTCTCTCTGGGGTATTTAGAAGTGGGATAAGATTGAGTGTTTTGGGGTAAAGGGAGCTGTCCCAACTCACAGTGGGGACACCTGAATGAACACAGGTGTTTACATTCATTGTTTTCTGTTTTGTCTCATATCAATTGTAGTGGCACCCTCAGCATGTTCTTCCCACTTAGCAGAGATTCTGGAACCACTTCACTTGTCTTTATGGCATGTTCCTTGGTAGAGTTGGCCTCTGCCTGGTCTCAAGATCCCAGTATCTCCTCTTCTGTTCCTCTCACCTTCCCAGTCAGCTCTGCTCCCAAAGCTCTAATCTACCCTGCTCTCCTGTCCCAGCATTATTGCTTTGCCGCACTGATTTAAATCAAGGCGATTTAAATCAGTAATTTAAATCACCAAGAGAAGAGATGGGCTTAAATCATTGATTTAAATCAAGTTTCCCATTTGTACTCCAGCTATTTCCTAAACAAACATGCATACTAATTGGCTGATATAAACGTTTTAAAAATGTTGATTTACAACTAAGTAGAGTCTTTATGCTACCTAGAAGGTAATCCAAGTGTTTTGCTTATGCAGTCCACGTGCATTTGCACTGCAGTCTTAAAAACCATTTAGGGAAGGGGCAATTGAGTGCACACCTTGGAAATATCCCCATGCGTAAGCTCCCACGTTCTACTGCCATCCCAGCCCTGTCCCATTTTGGATGAATTTATTTATTTATTTTTAAATAATATTTATTAATTTTCCAACCGTTTAAACACAACAAAACAGAAAAACAAAAAAAGCAAAAAAACCATAAGACTAACAAAACAAGACACAAACCATTTAAAACAGAAAACAATTTCAATATCTTAACCTTCGTTCCCTTATTTCCACGACCTCCTCACACCTCCCTTTTTGTATTCCACTTCTGTTAATTGTTTCAGCAATTCCTTTCCATCTTCCTCTGTTTTCTATCCTATAATTATCTTAACATATTCTTATTTTTCCCTTTAATACTCTATTAATCTATTTATACTTAATTCCTTATAGCATTTCTACTAAAGCCATATAACTTCATTCCAACATTTTTCTAACATTCATTATTTTTACAGTATTTCTATACATAGTCTTAAACTTTTCCCAGTCTTCTTCCACCGACTCTTCTCCCTGGTCTCGGATTTCTGCCAGTCGTTTCCGCCAATTCCATATAGTCCATCAACTTCATCTGCCATTCTTCCCGAATAGATAAATCTTGTGTCTTCCAGTACTTCACAATGAGTATTCTTGCTGCTATTGTTGCATACGTGAAAAAAGTTCTATCCTTCTTTAACACCAATTGGCCGACCATGCCCAGGAGAAAGGCCTCTGGTTTCTTCAAGAGGGTATATTTAAATACCTTTTTCATTTCATTATCAATCATCTCCCAAAGTGTCTTAATCCTTGGGCATGTCCACCAAAGGTGAATTCTAATCCTCAAATTCGTCTGTTTTTCTATAAGTTCAGTCGTAGCAAGCGTCAACTTATGTTCATCAAATTGCCTCTGTAGGGCTGGGGCTCTCTTTCTCTTTCTCTCCAGTTGTGTTACTTTACATTCAACAACAACAGCTTTTTCCCTGGCTTCCTCCGCAGTTTGCCGTATCAAAGTAAGTTCCTGTATCAATTTCTGGGTGGTTTCTGTATTGGTATTGTTTATACTTTCTGTAATTAAGTTAATTTTAATAGTTGAAACATCCACTTTCGCATTTATCGTATCCATTTTCCTGTTAAGCTGATCCAATGAGTCATTTATCTTATATAATGCAGCCACTAAAGCCTCTTCTGTCGACATTCCTCTTGGTTTTAAATATACTGGTACAAAGGCTGCAACAGAAGGAGCAGGGAAGCCTGATGATGGACCTCTCCTGGATTGTTGCCAAGTCCTCCCAGACCTTAATGTTTTGTCAGCAGTTGACTGGTCTGTTTTTCCTCTTCCATTTACCATAACACTTAAAAGATTCAAGGTCAGTCCCAGAGTCTCACGGTTTTTAACTTGCAGCTGGAAATTTCCCTAGCCCAGCTCTTGTAACGCAACTGGTTTCAAAGGCTTCCACTAGGGGGAAACAGTTTCTATTTGTAATAGTCAATAGTATCCTCTTTTAAACAATCCAATATTAGTTTCAAATTAGTTTCAATTTTCAGTTACTTTTACTCCTTTTTAAAGCAGCCGGAGACAGTAGAAACAATGTATTTCTCTTGTTTAGCTAGCTGTCAATGAACGTTCTAAACGCTGTCAATGAACATTCCAAAAGATGTCAGTCCTACTAGCAGCCCATATCCAGGGTCAGAGCGGCGGTGTTTTAAATCTCTTCGCTCTCTCCCGCAGGCATACTCAATCCACAACTTCCCCCTCTCTTCTCCTGCCTCCAAGAGGGGGTTTAATGTTCTTTACCGATGGAAATTTAATCTTTTACGAAAGACTTTCCAGGACTCCAGCTTGCAACTTCATTGCCTCAGCCTATTTACAAAAGGGGAAGGCGGACTTCCTGTTTTGAACCTCCCCGTTACGATACCAAATTAAACATTTAGAAATCCAATTCTTCCGCTTCAGCTCTACTCACGGGTAATTACTTTAAAGTCCAATTGTCCACAGGAAAAGGTCAGCACTCTCCGGCAACAGCTACGCGGCTTCGCTCCGTGGAAGAAGCAGACGATTCGATGCACCACGCCGCTCACCCCACGTCGCTCCGGAGCCCCAAAAACCGGGGTTCCCCATGAGTGGAGGAGGCGCAAAAGGTGCCCGCCGAATCCCACGCTCACAGGCTTCTCCCGCCTGTGATTTTAATGGGTCTCCGCCTTCGCCGTGGCGGCCAGACCCAGATTTCCACGGAGCAGATTCCTCCCGGTCAGAGGAATTCCGCCATTACCGGAGGCACCTCCCCGGAAGTCCATTTTGGATGAATTTAAGCCCACACATATTTCCTTCTCTGCACAGCATATCCCAGTGCTTTTGTCCTGCAGATACTCATCTTTTTCCTTAGATCCCAGAATAGCAAGTGCTGTTGGACTTAAGATCCAATTGACTGTTATGTGTGTCAAATAGGATGTATAAGTGCATGAATAGGTAGGGTGCTTAGATTGGTCAGGGCAACCACTTGCACTCTGGATCCTTGCCTCTCTTGGCTGATAAAAACTGGCTCGCTAAGCCTAGGAGGTGATCATTGCCACCCTGCAAGAGGAGGTGGTCCCTGCTTGCTTGAAGGAGGCAGTGGTAAAACTACTACTCAATAACACTTTCCTGGATTTGGAAAGTCTAAGTACCTACCAGCCAGTTGCCAATCTGCCCTTCTTGGGCAAGGTTCCTGAGTGGGTGGTCATGGACCAGATCATGGGCACAGCCAAGGAGAGGCAGGGAGGGACAAGTGCCCTCCTAAATCAATAAAAACACATAGCTGAGGTTCTGCATCCCCTACAAAAGGCCTGCTTCTCCCACAAAACCCTGGCTACGCCCATGGACCAGATCCTGGCACTCTTGGAGGAAACTAATTTTCTAGATCCATTACCATCAGGGTTTAGGGCGGGTCTTGACCCAAAAACTGCTCCTCGACCTCTCAGCAGTTTCCAGTACCATTGGCCATGGTATCCTTCTGGAGCAGTTGCCTCCCCCTCCATATTTTAATATCACCAAAGGCTAAATGGGCAGGCTCCATGGGGTTTGAGCCTGAGCACATTATAAATCATCCAGGCAGAATGAGTATCTTTCCTAATCAAAAGCTTACATTTAGTCAAAAGAAATCAGGCTAAGATAAAGGACAGTTTGAAAATGAAAGCTTTGCTGCAAAAGATTAATTATCAGTGCCTAGAAATTTCGAAGGCCATTGTGCAAGACCAATGCCAGGCGAGCTTGGCCAGCAGCACCCCCACTTCCTAATTCTCTGTTCTAAAAAGAAGAAGAAAGAAAGCACCACAGAGCCAGAGAGTAACCGGAAGCAGAAAAACAACAACACCCATTATTCTGCCCAGAGAGCTGCTTTATTGGGGGGAAGAAATCATGTGGCTAGGGACAAGAAAAGAATGACCTTGCCTCCAGGGTCTACAGACCAATAGCAGTCCTAAGTGCCACAGTGATGTCACAGGCAGGTGGTTGGGCTGGACACACTCCCCATTATGACAAAGGAAATTACCATTTTAATTGATTTCCCAGGAGTTACAGAATAGAAGGAGAGGAATTCAAGGACTCATTAATCAAAACATTTGCTCTGTCTGGAAGGGTGTTTTCCCCCTAATAGAAAACAAAAGGATGTTGATTTTGCCTGATATCCAAGGAAGAAAAACATATCAGGAGACTGATAGCTCATTGACTCTAGCAGGCAAGCTGTGTTTTTCCCCCTGACTTAAAATGGAGGTTATGTCCTAACATGGCTGCACATTCAGTCACAGAGAAATACAAATATTAGTAACAATATCAGCACAAGTTCACTTTCTCTCTCAACAGGTGACTTTCATGCACCAGGTCATAACTTCTCTTGCACTTTTACTTGATAACATTGCCTTGGGGTTCCCTGGACCCAGGTGGCCCCTTCTTTAACATCCAACCAGCATGAATGAGGATCCAAGCTCCATAAAAGGCTCAGAATAAATCCGCAGTCATTCACCTGGGCAAGAACTGCTCATTCCAGATGTTCTGAGCAGCAAGCCTGATGCTCCTCTTGTGCATTTCCCCCTTGCTACACCTTGAGCCCCAAACAATCTGACACAAATATTTGGGATGCATTAGTCCCAAAGAGGGTCCTTAAAGCACTTATGTGGCCTCACCCTGGTGTGCAGAAGAGCAAGGAGCACTGAGATGCCCAAATACGTTAATGTCAGAAAGCATCATAAACTATCATGAGAACACTAGAAGCTGCCTTATTACTCAGGCCATTGAGCCATCTAGCTCAGTACTGTTGACACTGACTGGCTGTGGCTCTTAATGGTTTCAGGTAGGAGTTTTTCCCAGCCAGGGATTGAACCTGGGAGCTCTTGCAGGGAATGTCCTTCCATTGAGCTAAGGCCCTTCTTCCTGCAAGCCTGAGTACAAGTCTGGAGGTGGAGGGATCACAGGCTTGGCGGTCTTTGGTTTTCCTCTTGACACCTCGGACTTTTCCTCCTCCAAGCAACATTCCAGCCTCCGAGTTATTTCTTCAACCAGATTTCCTCCTTCTTAGTACTCACAAACTTTATGCCCCCTTCCCTTTGATTGCACTGTGGGGCATACATTAATTATCCACTGGGACTGACAGAGAGGTTGACAGCTAAAGGGAGTTTTCTGCCCATGGAAGGAGGAAGTGCCTTCTGTTTCTGGTTGAAGAATAGATGTGTAAATATGTGTGCTTAACAGGAACATTCTCTCTCCCTCTCTCCCTCATCCATACACACATGTGGCTGATCCTCACCATCTGTAACAGTATTAATGGGAAAGCAGGCCAATTGTGATGGCCTCTTCCAAGGCACAATGTGCTTGTATTTCAGCTGTTCCCTCCCATTCTTGCCTGGCTTGACTCCACAATTTGCCTGCACTAGGTAGTGATCACATACTGGGTGCTACCCTCATGGAAAGTACCTTTCTGAGCCAGGACATAGCAAGCGACTGTCATGCATGCATGATCCTGAATGACTGGAATTGGAGCAACTGGTGGTGAAAAAAAGGTGCAATTATGTTCAGATTTTTAAAAAAATAATATTTATTACTTTTATAGATTACAAAAAGAGAAAAAGAACAAGAAAGAAAAAAAACAGGGGGAAAAAACAAAAGAGAAAAGCAAAAAGAAAAAAGAAAAAAACCAATACAATACAATATATAGACAATACAAAACACACCCTAAACTCAAAACTAAACACATTAAACTAAACTAAACAAACCCCACTCCCTAGCCTTAACCCTAAATGAAATAAAACAAAAACAATTTAAAAACTTACATCATCTCTTTTCCATACTCTATCTTTCATTCCCTTATTTCCTCGACCTCCTCTCACCTCCCTTTTTGTATACCACTTCTATTAATTGTTTCAGCAAATCCTTTCCATCTTTCTCCATTTTCCATAATATTGTAAATAACGAATTTTTTAGCCTTATTTTCCATTAAAACTAAAATACTTATATATGCTTAACTCCTTATAACATTTCTACTAAGCCCATAAAAAATAAAAAATACAAAAAATCATTCCACCATTTTTCTATCACTCATTAGTTTTACCATAAGTCTATATATAAACTTTAAATTTTCCAATCGTCTTCCACCGTCTCCTCTCCCAGGTTTCAGATTCTGCCAGTCCTTTCCGTCAGTTCCATAAAGTCCATCCACCTGGTGATCTTATGTCCGAGGCTCTTAACTCTTTTCCAAGTCCCTTCTGCAGGTCTTCTTCATTTTCTTTAATGCTAAAAAGCAAATCTCGGGGAAACTCCAACCTGTCAATCCTTTTCTTCCTTCTGAACAAATCAGCTAAATTTCCATAGTTAAAGCTACAGTCCATAAAGTATTTCAGGGCATATTTCAGGATTCCTCCAAGTCCAAAGGCCCCCAAAACTTCAATCTCCTCCAGGCCCAAGTCCATGTCCCAAAAGTCAGTTAATCCCTGCATAGAGGGCTCTTTCCAACTTTCCTTCTTTAATCCAAACCTGGATCCATTCCTCAGAGTCTGACTTTTCCTAGATTCAATCATAAAAGGCCTCAACTTATAGTCCTCAATTTGCTTCTGTAAAGCCACAGATCTCACTTGTATTATTTTATATTCAACAACAGCAGCATTCTCCTTCTCCTCCTTCTCCTCCACCATTTGTCCTGCCAAAATGGATTCCTGTACCAAGTCCTGAATTATTTCTGTGTTGGTGTTCGCTTTTTGACTCAAACTGGTCACTTTCTGTTCCAAATTATCAACTTTAAAAGTCATGTCATCCATCTTCTTGTGAAGTTGTCCCAGCGAACAGCTTATCTTACATAAAACAGTCACAATGGCCTCTCCTGTCAACATTTTTAAAGGGTCCAAGGTCGCTCTCTGGTTCTCAGAATCCTTATCTGCAGCTGGGAATCCCCCAGTTACACTCCTGTTACAGTTTCAAAAGCTCCCTCTAGAGGGAAACAGTCTCCACTTGTATCAGTTCTTTCATACATTAAAGATAAATTTTCAGTTACTTTTCCTCTTTTTTAAGCGCAGAAAAGGACAATGGAAACAGTATCTTACTCTTATTTAGCTAGCTGTCAAATCCGTTCTGTCAAATGCACTCTCTCCAAACGTCATCTGGCAGCCCGTTCCCAGGTTCAGAGCAGTGGTAATTTAATTTTTCACTCTCTCCTGCAGGCTCACTAGATCCAAAATTTCCCCCTCTTCTCCTGCTTCCAAGGGGGGTTTTGTATTTTAAACCGGTGGAAATTTAATCCTTTGCCAAAAGCTTTGAAAGGCTTTAACTTGTAACGTCTTTGCTTCAGTCTATTTACGAAAACGGGAGGCGGACTTCCTGTTTACAACCTTCCCATTTCAATGCCAAATTAAAGTATTTAAAAATCCAATTTTCCGTTTTACTCACGCGTAGTTTAAAATCCAATTGTCCACAGGAAAAAGTCAGCGCTCTCCAACAACAGCAATGCGGCTTCACTCCGTGAAAGAAGCAGTCGATTCAAAGCACCGCACCACTCACCCCACGTCGCTCCGGACCCCAAAAACAGGGTTTCCCCGCGAGTAGGGGAGGCGCAAAAGGTGCCAGCCGAATCCCAGGTTCACAAGCTTCTCCCGCCTGTGATTTCAATGGGTCTCCACCTTCGCCGTGGCGGTCAGACCCTGTTTTTCACGGAGCAAGTTCCTCCCGAACGGAGGAGCTCTGCCATTGCCTGAGGCGCCAACCCGGAAGTCACAATTATGCTCAGATTAGAGAGCAGGCTCCAGTGTTTCACAGGACAGAGATATATATGCACATGCTACTTGGCTGGGCTTCTAGGGAATAGGATTCCTTGTCTCTCCAAGCTTCCTGTTCCAGGGCACATGGTTCTTATAGAGACATCATCCACCCACAATTAAAAGGGGTAATTTATTGAAGGGGTAATTTGTTGATCCCTGCAATGGGTGGTTGGTTCGGTGCCGAGTTAGGGCTTCTCCACACTGGACCAAAATTTGGACGCCCATTCCACTGTTGTCTCAGACCTTTCCTACTTTAAATACAGGTTTTCCCAATGTGGACTTTCCAAGGATCAAAAAACCCACATTTAAAAGGGGAATGGCCAGTTCACCATTGGGATGAGGATGCCTTTACATTAATGGGGAGACAGGCCAGCACAAATACACACTTTGCTCCAGTGTGGGCAAGCCCTATGTCCACTATGCCTTGTTTACATATTCTATATTGAGGAAACAATTCAAACCTGATTAGCTTACACAAATTAGTTCTCTACCTGGTATCTGCATCTCACTTTGCACCCTGTTGTAGAACTGCACATAAATGTTTAAGAACTGCTGGATAGAGTAATGAGAATATGGACCAGCTGCAAAAGAAGCCTGTGCGTAACTTCAAGCTATCTTTAATTCAAGAGTCTAAAAATGCAATAGCTGTTTTCTTGTACCTGGTGGCGTCTTTCTCTTTCGGAATACTCTGTTCCTTGCCAAAATGCTGATATTCTTGTTGAGTGGACCATGGGAAAGTTCAATGTTCTTTCATTTATCCTTAAACCTCAGAATCCCTCCATCTGGGAGAAATTCCCATGCCAGCCCCACCTCCCCAAACTGATCCACTCTGGCTCCGGATTTGCAAAAGCCAAGCAAGAAAGCAGGATCTATTTGTAAACAGCAGGCAAAGACTGATGCGCACACTTTCTCTCTCTCTCTCTCTCTCTCTCTCTCTCTCTCTCACACACACACACACAAACTGCTCCCCCTCCATCTGCTATGCCAGTTATCTTGCTTAACTGTATTGTCAAAGAAGTTTATCAGAGATAGAAAATATCCTGCATTAATCCAGACACCGGTGAGTTGGAATGAACTCCTGGACTATTAATGGCTTTGGAGAGAAGAGGGAATTTTAAAAAAGCATGGGGACAGACTACATGCAACTGCATGCAACTGGTTTTTGTGTTGTCCACACAATGTTGTCTGCACCCAACTGGCAGCCTGCACTTCCCCCCATTGAATTCTGATTTTCCCAATCCCTGGATAATGCAACAACATAACTCCAACATACAATTGTGTGCTATCCAAGTATGGCCACACTGAAGCACATTGTCTGGGCAGGGTTGTGGGGGTTTTTTTGCATGTCAATGTTTTGCTGGGTGCCATCAACCACTGTATCCCCTACTCCATTTACTTGTCGTCTGAGCTCAACCCATCCAAGAAAGGATGCAGCTTGCCTATTTCCACCAGTTGTTGCTTAAGGCATGTTCACAGCAATCTTTTTAAATTTTTTAAAACAACTGTTTTGTGTGGAATTGCTCTTGCACTAAACAGCTGTATTAAATCCAAAACTATTTTTTTAAAAAAATAATATTTATTATTTTTCCAAAAACTTAAACACTAAAAAGAAAAAAAAATACAATACAACACATCAAATTAACAAAACAAGACAAAGACAATAAAATAAATCAAACAATTTCATTATCCCATCTTTCATTCACTTATTTCCACGACCTCCTCACACCTCCTTTTTGTATTCCACTTCTGTTAATTATTTCAGCAATTCCTTTCCATCTTCCTCTGTTTTCTATCCTATAATTATCTTAACTCATTCTAACCTTATTTTTTCCTTTAATGCTCTATTAACCTATCTGTACTTAAATCCTTATAATATTTCTACTAAAGCCATATAACTTCATTTCAACATTTTTCTAACATTCATTAATTTTACAATATTTCTGTAGATAGTCTTTAAACTTTTTCCAATCTTCTTCCACTGACTCTTCTCCCTGGTCTCGGATTCTGCCAGTCATTTCCGCCAGTTCCATGTAGTCCATCAACTTCATCTGCCATTCTTCCCAGGTGGGCAAATCTTGTGTCTTCCAATACTTCGCGATGAGTATTCTTGCTGCTGTTGTTGCATACATAAAAAAAGTTCTATCCTTCTTTAACACCAATTGGCTGACCATGCCCAGGAGAAAGGCCTCTGGTTTCTTCAGGAAGGTATATTTAAATACCTTTTTCATTTCATTATAAATCATCTCCCAGAATGTCTTAATCCTTGGGCATGTCCACCAAAGGTGAAAGAATGTGCCTTCAGTCAAAATCCAAAACTAAAATTGGCCCTTGCAGGTACATAAGGAGGTTAAGGAAAGAAAAAGAAAAACACACCTCCAAATTCCTCTCCCCCAAATCAGTCTCCCCGTCCTGCCTTGCTGTGATGGGATGATGAGCTGCTTGTGCGTAAAATCGTATCCCCTCAGAGTTTGTTCAAGTCCACAAACCTCTGTCTGTGACGGAGCCCCTCAGACATGGCTGCTCTAGTCACTAGCAGATTCCGACAGTGGTTGCTTTCGTAATCGCTTCCAACATAAAAGCTCCTTAACGGAAACACGTCTTCTGGAATCTCTGCGTGACAGTTTCCGGCGAGGAGTGGGTGTTCTTACAGGAGGTTCTGAAACCTCCCCACTGTTTTCGCTGGAAGTGTCTCTGAGCCATCCCTCCAGCTCAGCTCCTCTCCCCTGCTGGTTCCTTCTTCAGCTGCTGCGTCTCTCCCAACCTGTGTGAGCCCTTTCACCTCCCTGTTGGTTCCCTCTTCAGCTGCTGCGTCTCTCCCAACCTGTGTGAGCCCTTTCACCTCCCTTCCGTCCGATGGCAGTTCCCTGACATCCACCTCCCCTCCAGGGCCCCCTTCACCCCCTCTCGCCCCCTCCTCTACGGGCGGTGAGGAGGCAAAACCCGGAATGAACTTCCTTCATCTTCCGATGTCTCGAACACTTCTCTCAACCTGTTGCGGTTCCTGGTCTCGAAGTACACCTCCTCCTCAGAGTCTATCTCCCCTTCCCCTTCCGAGTCCGGGAATCCTTCCAACTCCTCCCCTTCATCAGTGGTCCCAAAGTATTCCCTCCGGAACCTCTCCACAGGCTGAGGTTTCCTTGGGAACCTTTGATGGAACGTTTCTATCAATACCTCGTCATTGATATCTTCAGCCATTACCCAAGTGTTTTCTGACTCCGGTTCTCCTTCCCACGCTACCAAATACTCCACCTGATCCCCCTTCCACCTGGCGTCGAGGATTTCAGCCACATGGCTGCTGCATTCTCTTTCTTCTACGACCGGTCCCCGAGTGGCCAGCCCTTCTCGTCCCCCTTCGTACGGTGACAGTAACGACCTGTGAAATACTGGGTGCAGTTTCATGTGGTTGGGTAACCGGAGCCTGAAAGCCACTGGGTTGACCTGTTGAATGACCTCAAAGGGACCCAACCTCCTGGGTCTTAATTTCTTACAACCTCCTTTGAACGGCAACCCTTGGGTTGACAGCCACACCCTATCTCCCACCCTTATGGTTTCACCTTCCCTTCGGTTCTTGTCTGCCTGCCTCTTGTATTCTTCCTTCGCCCTTTCTAAGTTGAGTTGGAGCTGACGATGGATTGCTTCCATTTCTTCCACAAAATGTTCGGCTGCCGGGACGCTCCATCTCTCCCCTCTCCCCTGGGAAAGCCCTGGGATGACACCCATAATTAGCCAAGAAGGGGCTCATCCCTGTGGACACATTCTCGGCATTGTTGTAGGCAAATTCCGCCAGCGCCAACTTTTCTACCCAGTCATTCTCTCTGTCATTGACATAACACCTCAGGTATTGCTGGAGGACACCGTTTGCTCTTTCCGCCTGCCCGTTGGTTTCAGGGTGCCGGGCAGTCGAAAAATTGACCTCCACCTGCAGTAAGCTCATGAGCTTCCTCCAGAACCTGGAAGTAAATTGTTTTCCTCGGTCTGAGACCACCCTCAATGGCACCCCGTGCAACCTAAAAATGTTTTCTACAAATAACTTCGCTGTCTCTTCCGCCGTGACTGCATGCGAGCAAGCTACAAAGTGGCACATCTTTGTTAGTAGGTCTACCACCACCATGATGGCTGTTTTCCCTTTGGACTTCGGCAGATCAGTCATAAAATCTATCGACACTGCCTCCCAAGGTCGTTCTGGGGTTGGTAAGGGTTCTAATAGCCCCGCCGGCGCCCGCCTTTCCCCTTTGGCTCGCTGGCATTGCTCGCACCCTCTTACATACTCACGTACATCTTCCCTCACCTTAGGCCACCAAAATTCCCTGGTGACCAACCACATGGTTTTGTGTTGTCCAAAATGCCCCGCCGTAGGGCTGTCGTGCAACTGCTTGAGTACCCTCCCCTTAACTCTCCTTCAGGGATATACAGTGCCCCTTGTAATACAAAGCTCCATTTCTTTCCTCGAAACCCCCTGGTTCCTCTCCATCACCCCTAAGACCTCTGAGCTTATTCTGGGCGTATTCATCATTCTCTGTTTCCTCTACCAGTTCTCTTTGTCCCACCAATGCCGCCCCACACACCCAGCGGTCTTCTGGAATGACATGTCTCTCTTCGGGTGCCCCTCCCCTCCAAATATTCAGGTTTGCGTGAGAGAGCGTCCGCCCTAATGTTCTCTGGGCCTGGCACGTAACTAATCTCAAAGTTAAATTTGGAGAACTCCTGGGCCCATCTCACTTGCCGTTGGTTGAGCACTCGTGCCGTCCTCCAATACTCTAGGTTCTTGTGGTCAGTGCACACTTGCACCTTATGTTGTGCGCCAATTAGCAGGTGCCTCCATCTCCGGAACGCCTCATAAATGGCTAGTAGTTCTCGGTCATACACCGTGTAGTTCCTCTCGGATTTGTTCAGCTTTCGCGAAAAAAGGCACACGGTCTCCACTCTGACCCCTTCTTGCCTGGCTGCAGAAGCACCGCCCCAATCGCTCTGTCTGATGCGTCAGTTTCCACTCTCATCGGTTTTTGTAAATCCACATGCAGGAGTTGTTGTTCCGAGGCGAAGGCCCTTTTTAGTTCCTCAAATGCTCGCTCCGCCTCCTCAGTCCACACGAACTTCTTCTTACTGCTGAGACAGTCCGTAATGGGCGCCGTCAGGTGGGCAAAGTTTCGGATGAACTTACGATAGAAGTTCCCAAATCCTAGGAACCTCTGCACATCCTTCTTTGTTTTGGGTGTTTTCCATTCCAGTACCGCCTGGACCTTGCCGGGATCCATGGCCAATCCCTTGTCTGACAGGCGATACCCCAGGAATTCCACCTCCTTGGTATGAAACTGACACTTCTCCAGTTTCACCCACAGCTGGTTGGCTTGCAGCCTGCTCAACACTTCTCTGACGTCTCTCACATGCTGCTCCTCATTCTCAGAATACACCAACACGTCGTCTAAAAAGGCCACACAATTCTTGTAAAGCAAAGGCCCCAGGACGTGGTTCATAAACGATTGAAATGTTGCGGAGCCTGCTTGTAGGCCGAAGGGCATAACCAAATATTCAAATGCCCCTAAAGGGGTGAACATAGTGGTTTTCCATTCATCCCCCTTCCTTATTCGTACCAGGTTGTACGCCCCCCTTAGGTCCAGCTTTGTGAAAATCTTTCCCTTCCGCACCCTTGTCAAAATGTCGTCAATCCTGGGCATAGGGAAGGCTACTGGTTCTGACACTGCATTTAAGGCCCTGAAGTCACACACCAGCCTCGGCTTGTTCGTGTTTTTCTTATCCACAAAAACACTGGGCTGCCCCCCACCGACCTGGACTCTCTGATGAACCCTCTCTTCAGGTTCTTGTCAATGAACTCTCTTAACTCCTGCATCTCTCTGTCTGACATGGCGTACAGCTTGCCTACAGGGAGCTGTGCTCCAGGGAGTAAGTTGATTTGACAGTCAAAGGGTCTATGCGGGGGGAGTTGGTCAGCTTCCCTTTCGCTGAAGACGTCACGGAGATCTGCATATTGTCGTGGTACCTTCACGTTCTCTGTTACTTCAGTCCCTGCTAGGGCGGCTTGGACCCCTGCCAAACCCTTTCCCTCTTTGCAGTGTTCTAAGCAATGTGCTGAACCAAAAGAAACCACTCTCTGATGCCAGCCCACCAGCGGATCATGTAACGCTAGCCAGCTCATCCCCAATATAATGGGAGCTCCTCCCAAGGTGGCCACATTAAAAGCTATCAGTTCGGTGTGCCTTGCTACCTTCATTATCATTGGGACGGTCTGCAAGCTGACTTCTCCACCCAACAGCTCCCTGCCATCGATCGTGGTCACCTGCAAGGGGCTGCTTAAAGGGATTGTCTGTATCTGGTGTTCAGCTGCAAACTCTTTGCTCATGAAATTGCAGGAGCTGCCTGAGTCCAACAGCGCCTTTATCTTTAGAGGGTGTCCGTTTGGCAGCTCTAGCGTCACTTCTATCACTAGGGCGGGTTTAGGAGGTTCTGGCGTGGGCACTCTCACTGCTCTTTGGCCTGGCTGCTGTGCCCTGACAGTGGCAGCCAGGCGTTGGCTTTTACTTGCTCCGGTAGTTTTTCTCTTCCATCCACAGCTCCTACCATCCCTTGCCATTCTTTCCTCTGGGGGCAGACTCTGGCAAAGTGACCTGGCTGTTGGCAGAGATAGCATTTCCGGGCGCCTTTTCCCTCCTTCTTTGCCCCCTCACTGGGCTTTGAAACTGCGCGCGCGCGCTGTTCCGATTTCCATCGGCTCTGCCGGTGGGAAAGTTGGCTCTGGAATGTCTGGAATGCGGAACTCCTTCCAACGTTCCCCTTTCCCTTCCCGCCTCTCCAATGCTCTCGCCTCCTGGCGCGCTCCTATGGCCAGCGCTGATTTGGTCAGCTGGTCCATAGACTCCGCCCTGGGCGCCCGGGAAAGTTCGTCTTTCACAGCCGAAGAAAGCCCTTCTTCAAAGAGCATTTGAATGGGTTCCGCCGATAAGTCCCACCCCAATCTGTGAACAAGCATGGTGAACTCAGTCCAGTACTCACGGACAGATCGGCTCCCCTGTTTGCAACCCATTAACTGTCTGCGCACCACTCCCTTTTCAATATCGCTGGAAAACATCAGATCCATGGCGCGAAAGAACTTCATCGTGTCCTTTAAGACGTCACTATTCGCTGCCATCAGGGGTCTAACCCAGTCTCTCGCCCCCTTTTCAAGATGCTCAATCACGAAAGCCACTCGTGATTCCTCGTCAGGGAATTCATCAAACTGCAGATTGAGGGCATATTGCATTTCTGTCCGAAAACCATGATAGTTTTGGGCTCCCCCAAACTTCTGCACCAATCCTGGTACCTTTCTGGCGAACTGGGTGGCTTTCCCCTTTTGTCTGCATCCTGAGCCCTCCTCTCCTCAAGCCTCGCCGTCTGCATCGCTAGCTGGACCTCCAACATCTGGTACCTTTCTTCCAGGCTTGGACCCGCTCCAGCTCCTGCTTCTCCGGTTCCGGCTGGGTTGCTCATGATGCCTTCTCCTGCACAAGCTGCTTTCAAAGACTGTCGGAATGCTGTGATGGGATGATGAGCTGCTTGTGCGTAAAATCGTATCCCCTCAGAGTTTGTTCAAGTCCACAAACCTCTGTCTGTGACGGAGCCCCTCAGACATGGCTGCTCTAGTCACTAGCAGATTCCGACAGTGGTTGCTTTCGTAATCGCTTCCAACATAAAAGCTCCTTAACGGAAACACGTCTTCTGGAATCTCTGCGTGACAGTTTCCGGCGAGGAGTGGGTGTTCTTACAGGAGGTTCTGAAACCTCCCCACTGTTTTCGCTGGAAGTGTCTCTGAGCCATCCCTCCAGCTCAGCTCCTCTCCCCCTGCTGGTTCCTTCTTCAGCTGCTGCGTCTCTCCCAACCTGTGTGAGCCCTTTCACCTCCCTGTTGGTTCCCTCTTCAGCTGCTGCGTCTCTCCCAACCTGTGTGAGCCCTTTCACCTCCCTTCCGTCCGATGGCAGTTCCCTGACACTTGCCATGTGTGCTTATGTGTGAAACATACTGTTTATGTTCTTCTCCAAGCTGAACTGTGGCTTTCTGTGCTGGTGGGGGGAATCTGAAGATTGGAGGTGCCCATGCCTTCCAACTGCCCAGCCGTTCTTTACACTGTTGAGATGGTCCTCAATGAGGTGCTGGCTCTCCACTTAGCAGTACCAAGAATGATGCAAAAATAGGTTTTGTGTAGATCCAGCAGATTTGTCTACTGTGAAACATGTGTGGAACTTTGGTGAAAGCTCAGTATTGCACTAATCTAGGGACAAAACATAAAAAAAAAATAAAGTCTGTGTGCAAAGGTAAACAAGTATACCTATTTGCATGCCCACACAATGGATCTCAGGTTTCTGGACCTTCTGGAAGGCTGGGAAGTAGTAACTGAAGGGAAGGGGCAACAACACACAACAGGAATGCATTCCATCAAGCACCACCCAATTGTGTGGATGGGAAACTTCAAGATAGTTTAAATGTGTTTGTGTTTCAACAAAAGTGTACAAAAGCACATGTTTTCATGATAAGGAAGGTGATGGGGAAATGTGCTGGAAAGTGCAAGATAATACTTGTTTTGACACAAAGCCATCTAGCCTCCCTGCAAACAAATCAAAATGAATGCTCATTAAATAGTCAACATCACTGAATCTCCTTGCAAACAAATCAAGACTAATGCTCAATAACCAGGTCATCTGGAAGCTCCATAGGAAAGCAGAAGTGTCGGCCAAAGACGGCATTGTTACATTGCAGTTGTCAGTGTAACCATCTCTGTCTCCTTTTAGCTCACTTGTTCCTACTTTGAATCCAAAACATTTCATCGATATACTTAGATTTTAGTTTTACCACAACTCCCGGATGTTCAATAGAAGCGTTGATCATTGGCAGATTAAAGAGCAGCAGAACCAGCAATGGCTTTTTGATATTCAGCGCTCTTGCAACCTGGACTTTGAGGGAGGAGGTTTATTGGATGGTAGAGGGAGGAACAGAGGGAAGAACTGAAGGGTGTCACACACTATTTTTGATAACACAAAATACTGAAGTGCCCTGCTTATGCCCTGCCTCCTTTCCCCTTATTATTTTTGGGAGTATTGAAGTCCTGCAGCCTCCCCTACTCCCAGTTGTTGGATCCCAGGCTGCCTGCATAGCGATAATTAAATTATAATATTTATGAGGATTTTACATCTCCTGCCAGATGGAACTGCGACCAACAGCAAGAGGTCGAGCCTCCTCTCCCTCCAGCCCCTCACCCCACCTGTTCACTGCCTGCCATGCCCCATTCATAGGAAGGAGGGAGAAAACCCAGGAGCAGGCAGAAGGCAGGCTGCAGCAAGGAACACAGGTCACCCAGCAGCTCACTGTGTGCCGTTCCTATTTTTTGGCAAGCAAGCTACCAGTGGTGAATGGTTCCCATTAGGGCAGACGGAATGAAGTGTGTGTCATTGAATTCCACCCCATCCATTTCAAGCACTCTTATGCCACTTTGTATACTGTAGCTCTGTGAGGAGTCCCCTAACAACTCTCAGCACCCTTAACAAACTAGTTTCCAGGATTCCTTGGGAAGCAGTTTAGGGTTGAAGCAACTCAACAGGGGATTTCTTCCAGGGAAGGGAATTCAGATTTTAAATTTTTTTTGGAGGGGGGAGGAACAAATGCAGTAAGGAAGTTGAGTCAGCGGGAAACCAAATTGGTCACCAGACCCCCACCTCCCCTCAAAACAAACCAATTATACTAAGCCTGAAAGTGGACTTTGAGCTACCAGAGTACAAAATGTATTATGGAAAGGTGGTGGCGGAATGTTTGGTGGTTATCCAAGATGAAAAGCCTGGGTCCATTGTCTCTTTTCCAGGGCAGAACTATGTAGTCCTGGTGCCCATCATTAGGGCAGAATAGCAACATTAGGAGAAAAGTTCACTCCCGGGTGACAAGCTGTTCAGACACATAATGCTTTTCCTGTATGACCTCATTTGAGTGACTTCAGAGAGATGATGATTTGGATTTACCTGCCTAGTTACCATTGCGGCATCTGGAGTATCAACAGTGACATCTGGAGTGTCGGCTACGTGCTGCGTCTGACACGGGAAGGTTGCTTCTGCTTGGAATTCTTTGTTATGAAAAGTGTACTGTAGGTGGTTATTGTAAAGGTGGGTTTGTGGCTCTGACATCTGTCTCCGCTACCCCCTCACATCCCCACAAAGGGAGCATGTGACCTGACGCCTTCTCAGCTGGGTAGCTGACACTATTTTCTGATTCTGGTATACTATTTGTTTTCTTCCTTTTGGACACCTTGCCTGCACACTAACTCCAGACACAAAGTCATTAGAAATCCAGGAACCACTGCCCCGTGAACCCATGAGAATTGGAGCCACTTCATCATCCACAGTTTACTTTGATATGTCTATGAAAGAGCACTACATCTCCTGTCAGGCTCTCCACTCCCATGGTGCGGTGAGAAAGGGCCTTTCCAATCTCCTTTTCTGGCATCTGGTTAGGAGGAGAACCTAGAGGTGCACACTCGGGGCCCTGATTCTGGGCTCTGTTCCAAACCCTAGGCCCTTGCTATTCAAGTGGGAGAATAATACATCCCAAGAAGAAAAGGCTGCAGAACCTTCTTATCTATCCCTTGGTTTTACTTTACAGGGGAGGGCTGTAGCTCAGTGCTAGAGCATCTGCTTTGCATACCGAAGGTCTCAGGTTCAATCCCCGGTATTTCCAGGAAGGGCTGAAACTGCTGCCAGTCACTATCCGGGAACAGTGCTGAGCTGTATGGATCATTGGTCTGACTTGCTATAAGGCAGCTTCCTACGTTCCTGTGTACTTTTGAACCAGAGCTCCTCTTTCTGTGGTTGTTCCCAAGTACGACACCAAAGCACTTTTCTCATTTCCTGCCAATGTAGCACAAATATAATACTCACACTGGCAAAAATATGTTGTCTTGTCCAAAATTGCTGCTTGTACCCAGCATTGACACACATGCACACAAATAGTGCACCGGAAGCTCAAAGGCACTGTGAATGTTAGCTGCAAAGATGCCCTGGAGCTGTGCAAAAGGAAGTCTAGATGCCTCAGAGGAAAGCAGCCTGCTGGGAATCAAAAGCACTGATTAGTGCTGTGAGAGCCTTCATAACCTCCTTCTGTGGCACTGCAGGCTGTTGATCGGGTCATGACATTGGCCCAGATCAATAAGGTTATGCTCTGGAAAAAGCACCAGACACAGCCTGTGAGGTAGTAATAGGAACACAAGAGCCCTGGTGGATCAGGTCAAAGGCCTATCAAGTCCAGCATCCAATTCTTACAGAAGCAAATCAGATGTCCATGGGAAGTCGGAAAACAGGACCTAAATGCAATAGCCCTCTGCCCACTTGCAATTGCCAGAAAGTGGTATTCAGAGACATACTGCCTCCAGCGATGGAGGTAGAGCATATTCATCATGGCTAATAGCCACCGATAGCCTTAATCCCCCAGTGGTAGGAATGGATGAGCATTGCCACCCAAGGCTTTCTGGTAGGAAGATATGAGGATACATAATGCTGACTTCTCTTAGGGTGAAGATGGACGTAATGTGATGTGATCCTGAGGGTCAAGGTGAATCCTAGCTGTGGTATAATTCCAGCACCACAGCTTGCCTTACACATTTGCACACCAGAAAGAGAAATCCTTGCTCAGCTATCAGTCTTGCCTGACACCTTAAAAACATTTTTTACGTATTCATCCCTAGATTTTATATACACACAGATCCTTCTCTGGATCCAAGATAAGATTTGCTAAGATAAGTTGGTGCTGACATAGGTACTAGCCAATAGGAGTCCTGCTTTTCATACTGAAACACTGCAGAACTCTTCCCCCTCTCTCCCCAGAGTTCACCCCAAGACAGAAGAAAGGTACATTTTTCTCTGATGGCAGTGACACCACTTTCAGACTGCCCCCACTGCTCTTTATAAAATCTGTCCTCCCTTGTCCTAGGGGCAGTTTAGATGAAGAGTAGCAGAAGGAGAAGCTCTCTCTTCAATAGATCTCAGTGTATGAGAGAGGTCACTGTGTGGTGCAGGAGGGAGTTTCCTGTTTTCTCCAAACAGAAGGCTGTGCCAGTCCAGTCACTCCCCTCCTGCCAAAAAATCCACCTCCCCCTGGAGCCACTAGGGAAGCAGTCCCCAGCTCTGCCTCAGTTCTCGCTATCGATTCTTTCATTTCCGGCTTTATTATCTTTACGCCGCACCAGAGAAAGCTTTAAATAATTCACCAACGTGAACCCGACACAGATGTTCCCGGAGGCAGCTGGATGTGGAGACCAGGCTGTGTCTGAGCTGCTGAGATAGCAGCTTCCCTGGGGCCGGCTGACGAAGCTGGGGCTGTTCCAGTGTGTGTGTGTTGGGCGGGGGGGTTGTGGGACGACAGATCTCAGCAGGGAAGAAAAGTGGAGTTTGGAGCTGCACAAAATCATTGGTTGCAAATCCAGGGTGGGGTGCCAAAGCAGAAGTCCTAGAATCCTTCCTTGGCTGTTTCAGCGCTGCTCCCTTAACTCTTCCAGCAGCCCTTAGTGCTAATACAACACACACACACCCATCCAAACTCTCCTGTTCCCTCTCAAACTAATGAGCCAGCTATACATTCAGGGCAAACCTGTTGACTGGATGGATGAATGGAACATTTGCTCTGGAATAATGGGGCTCAATGTTGCTGACAGTAAGATGGAAGGCTGGGAGTTGGCAGTGAGTAAAGGAAAGGAAGAAGGAAAGAGAGTGAGATACAGAAACGTGTTCTGGTAGGAGGCAGTGGAAAGTTCTGTATGTCCTGGGGAAGGAAGCTAAGGAGAGGTAGCTTTCAGATCTAGGCGAGATGTACGCACGTAGACCCAGCCCATGGGTCCAGACTTAGAGCTGCACCCATACAGACTACCCTCAGCTCTCTTAAATGCTCCCAACATCAAGCACAAGCTTTTCCTTACCCTGTGGTGCCAACCATGAGTCCTGCAATGACTAATCAATCAAAAGGTAAAGAGAGACATTTGTCTTGAGTGCTAAGTGGGAAAGAGAGTAGTGGAGAGATGGTGCTGTTTTTGAAGAGACCCTTGGTATACAAGGATCAAGGGAGTTGGAGCAAGAAGCATGAGCCTTGGCTGGTGGAGAAGCAAAAGAAGAGGTCTCAAAATAGTGCTCCCAGCAGTCAGGTTTCCACACCACAAGTGCCCTGTGCCTTGCAGAGTAAGCACTGTGCTCTAAGGGTGCCACATAGGCACCAGTCCTGGTTCCATCACCTAAACGTGTTCTGTCGGCTGACACGAAGGGCAAATCCCTGTCCACCAGGCCCCACAAAGGCCGATTCTCAGAAGTTGCTCCTCGAGTCTGAATATCTTGTTTCACAAGATAAATGCTCACCTGGCTAAGTTTCTGCTCCCTTCCCTTATGCTGTTTTGGATCCTAGTCTCTGCGCTGACTAAATCAGCTGCCTCTGGCCATTTAGACCTATGGCACTTGCCTCGGAAATATGTGCTGCCAGCCTCCAGACCTTCCACTGCTGCCTTTGGAACCTGACCTCTTGCCCTTCTTGGACTATGTTACCTGCCTTTCTGGGCCCTTTGACTGCCATTACTGGGACTTGGCTCATGCCTGCCCAGGACCAACCTGCTTCCTTCTGGCACCTTGCACTAATGGTCAGTATCTCCATAGGCCCTGAAATGGAATCACTGGAGGTTCCAATAACTACTAGCTCCTGAAAGGAGATGTAAACACAGGAGCTAGGAAAGTGAGAAGGGTGGGTGGGTGTGCACGCTCAGGGCACGTTCTGGATCAGGAGGGGAAAAGGAGGGTTTTTATAGACTCATACCCCTCCCAAATACTCAGGGCTATTGAACTGTAAGTTCCTTCTCAGGTCTCCTAATGCTGCCCAATCCAAACACACAACTTCCCTGCACCCAGCCCAGGGCTTTCCCCTCCTCTCCCAGCTTGGCTGATGATGCTCCTTGTCCCTGAAATGCACCCTTCCGCCCCCACCACTTCAGCCTCAAGTATTTCCTGTGTCAAAATAGATTTATTCCCAGACAAAGCACCATTTGCCTGGTGCTTGCTCTGGCTGTAAATACAGATCAATAATTTAAGGGGGTAAAAACTATTAATAGAACAGGGGGAGGGAAAAAAAACATGTTCACCGGAGAGATGGGGAAGTCACAGCCAAGGTCACCTTGGAACATGATCAGTGGTGTGTGATGAGGGGAAGAATTGGGGGTTGCTCTGTAGGTATCAAGGGAAAGGTTCAACCCTATATAATGAGAGTGGGTTCAGTGAATGGATGAAGGCAAGGCACTTTGTAGGTCATCCACAGACCAAAGAGCTTCTGTTGTCTTGGGTTGTTGGGTTATCTGTTGTCCCTAATCGAGATGTGAGTATGCTCTGTCTAGGCTCTGTGGTTTGGGCCTGAGAGCTGTGCCTGAGTGATGGCAGCAAAGCAGACAAAACCTTATGGCTCCATCCATTTCCATGTTAGCCAATACAGAAGGCAACATCCTGGAGGCTGGAGCTTGTGAGGGTTCCATTGTAGGCAGAGCTAGGAATTCCACACTACTATAAAGGGCCTTCTGGGTGAGACAGTTGCTTTCAGACTTTCAACACAGAAAGAACCCTTTGCACAGGGCCTGCCTGCTGAAGTATCATTGAGAAGCACTGTATACTGCAAAGGATCCTGGGAGATGTTCTAGTCTGGTACATACACTTAATTTGCCCAGAGTACTGGGCCTGGCCAGACTTACTGGGACTCGCTGTCACCTCAACTGACTGAAAGTGTGTTCTAGAAAACACCCAACATGTCCCTGCAGGTGCGCATGGCCGGGGGAAGGTGGTGGTGGTGGGCCACCTGTTCTGTGGGGCCACTTGTCTGCCATTACTATTTTGTTCATGGAAGACGTCCAGATAAACTTGCATGGAGCACAGTTTGAAAAGTGCTAAGAAAAGAGCAGAAGAAAGAGAAGAGAAAGGCATTTGCACCATGAGAAACAGCAGCATCCCTCACCTAAAAGGACAGTAACCCTCAGAGGCATAGTCAGTGCCGAATGGAGAAGGGTACGTTCCAAGCCAGCTGTTTGTGATAACACCATTTTTGGGCAGCGGTGCTGGTAGTCAAGCAGTCGCTGGCATGGAACATGTTAGCGTAAATAATAAGTTGGCTGTGTTATGAGCCCGGGGAGTGGGTTATTGATGGTCTGGCAGTGCTGCTGTAATGACAGGCCACACTCCCCTCGCAGCAATCCCTGCAATTATAAATGTGATCGCTCAGTGCATTTTCTGCCTGCCATGCCAGCCCCCTTGTCAGCGTACAAGCCACAAGCAATGGCCTCCCCCTACAGTGCCCCCACTGCAGCCCTCAGGAAACAGAGCTAATTCCCAAGTAAATGCGATTAGGAGAGAATGCCAAACATATACGTCTCTTAGCCACGGCCTTTTATATTTCCAGCCCTGTACGAGGCGGCCTCTGGGACTGTCCACTCACTTGCTGGCAGCAGTCACAGCAAATGGGCCAGTGGCTCCTTGTCGTTGGTTAACATGTCAGAAGAAGGAGCCAGCTCTGCTCCAGGCACATGGCCCAACAAAGAGTCTGGCCGCAGGACAACACTGGGGTTGGTGTCTTGGCCTCTATCTAAAAGTATTGGTGCCCTTGCTGCTGATGTGTCTTGCTCTGCTGGAGGAAAGTGGACAGGACAATTGTTTCCTTTGTTCAGTCAGAATTGCCCAGGTGAGACTGTGGGAGCAAATTCTACAACTTAACTTTGTGCTGTGTGAAGAAGTACTTGCATTTGTCCAGACTCTCCCAACATCAAGATGGCCCCAAGTTCCAGCATTATGAGAGAGGGAGAAAAACGTCTCCCTATCTACTTTCCTCACACCATGCATAATTTTGTACATCTCTATCATGCACCCCTTACTCGTCTTTTTCCCCCCTGAGGGAAGAACCCAAACTATCTAAACTCTGCCTCACCTGCCTCTTTGCGCAGAATGTGAGTGACAGGAAGGTGACCCACAGAGCCCCACAAGAGCCTCAGCTGACAGCGGATCAAAGTGGGCCTTTCTGCTCTAGCCTCTAGCGTCTGTCAGGACAGCTATATTTGGGAACAGTGTCCGGCAGGAGCTCTGCATAGCAACTTCTTCCTGCTGTGGCTAAAGCTGAAGGGGGAAAGCCCTGCTCCTCTTCCCCTCCCCTCCCCTCCCCACACGCAGCTCTGGTTGCCAGGAGCCTGCCAATGGCAGGGGGGTGGGGGGAAAGAAAGAAAGCTTCTGGGAAAACTCAGGAAAGAGAACATTAATGGTGCAGGAGTGGATGGGTGCCAGAATACTCTGCAGCCAGCTGTGTTCCTGGGGTGGCATGAAGGATGGGGGTAATTCTACTGAGCTGCCAGCTGGTGGGGAGCTGAGGGGTGTTGCCTGGGGGTTGGGGAAGAGAAGCAACACAGGAGAACATCTTGTAGAGCTATGGTTCTTGGGAGGCTCTGAGCCGCTTTCCCTGCTGAATGCATGCCAATGATATTGTAGATGATAGTACTTGCATGGTGAACATGATAAATAATAGTGATAATAATCTATTATTATTATTACTATTGTTATTACTATTATTACACTGATGGCCCACCTTTTCTCCAAGGAGCTCAAGGTAGCATACATGGTTCTCCCTCTCCCCATTTTCTCCTCACAACAATCCTGTGAGGCAGGCTAGGTTGAGAGACAGTGACTGGCCCAATGTAACCAAGTTAGCTTCATGTCCAAATGGGGATTTGAACTCTGGTCTCCCATGCTCTAGTTTCAACACTCTAACCACTACACCATATTCATTAGTGTTCAAAATGCCACGTCTGCATTATCTGGATGACCCTTATAAGAGCTTTGCAAAGTGGGTTAGTTTTATTTATTTATTGTATTCATTCATACATTATACCATGCCCTTAAATGCAAAGGAGTCAAGGATGGAAGACAGAGCTGTGATAAAACTTTTTTTTTAAAAAAAGTAATTAATCTAAACAGTTTTAAAACACTTTAAACAGTTCAACAACAGTAGCTCAACCAGTGATCTCAAGGTTGCAAAAAAACAAAACAAAATCCACATACAGTGTCTTTCAGTGTTGAGTAAACAAGGAATGTTTTAAAATTTATCCTGAAAGTCAACAATGAGAGAAACAAGTGCACTTCACCAGGGAGAGTATTCCACAAATGGGGAGCCACCACTGAAAAGGCAGCCCCCTGTGGGGGCACCACCAATGAGGCCTCACTTGCCTCACAATCATAGAGTCTGAGATGGTTGATATTGGGGAAGGTGCTCTTTTAGGTGATTGAGTTCCAAGCCATTTAGGGCTTTATATGCTAGCACTAGGGATGCGGGTGGCACTGTGTCTAAACCACTGAGCCTTGGGCTTGCCGATCAAAAGGTCGGCGGTTCAAATCCCCGCAACAGGGTGAGCTCCTGTCGCTCGGTCCCAGCTCCTGCCAACCTAGCAGTTCGAAAGCACGCCAAAAAGTGCAAGTAGATTAATAGGTACGGCTCCGGCGGGAAGGTAAACGGCGTTTCTGTGTGCTGCTCTGGTGTCAGTGTTCCGCTGCGCCAGAAGTGGCTTAGTCATGCTGGCCACATGACCCATAAAAACTGTCTGCGGAGTGGACAAACGCTGGCTCCCTTGGCCTGTAAAGCGAGATGAGTGCCGCAACCCCAGAGTCATTCGCGACTGGACTTAACTGTCAGAGGTCCCTTTACCTTTACTTTTATGCTAGTATTAATGCCTTGAATTTAGCCCAGTAGTTCACAAGCAGCCAGTGCAGCACTTTCAAGACAGGCCCCAACTACACTGCCCCACTTACCAGACCAGCAGTTGCCTTCTGTGCCAGTTGCAGCCTCCTGATTATTTTCAAGGGCATGGAGAAGTGAGGCCAGGCTATGCTGACCCACAAATGACTATAGTTGGCAAATCAGCCTAAGTTGGGCATAAGAGCACCTAGCCACAGGAATCATGTGGGATTCTAGTGACAACCTGGAATCCAGGAGTACTCCCAAGCTATGAATCTGTTCTTTCAAAGGGAGTGCAACCCCTGCCAGGACAGATCGCACACCTAATTCCCAAACACAGGAACCAACCACCCACAGTACTTCGATCATATCAGGATGCAGCCTCACTGTATTAGCTCCCATCCAGTTCATCACTGCCTCCAGACTCTGGTCCACAGCCTCTCTCGATTAAGAAGGAATATGTCATCAGCATATTGATGCCACTATGCTCCAGATTCCTGGACAACAGTTCCCAGCTGTTTTTAACATCCAAGCTAAATGGCATAGGAGACAGAATGGACCATTGTGGGACCTCATAGCTCCAAACCCATGAAACCAAACAATAATTTCCAAGTACTACTTTTTGGTGGTGATCCTGTGGCTAGGATAAAAATCATCCTAATACAGTACCTACAACTCCCACTTCCCTAGGTTGCTTCAGGAGAGCACCATGGTCAATGGTGTAAAAAGCCAAGGAGGGATCAAGGAGAACTACTAGGGTCACACTTGCCTGTCTCTCTCCTGATAGAGTTCATCAATCAGAATGGCCAAAGCTGTTTCAGTGCCAAAACTGAGCCTGAAACCAGACTGGAGTGGATCTAGATAACCTAGATGCATTTTCCTATTACATGTGGAGAATGCAAACTGGGACAGCACTTTTCAGCAAGTAATTATGTGGTGGGTTTGTGGCAGATACAAGATTTCAACCAGAGGATTCTGACTCATAACATTAGTTTCTCAGCCACTATATAAACTGGCAGGGAACATCTATTGTACCTACACACATAGTCCAATATCACATACAGAGAGAGGAAGTTTCAATGAGTGAAACAGTTCTGAAGACTTGAGGAGCAGGTGCTAGTAATGAATTATTGCTGCTCTTCTGTGATACAGAAGCCTGATCTCTCCTACCCAGTGATGACACTGTTGTAAAAATCCATCGCTACCTCACCAACTTCCAGCAAGGTAGAGAGCCAGCAAGTGCCACAGCTGGCACAGTAGGTAGGGAAGCATGACAGCATTCAAAAGTCAAGCTCCAGCACTTCATACAGCACCCAAGAGATGGCCCAGCATCTTAGACTATGCTAAAAAACAAAGAGGCCAAATCTCTTTTACCTGCTTAAGCTGAGATGCCAACCACAACCTCTCCCCTCTCCACAAGGATGGATATATGGCCCAAGTCATCCATGCCTTCAGAACTTCTCAGATCGATTATTGAAATACCCTCTCTGTAGGACTCTCTTTTAAGATGGTTTGGAAATTGCAGCTGGTACAAAAAACTGCTGCCTGGCTAGCTACCAGGGAGAATATGTTACTTCAGTTCCGATGAGATTGCACTGGCTAGCAGTTTCCAGGTAAGAGTCAAGATGCTAGTCTTAATCTTTAAATGCCTCCATACTCATTGTCAGTCAAGAAGCAATTCCTTATATGCGACCTGCTCCTCCTTATTGATCTCTCACTGGCATTTGATACCATTGACTATGATATCCCCTTGGACTGGCTCTGGGGAATGGGAACTGGGGACACTGTGTTACTGTGGTTGCAATCCTGCTTTCAGGACCAAATCCAGAGAGTAGTATTGGGAGAGTGCCTTTTGGCCCCCTGGTGGCTACGTTATGGGGTGTCACAGGGGACTATCGTATCTCCACTGCTACAGTGAGGGGGGAAAGTATTTGATCCTCTGCTAAATTTGCCCATTTGCCCTCTGAGGAAGAAATGACCAGTCCATAATTTTAATGGTAGGTTTACTGTAGCTGTGAGAGACAGAATAACAACAGGAAAAACCCCAGAAACCCAGAAGACAAAAGTCAGAGATTGATATATATGTAGCAGCACTGTAAATGTGAGGTTCCTTCCAGGGGAGGCCCTTGGGCTCTGGTGTTCTTTAGCTTTAGAAAATCCCTATTTCAGCAAGCTTTCACGCAGGCAGGATGTGTTTATTTACAGTATGCTGCAGGTCACTGAGATGTGTTTATTGGTTGTTTTAATGAAATGTTGGTATTTAATCCTGTCCATTCTCCTCCTCCTCCTCCTCCACCATGAGTTTTCTTTTGGGCATTAAAGTCGGGCATACACCTATATCCAATGCATATAGCTAACAAATAGATTAGCTAGCACCACCAAAGGAGATGAGATTCAGGACCTTGGCCAGTACCAGAAGACAAAAACAAGGACAGCACCAAGGACAGCACCCGTGTCTTCACTTTAGGTTTGGAGGCCCCAGAAATCACCATTATGCAGCTCCAAACAAAGAAAGAGGTGTCTCTCTCCAATCTAAGACTGATGCAAGGGGCGTATTCTGGAGAATAGATACATCTCACATGGAAGCCTTGCTTCGTGCTGCATGCAGGCCTTGTCCTACCTTTCTCAGCACTTGAGTGTGTCATATTCTGTATGCAGTCCCAATAAATCACTGATGCTATGATGGATTGGTGACGGGAATGCCACTTATAGTCCTTCAGTGACCAAATGAGCATGGGTGCCCATTGCTAACCTTTTGATTTCATTTAAAATAAAATAAAATAACAAAGAACTTGGCTTCATTGGGGTCAAAACAGAAAAAGGAGTATATATACAGTATATATCTCCAAATCAACACAGTGCCCTCCAGCGACATTAGCCATATGCTACAGAATGATAAATCTATATGCTTAAGCCTTAAGCTATATGCTTAAGGAATGAAAAAAGTTGGACATAACAAAAGAAATAGGTTGACCCAATAAGGGGTGTATCCAAAAATTACATTTATTAGGACCAACTAAAAATGTCACAAAGTAGTCATCCAAAACTTGTCACCCACCTATTCTTACAGTGGCAGAGTGGGTGGAATAATACTGTCTCCAAGACTGAATTACAGAATGTATTACAATGCATTGCTCATGAGCATCCTAAAATAGTTACAAGGATACACAGCCACATCTTGGAGGTATCATTACCATTGCACCCTGCTATCAGAGGAGCAGTTTCTGTGTTCACTGTGGGTGGGTGGTGGTCAGAAGACCAACAATGTCCCTAATATTTGGCACTTTAATGCCTAGGCATGGTGAGCAAAGTCTTGATAGGTTCAAAACCATTCTGCTTCTGACGGGAGACTACATTTTCACGGACAGAAATTAACAAAAAAGCCCTTGTGTTCCTCCAGTTTTCAGGACAGATGTGGAAGGACAGATCCTGAAGCTGAGGCTCCAATACTTTGGCCACCTCATGAGAAGAGAAGACTCCCTGGAAAAGACCCTGATTTTGGAAAAGATTGAGCGCACAAGGAGAAGGGGACGACAGAGGACGAGATGGTTGAACAGTGTTCTCGAAGCTACCAGCATGAGTTTGACCAAACTGCGGGAGGCAGTGGAAGACAGGAGTGCCTGGTGTGCTCTGGTCCATGGGGTCACAAAGAGCCGGACACAACTAAACGACTAAACAACAACAAGAAGTTTTCAGGTTCAGTTCACATTGTTGCAGCATTGCACAAAGCAGAGGGTTAAGGTGGGTGGAACTGAGGCTTGATCCAATCTCACAGCAACTACCTCTCTCACCCATCCACACATACACCCACCCACTGCTGTTATCCTCCAAACCCCCAGCCACCCATGATCTGGGGAGGCTCTGTACCCTCCTAGAAAAAGTGACTCTTTCTGCCAGGGATCAGCAATGGTCAAGGAAGTGACTCCCCTGGCAGAGCTGTCAGGCATGCCCCAGCGAATATAGGGACAGTCAGCTTTGGTTCTGGCTCATTACTAGGAGATTAGTCCCTGATCCCAAGTGGCCTGGCCCAGGGGACAGGTATTCTGGGAAGCAGGAAAGGTTAATTTCAGGGAGATTAGGCTTGTGCCTCAGTGGGACGTGAAATTGAGGTAAATCTGTTCATCTGAATGAAAGGAACAGCTGCAGCACGCAGCAGGGGGAGCGGCTAAAAATAGCCTGGTATTTACCTGTCAGAGCCTGGACATGCTCTGGAGAAAGCACCGTGGCATGTTGGGAGCATGTCAGTGCCAAATGCCTGCACTCTGAGGAACGGGATGGGGCCACAAACTGCTCTGAAGCAAGTCCCTCCCACTCCTCACCATTTTGGGGCTTCAGAATGTATGGAAGAAGGGGAATGGTGCCTGTGTGTTCTGAAACCAGCCAGCTCAATGCCAAGATTTCTTCACACCATCCAGACTCCTAGCCGAGTCTGAGTTGGTATCATAGAGTTGGTTGGTGCTGATGGGAACTGTGGTCCAAAACAGCTGAGGATCATCAAGTTAGAGAAGGCTGTTCTATGCCAATGTATAAGCAACCACCCCCAACGTGATGCTCGCCAGGTGATTTGGACAGCAGCACCACTGACCTGACTAAGCTACCTATGCTCCTATGTTGCTAAGCAAGGCAGAAGGGGCCAGTTGTGGCACAGATAAATGGGGCAGATAAATGGGCATGCTGCATTTCCTAACTGCCACCACTGAGCAATGCCTGAGCAGTGCCTGAGTAAAGATGTGTAAATGTTATAACACTTATGCTCACACAGGAATTCATAGCTCTGTGCCTAGCAGCTGAAGTACTGACGTTCTTTCCCACACAGGCCTTTGGACAGATGCAGCCCTTGCAGTGAAAAAATTGGAACTTCCTCCAGTAGTGTGTAGCACACACCCTTCACACAACCAGAAATGGGTGAGCAACCTGTTAACTTCCCCTCCCTTAAATTATTTTTCTATGAAAACTGCTGGGGCAGGTGGGGGAGGGGACATCACTGAGTCATTCCTCTCTCCCACCTTCCTCTCCCCAGAGCTTTATGATTGTTGTAATCAACTGCAGGGAGCTGGAGACAATGCTGATGGCATGAGTTGGCCTTGGGAATGAGCTGCTATTTGGACCATGCTGGCACCATTAGGGCTGTGTGGAAGGCAGGCTCTGTCAAGGTGATGAGCCTGCGATTGCTTGAATCACAGCTCACTGCGATACCTCTTAAGTGGTTCTTAATAAGATTGTGTTCGGATTTCAGGGGATTTGTGAGTGCCACCCAGCTCCTTTCTGTTCATTTGCTGCGTACTGGAGGGAGGAGAGGAGCAATCTCTGGGTCAGCAATGGCTTAGAGGCCTCATTCGCCCACCAAGCTTGTTAGGCAGAGTGGACTTGAATAAACATGAAGGAAATTTGTTGTGGAACACTTCAGTCTTCCTGGACATTCTGCAAGAGCCTTGAAAGTCACTAATTCAACAGAAAGGATTCCAGCAGTAAAGCAGTAGGCATTTGTTTGTTGATTTGATACTATCAGACCTTAGCTCAGTAAAGATGGGGTTGACCAACCCATTACAGGAAGCAAGGCTGCATATACACCATACATTTAAAGCTCACCCACTCATCCTGAATCCTGGGAAATGTAGTTTGTTAAAGGGGGCTGGGAATTGTAGCTCTGTGAAGGGTAAAGTACAGTTCCCAGGATTATCAGGCGGCGGGGGCGGGGTTGCTTTAAATGTATGGTGTGTATGCAAACTGATTGTACTCCTTAAGGTGTTTCTGCTCTCTCCTGTCCACTGTCTCTGGCTCTTTCTACCTTTGGCCCTGCTTCTGCCCACCACTCGAATGCAAAGCCCTAACAGGCTGACCCTGAGGGAAAGCAGCCCTAAACAGATAGAAAAGCTCTCCACACTTGCAGTATGCCATTCACCTCACTATGCCAGTTGGGAGTGGGGCACACCTACTTATTCTAATTCTGTTCACTCTGTTTGTGGATCCCATTTTGGGTTTGCTCTGAAATGACAACCCCCCTCAAACACTGCTAGGCCTTCCAGCTTCAGTCTGTAATGTCACTGTCCCAACGCATCTGTCTGGACCCACATATATATGTGTGGAGAGAGAGAGAGAGAGAGAGAGAGAGAGAGATGAAAACTGTCCACTGTAGGTAGTGCTTCACGAAGCTGCTGAAATGGGCTCCGGCCTACCAAAGCCTCTGACACAATAAATTTGTTAGCTTTTAAGGTATCACAAACACAAAAACACAGGTGCCCTTGTTGCTTTTATGAAGGACATAAAGCATGTCACCACTCTCCAAGGTATCTAACTGTCACCAACCTGAGATAAAGCCCTTCCTCAAAGAGCCCCCTTCAATCAGCCCTCCTGCTTGCCTTGCTATCACCTCCACCACCCTAACTAGGGACTGCGTTTACGACTGTGAGGCCCAAGTGGCTGGGGATTTGCTTCCCATTCAACACCAGCTGAACCAAACCGACAAAGAGTTTTGTGCCCTCTTAAAGGATAGCAGATTTATTGTGGCATAAGCCTTCACTTTTTTCAGCTTAAGTTTTACACAGAGCAATGTCACAGACTGTAGACTGGATTATGTGGAATCATGCCTCTGAACTGTCAACAGGAGGGAATGTTTTTCAGGATCATGTGGGCCAAGATATATGGACCCTGTTTCTACATGGCCAAGGCTCCATAAAGCTGACCAGTTTACATCAACTACCCAGCCATTAGCCACACACACAACCCATCATGTCTTCCACACTTCTCTGCATAGCAGACCCTTGCCACATCAGACCTTCTTTGTCTGCTAGCCAGAAGTATACAAGCCTGGGGCATGAGGAATGTCCCACACAGACATTCTCTAGGAAGTTGCTCCAAAGACACTACAAGCACAATGTCCCAGAGGGATCTATTTTAGCAAATTGCATTCAGTGTGGCAGGTTTCCTATGCTGTGTGGCAATCACCTTTATTTTGACCCGTGGTACCAGAGCACCTCAGCGGGATAAATCATATTACTTACATTCTTTCCTCCCTCTTCAGGTGCAGGCACCGACATAGGTCTCCATTGCAAAGGCCTTCCATGCTTCTACCCTCCTCTGGTCTAACCCTGCAATACCCACCAGCCTTGCCATATTCCACCTTCCCTTAGTGAAATGGTGCTGTGTGTGTGTGTGTGTGTGTGAGAGAGAGAGAGAGAGAGAGAGAGAGAGAGAGAGAGAGAAAGAAACAGAGCCATTCCTTTCTCCCAGGTGCCAGCTTTATTCACCGGAAACATTCCCATCAGCATCCATTGATCACTAGCTTTATGGCTCATAATCCTCGCCCCATTGACTCTGGAAAGGCAGGCAGAGGAGGGGGCAGGATGTGGGACTCCTTTCTCGGTTATTACGCACTTTGAGCAGGGGCCCTTCCTCCTTTTTCCTCCTGCCCTGGCAGCTTCTCTGGGAAGCCAGTGGTGAAGGGAAGAGGGTCACTTTCCTAGCAGCCTGACAGGTGCCTGGTTGTGTGGCAAAGGGGGCAGGAGAGGGGCTGACATGAAAATACACCATTCCTGGCAGCAAGATGTATAAGCAAGTGTTTCTTTCCACAGGCACTGGAAGTTCATAAGGACACTTTCATGTTCATCCCCCCCCCCCCAATTTCCACCTTCTGATGTGTGTCCCACCAAGTCAGACTTCGCAGCAACAGACTGGCAGTGCCCTTTTCTTTCATATTTGGCAGTAGCACCATCAAGCTGGCAAGTTCTCTGCGGCTCCATCCCGGAAATGTTCCTGGACTAATGCTGTGAGAAAGGCAGCACCCGCATGCGTGAATATGGATGTGGCATCAACAGGTTTGCGACGTGCTGAGGGGTTCCATCTGGGTCAGTGCTGAAATGGCAACATGGGGTATGCTGTGCGTCAGGGGTCTGATGGCACTGTTCCCTTTTGTGCCAGGACTCAGAGTCAGTGCCAGCTGAATCATGCCTGTCAGCCTGAGCACACCAGATTCCTTGTAGCTGAGCCCTTAGGAAAACATTATGGCTGGTGATGTTATCCCGGGGTCCTCCTGGCTTAAAGACCAATTGTTTTTCAGAGGATGATTCCTGCCTTAGATGCTGATCGCCCAAAATAACTGCTGATCGCCCCTTACACACACCACAGCCTTTGCTTTGCCTCTGAAGCGCTGGGATGCGATGAGCGCCAGCCGGCTGACACCTGTGCACTGTACCACACGGCAGCCTCACTTTGTTCTCATTATCGCAATGAGTGGAGCCGTCACACTGAATTAAGGCTCTTCCTGTGCATAGCTCCGAGCCACTGAACACACAGCAGCCACCAGCCACAAGGGCTCTGAGTTTCGGCTTGCAGCAGCCGCTGTCTCCACTGCCCAGCAGCGAGTCTTGCCATATGTCTTTCCCAGAACCTGGGAAACAGGGCTCTCATGCATACACACTGCGCACACCCACATCCCACCCCATGATCTGTGTGATGAAGGAAAGCCAGAGCTGGGGGCATTCTTAAAGGTGCAAGATCCTGGACTTGATGACCCTAGATCACAGCCCCAAGGAAAGCTCGCAGTCATCGCAGCTTTGCCGCCAAGCCTGAGGAGCAAGAGCTCCCTTCACAGAGAAAAGTGACCAAAGCTTCCATTCCAGCTTAACCCTTCAAACCCAGCTTAAACCCATACCTGAATGAGATCCAAATTTCGATACGAATGGGTCAGTATATAGAAAAAACAGCCCTAAATTCAGGCAAAGTGTAGAATGGACTGCAGGGGAGGGGAGATAACATGCCTGTGCTGTTTAGGGGTAAAAAAAATCCCCATGCAGTTGAAAGTACTGTACCAGCCCCAAAAAGCCCTTTAAGAGATAAGCTGGGGGGGGGGAGAGAGGGAGGGAAGAGAAGATTTCTGCCTGCCCTCACTGCTGAATTACTTTGCAGAGTTAGCACACAGCTTGAAAGCTGTCTGTGTGTTGAATCCTTGCTGGCAGAGCAGGCTTACTTTAGTTGCAATCACACACTTAGAGACAGTTGGTATGGAAAATAAGAAAGCTTAGGTTTATTACAGGATATGCATACTAGAATAGAAAAGAGTTATTAGTTACAGCTAAGTTTGAGATGCAATGGAGTCCTGCTTGGTCCTTGCACTCAGCAGAGATACATCGCAAGATGACCTCTCTCCAAGAAAGTCAGAGAGAGAAGAGTAAGAGAGGCAGGAAGCAAGTGCTGCAACCTGAGAATATCAGTCTAGCATCAAGGAAAGGTCAGCATAGAGATAAAAGGACAGTAAGGCAATTTAGGAATCTCAGAGAATCCCTTTTCTTCCTGCTTCAATCCCATGCAAATCCCTCAACAAGCTAAGTTGCATCCTAACATTTCCAACACTTAGTTGGCCACATTGATATGCACCCATGTCACCAGGCCCTCCTAAGCTCTGCCAGCTCCCTGCCATTTGCCAAGTGTTCAAGCCCCTGATTTGTAGCTCACAAAGTTACCCTGAAGAAGAAGAACCGCTGCACTCTGATGTCTAGAAAAGAGGCAACTCGGATGTACCATTTAAAGACACGTTCACACAAAACAGTCACAACCACACCTTAGCCCAACTGCCCCCAGTGTCAGGATAGACGATGTTCCATTCTATATGCAGATAGAATATGCAGAACCACATCCTATACCTGCCCTTAAGAATGTCTCTTACCCTTCAGTACTTTGCAAGAAGGATATAAGCAGATAGTCAAACTTTAGGGTTGTGTGTGTGTTCCCTTGCTGAGAACAGCCATGCACAGCCAAGGGACAGTGTGGAGCTTTTTAAAAGCCCTTTTGCGAACAGCCCCATGTTGTTCTTTAAAGCTGTAGAGGCTGCCTTCCTCTACTTCCTCCCTCCCCCTGCCCAGCTGTTCCACCTTCTGACAGCCCTGGATTGACCTGGGTGGGCTGGCCCAGGGCAATCTGGTGCTATCTCAATCTGACCCAGCCGGTATCCACATCCAACTCAAAAACTGCATATTTGAGTGGTCAACTTGCTGTGGAAGTTTGCATATCATATTGTGTAATATAAAAGTACATTTCCTTGACTCGGATTGATCTCAGCCACTTTTCAGAAGAATCTGGCCATGAACAGAGTGGATTGGTTGGCCCTGTGATGTCACAAACCCACTGCCCCTCCTCCCTGAAACAGCTTTGAAACTCTTTTTAAAATTGATTTTTCCTTAGAAACAAACAAACAAACAAACAAACAAACAAACAAACAGCAAAATGACAAAAATTTGTTTCCCTGACTAAATGTTCATGCTGTGCTTTAAAGAAAAAAAGTAGAACATTCACCTGAAGACTGGGGGTTAGAACAAGACAGATATCAGAGGCTTTCATTTGATTAGCTAAGCACATCTACTAACTATGTTGTAACGGAAGAAAAAAGTGCGAACCCATTTTAAAGGTGTATCTATATACACCAAACCCAAAACGAAGGGGTGTGCAGTAGAAATGGCCAAGGAGGCTATGCCACAATCCATACCAGTGGTGCCTAACTGACCTGGAGTGCTGATTGGCAGGAAGCTGGGAAGGGGGCTGGCGGATGCTGGCGAAGATTTGCACCTTCCAAAGCATTCTTGATTTTGCAAGCAGAGATAATGAAACGGCTGTTTTGCAGCAGGCTGTGGCTGCCTGCAGGGCCAGATCAAGTCCTTCTCCACACACACACACACACACACACACACACACACACAGAGAGAGAGAGAGAGAGAGAGAGAGAGAGAGAGAGAACACTTAATTCCATTTTAAGGGGGGGGAGAGAGAACTTAATTCCATTTTATGGGGGGGGAGAGTCTCATCCAAATGGGAAGGAAGATAGCAGGAGGCAGACACCTACCATTTATCCAAAGGAACACAGACACATCCTTGCTCCAGTGTCAGCACTAAGGGATAGAACACAGGTGGCAATGAGGAGCTCCCAGGGCCAACCCAGGCAGAAGAGGCGGACAAGGCAAGGAGATCCATCACACCCAGGACTACTTCCTTGGGCTTCTTGCCCTTCTTTCTGGAGCGGGTGGCTCAGCAATAATAATACTGCTTGAATAATATTGCCTTTTTCCTGCCACTTTGGCTGGTGAGCAGTAAACTACAGTGCCCAGAATTCTTTGAGGGGTGAAACGTAGTTTGCATGTGTTTTTAAGGCATAGGGTGTACACAGCCGTAGTCTACTGTCCAAAAGTAAGTCATATGTATTGTTCTGCCCGTTTTTTTACTCTGGCCCTTTGCATCGCCAGCAAATCATACCCCTAAATGTGGCCATTAAGCTGAAAAAAAGGTTTCCCACCCCTTGTCTTAGTAGCTGGAAGGCTGATGCTAGGGCATGAAGCACAGTATCCCCTTCCCTAGATCTCTTGCGAAGTCATGGAGCTGAAGATTCTCAGTTTTAGGATCCCAAATGAGTCTGAACCCTTTCCAGATTTAGTTAATAATAATAATGTAATAATAAGAATTTATTATTTATACCCCACCCATCTGGCTGGGTTTTCCCAGTGACTCTGTGTGGCTCCCAACAGAATATTAAAAACACTAATTGTTTCGCTAGGATGAAAGGAAGTGGTTCCCCACAATCTGTGGGCCCAAACTCTGAAAAAAGACTTTGCTCACAGTGTATAGCCTGGAGTATCTAAGCATGCCATGAAGTTTCTTCCCACATCAAGACACAGGACCCTTGGCTCATCCCAGCCAAAGCAGTCTGTTCTTCCCACTACTGCAAAGCCCATTACTGAAAACCAAACACAGACCCCACTCCCTGCCGCTCTGCTGTTATTGCCTATCACTGTGAACAGAACCAGGATCCAAGAATGTTCAGATTCATTGTCATACTAGAACAACTCTTCACAACCCCCTACCCAAAGAATGACTTGCAGCATCAAATATTGTTTCCCAGTGAGATGAGAAAAGTAATGCAGGTTCTCTCTAAGGCCAGGGTCAGAAATCTGAGGTTTTGAAGCCTTTTCTGAGTGAAATCCTAAACAGCAATATCTATGTAGCCAAAAGGAGATGGAGGCAGAAGTGATCTGCATGGTTACCCCCTGGCACTGGAAGAACACTTTAAAGATACAACCTCAGAGTGACTAGAGTCCGGCATGTTTCATTAGCTAGCGATTATAGGGAAATGTGCCTGATCCCCGCAATGGCCACAGGCTACAGAGAACACAAACAAGGGTTAACAAGAGAACTTAGTTCCGGTTTGTGAGAGGAGCACTGGCCTAGGAGAGACTAGTGAGCTTTTAAAAAAGAGCTTGGCCTGAATATGGCATTTCAGTCATTTGAAAGGTTTGGTGTGGATCAAATTCTCCCCTCAATACAGTGATGAGGAAGCTGTGGCCCTTCCAACTCTCACATGCCCCAGCTTGCACGGCCAATGGTCAGGGATGATAGGAGTTGTTGTACGGCAACACTGGGCAGGCCACAGGTTCCTCAGCCCTGATTTAAGAGAAGGAACAGAATTACCAGTTATTTGCTTGTCCCTAGCTTAGCTAAGAACCCATGCTACCCATTCCATGATCACCATGAGGTGTTCCCACTATCCTCAACAGACCAGCGATGTGGCAGTAGACTCACTGTTTCGAAGTCACTGGCATTGCACGACTCATTGCCGAAGCTGCACAGAACCAGCATCTGGTCCATCTGGTGCCCAGCGCGGTCATGGAGCTCTGTGAAGTTGAACGGGAGGTTCCTTTCCCCCTTGCTCTGCATTAGCTTCTTACTTAGCACCTCCCAAATGTCCCCGTCCTCGCCCTTGGACACAGCAATCTTGTCATCGCCATCCAGGAAGCCCAGGTACTCTCCAGCCCAGTAGAGGTCATGGCCAGAGAGTTGGGAAAAGCGAAGAGGGTTGAGATTGCAGATGGTGATCGCTGGGAAAGTCAGACTGGGGAGGGTCTCTTCTTCCAGCGTGGTGTCATGAGGATACTGAAAGTAGAAATCCACTCGGTCTGCATAGACGTGGATGAGGAAGCCAAGGGAGCCCAGGAAGGCCACGGTCCACAGAAATTTGCGGCCTGTGTTGCACCCATGGCGGAAGATGTGGCTGATGCCATGGAGCGTTGAACTCCTGGCAAACGCTTCCAGGCTGGGGGCAGAAGTGGGTGGGTGTATCACATGGGATACCTCCTCAGTATGCCGGACTGCTTTGGGCAGAGGGGAGCAACTGTGCCAGGAGGGTATCTCCTCTGTCCATGTAGGCCCTGGCATACTTGCAGTGCCCTCTTGAAAATAAAGGATAGGTACAAGCCCCTCAAAGGCATGCAGTTAAGAATCAGAAAGCTCTGGAGTTTGGATGGGCTGTTGAGTGTTGCAGCTGCCCTCTCTGTCTAACGACAGGGCTCACTTACAGCAGCGTAGTATTAACAGCCACGGGGTGGGGAGGAGCTTGGCCTCATGCCTTGCCTAGGGCCCCTCCTGGGAGCTGAAAGACAGTAAACATGTTCATCCAGGGCAATTAGCACTGCCGGATCCCGGAAGAGCCTGTGCCAGATGAGGGGGAGCAAATGCGTCCCTCGCAAACCGCAGGCTGAGTCCATCTCTGTCTCCTGGGACTGGGGCTGCTAATTAGCCTGAGGCATCATTGATTCACTCCAGCACTTAGTGAACAGGGCAGGTAAGCAAACATATCCAGCCCTTGAAGAACAGTCCAGCACGGAGAATGGAGGGCTAGGTCGTTCTGCTTCTTTTCAGTGTGGTTGTGTATAATGGAAAATAAATACTTGAGTTGGAAGGGGGAAAGGTAATGGCCTCCTGGGCCATATGCCCATAATCAGGAAGGAGTTGGGACCAACCAACCAAGGTGGGCCTGCAGGCAAAATGCAGCAGCTCATGGGGCAGAATGTCGCCACCATGTTGTGCTGCAACTGAAATGATTGCACTGGCTGTCAATCAGCTACAACGCAAAATTCAGGATTCTGGTATTGATATACAAAGCCTTATACAGCTTGAGGTGAGGATACCCAAAACATCGTCTCACCCCTTAGATACCCAAATCACTGTGCTCTGCAAAAGAAGGCCTCCTGCTGATGCCATCTCACCAGAAGGTCCCCTCCCTAGGATGTCAGAATTAGACCTTTAGTGTGGCTACACCTGCCCTTTGAAACTCCTTCCTGTTACATGCCAGACAGGTACCACCTCTGTTGTCTCTTAGGCTCACTGAAGACCTTAGTCTTTTCAACAAGCATTTTAAGTAGAGTTTTTATTATTATTATTCCAGTCTGCTTTTGAACTAACATTTCAAATTGTTCTTATACATGTTTTTGCTAAATCACTTTGGGATGTTTCCTGGGAAGGAATTTGTAAAAGAAATGTTATAAATACCTAAAAATAAAACTTCTGTGTGAGCCCTACCTACCCTTAGGGCTATGAGCATCAGCCTGAGGGATTCTAATGAGCAGGCCAGGACTCAGGTGAATGGCACAACTCTACAAATTACACCCTGAAGTTCTGAAGTTGTCCCCTTAAGCACATCCATGCCCACCCACTGACCTCTTCAGAACTTAGGCAGCTTATAGCCCTGTTCATAGCAGCCCCTGTGGAAAAGTGTCAGGAGTGTGGGTCCCCAGCAGCCTTTCTAGGGCCCCAGCTGCATTAGACATTTAAAGCTGAATCCTGCCTTTAAAAAGTCATAGTTTCACACACCCACACACACGAAGAATCCTGGGAACTGTGGTTTGCTGAGTTGTCAGAAGGCACCTAGTCCCCCCTACAAAGAGTTACAATTCTCAAGAGTGGTTTAACAGTCAATCCCTCTTTCCAGGGAACTCTGCAATCTGTACCTCTGTGAGAGGGGTAAGGGTCTCCTAACGACTCTCAGCACCCTTACATAACAACAGTTCCCAGGATTCTTTTGGGGTAAGCCATGGCTGTTTAAAGTGGCAGGATATTTCTTTAATGTATAGTGCAGATGGGGCCGAGGTCAATATGTGGCCTGTGTTAAGGTTTAAGAAAGGCATGAAAACATATATGGGTAAGTATAGGCTGCTGTGGACAGATGTTTTCAAGCTTGGGGGTGAAATAGATTCAGTCCCTCAATTTTAGACATGAAGAAATCCCTTCTAACTGTTGCAGATTAATGCATGCTCATTCAAACTGACAGCCACAGTTGTGGTGACTAGGGAATGCCTGGGCAGGGCTCTCTCTTAAAAAAAAAAGAGGGAGGGGGTTTGGGAGTAATCACAGCAGGGTTTAAAATGCTTCGGAGAGAAATCCGGATTCATTGGATCAGGGTTTGCCAACCTGTGCCCTCTAGATGTGACCTCTACACCAGCCCAGGTTGATGGAAGTTGTACACCAAAACATCTAGAGAGCAAAGTCTGCTCTGGACAGTCTACTCTGCATATGATGATGGTTAAAAATTGAAAGGGTGGGTTGCCAACAGCCCCAAACACATGTCTCACTGCATCAGTTTAGAGGGACCCAGAAATGAGGGTATGAACCTGGGAATCTTACTCAGAGTATGGAGATTATAAAGGAAAGTAGAAGGCATGAATATTTGATTTAGTTCACAGTGGACTAGACATATACCGTAATTGAATGAACAAACAAGCTTTCACTTGATGGGTGAAGGGTAATTGATTTGAACTAGGAGCTGGTGGGGGGTAAAGGAACGTCTCCTAGGAGAGAGATGGGAAAGAACAGCTAAAAGCTTTTGAGAGGAAAAGTATTTAAACAGAGATAGAATTATACAGTGCAGGCATGCTGAGGCAGATCAGGGAGAAAGCCAGATTTACCTGGATCCTTTAATGCAGTCTCCTGGGAGAGAGGCAGGGCTGGACAAGGGCTGCAATTTCTGGAGTCATCCCCCCCACACTCAAGGGTGCCAGTCACTGTCCCCACACCATTTGCCCATTCTGCCAACCATACACCCACTTCACTGACAGTGCTTCAGTGAGGGAATTTTAGACCAGGGATGGGGAACCTGTGATCTTCCAGATGTTGAGGGACTTCAGTTCCCATTATCCTTGGTCATTGGTCTTACTGGCTGGGGCTGATGGGAGTTGGAGTCCAAGGGCCTGCTTTAGATAATGGATGCAATGGTTGTATTGGAGGGCAGAGGGGTTTCCCTTTTTTTAGATGGCAATGTCTACTATTTCACACTTTCAAATGTTCAAATGGTCAGCTGTGTTTGGGAGCCCTCCTGCTGAGTGGGCTGAGTGGTAGCCTGGACTTCTGCCCTAATACAGTACCACTGTTCACAGACGCTGTTTTCAATAACTGCGTCTCACCTTCCCATACTCCCTTTGGCCACAGTTTAACCTGCTGCTCATTCACACTCACGTTCTGGGGATGAGGGTGTGGATGGATGATTCAATTACTAACAACTTATGGGGGGTTGCAAGAGGATTAGGACTGACCATGCTGTCTTATGAATTGCTTCCCATATACACCTTTGAAAGGAATTATGTCCTCCCATCCTTCGACCCCCCCCCCCAGGACTGCTTGAGAAAGCTGATGAAGAAGACCCATTGTTACCCCTGAGCAGATGGCAACTTCTTGGGTATGGGGAAATGAGCCTCCTCCGTTAGACACAGGCTCCCAGATAGCAATGCTCAGATTCAGCGTGATCCACCTCCCCATCTCTCTCTCCACACACACACACATAGAGGCACACACTTTCAAGCAAGGCTTTAAATCCATTAGCTTTGCATAATTAGATTTTTCTCAATTACCAGATTATGATAATTACTGGCTCGTTTGTAACAGCTAGCTCATAATCCGGTATCATTGCACTTGGAGACGAGCCAGGTGCTGTGTTGTGTCGCTGGAGCAGTGAGAGTGTCGGCACCGGCAGACGAGCCAGGAGACTCCACCAGAAGAGACTGTGCAGCCGACACTCACCTTGGCCTGGCACTTGACTGATAAGAAAGAACGGCTTTTGCCTGGGCACACCGCACGGCTCCCTCTTAACTGTCTTAAGAAACATGAGAAGAGCCCTGCTGAACCAGGTCAGGTCACAGGCCTATCTATTCCAGAAGCCCATTTCCACAGTGGCCAACCAAGTGCATATGGGAAACCCACAGGAAGGACCTGAGTGCAACACCGCTCTCCCCACTTGTGACTCCCAGTCCACTGCCTCTGACCCTAGAGGTGGTGATATAGAGCAATCACAGGAGACCAACACATGGGAGAAAGTGTGAGAGGCTCCCATCAGTACACTCAGGCAATCTTCTTGCCCTCCACTGTCCTTTTAGCATAGGCCATTCAGGGATACTTTGCAGCACTGTGTGCTGCAAAGTGGAGCCCAGTCCTCACGCCGCTGCAGCTTTTCTTGTTCTTTGGTCAGCAGAGCCCTGATGGGAGATGCACCTGCGCAACTTGTTTGTTACAAGGATTCTTCTAAAGGTTTCCTCTCTTTCAACACACACATACAAATCAAACCCAAACTTAGCTCCATCCTTCTCGTTTAGCCACTGGTTGGGACTTAGACAGCTGAGGGATCGAAAGAATGCATGTTGCCGCACCAGTCACAAGAAACAATCAGTGCAGGCAGTTAGCTACAGATTTTCACCATGTCAGTGCCGTCTAGCCTACTCTGTCTCCTAGTCACTTCATGCAGAACTCATTATTATTATTATTAGTAGTAGTAGTAGTACTTTTTTCTTTAAAAAAATGTTTAGGGTTACTCTCATTTTGACTCAAGAAAATCACCATTTAAAGTTCAAATTGGGAAAAATAAATACAGTAAATGGACAAAAGTACAAAGATTCAAAAAAAGGAGTATGCATACCCCTGCATCCCCCCCAGAAAAAAGCATTGATTATTATTATTATTATAACCCACCCTTCTCCAGCAGGTCCCAGCTCTTTCTTACTTCCTCAGAAGGACACAGCGGGTTACAAAATACAATAAATAACCTTGACAAGAGGTCAAGAGGTGCAGGTTGGTTATTTTTGTTTATTTACTAGTGAGAAGATAAGCAAGCACATGCTTATGGAATGTGTGTGTGTGTGTGCATGAATGAGTAGGGTGAATGTGTGTGCATGTGTGCATGCAGAGCAGAGGTTGGTGGATACGCTGCCCAAACCATTGGCAGCTGGCTTGCACAGAAGTAGAAAGATAATCAAAATAACATAGGCATAACTGACCTATAATTCTAAGGCTCTACTAAACCCAGTGCAAATTCCAGAATCCAAATTAATGGTTAGTTCTGAAAACAGCTAAAAGAAAAGTATTGTGTGATCATTTCACCAAAAGTATAACATAGTTGGAACTACTAAACACGTAATGTATCTGCTTCTCTAAAGTGTGCAAGAAAGAATGATCAGTGCTCATTTGCTGATCTTGAAAGTACGGTAGATCTGCAGCACACTCCTATGCATATTTTCTCAGAAGCAAGTCCCACTGAAGTTAATGAGGCTGACTCCCTAATACATGCGTTCAGGATTGCAGCTTTAAGGAGGGACGCATGTTTTATTTGTATTTCATCTCATTTTCGTAAACTGCCCTGGAAACACTGCTGAAGGGCAGTGTAGAAATGTTTTACATAAAACAAATAAATCATTGTGTCATTCTATTCTTACAGCCTCAAGACTTCCCCCTGAATTGCCATTATCATATTCCAGTGCTTCTACACTCCCGTTCAGTGCACTCTGCAACCAGTGCACACCCAGCACTGGTTCGGGAGGCAGTGTACATGTGATGTTAGCCACAATCCATATTTATCCTGCACTTTTTAAAGGAAATACTGTACTTGGATGTGCTTTCCCCCCAAACCAGCTTCAATCCAAATTGAAAAAAAGAATGCCCTCGTTGCATCGTAATCCAGGAAGGTGAACACAGGTCTTAAGGCTCTTCACAGAGAGGTTGAGGGTGTTGCTTTTCTGCAATCAGCTGGAAGCAGAATTATAATGGTGGCTCTACACAGCCCTGAATATCTACTTATTTACTGTATTATACTCTACTTTTCAGACAGATATCATCTCCCCAAGCAGTTCACAGCAATTCTCTCCCTCCTACAAAAAGAGGTTGTGCCCTCAAGATTACAAACTTAAGAAGGCATACAAAAGAGTAGGGTGGAGAGGAAAGACGTGGGAGGGAGGCCGATTTGACAACGACAGAGCAAGGCAGTTGTGCCTGACCCAGGACCCTTCACCCCCCTGGCTGGAAGCAGATTAGGCTTCCTCAAATTCCTAAAGTCCCAGGGGTAAGTGGCTGTTGCCAGCAAGTAACCTTTCCCCTGCAGCTGCTGCTTCTGTAGCCAATGGCTGAGGTCAGGCTGGTCTTTCCCTTGCCCATTATGTTTTGTGCAGGTGGGAAGGGCTGCAGTCTCTCAAGGGCTTCCCACAGATCCTCCTCCTCCTCTGGCCAATGGCTGGAAGTAAGCATAATCACCACCACCCCAATTTTTGTTTGCTTGTAAAATAAAATAAAATAATAAAATAAAATAAAATAAAATAAAATATAAAATAAAACTACTAATATGAATATATAATATATAATGTTGTATTATTTATAAATAATTTAATATTATCATCATCATCATCATCCAACCAATGAGATTGCTCTGGCTACAAGTAAGAAACTGAAGAGCAGCTTGTGGCTGGAAGGTATGAGGAACTGATTAATGACAGCAGGAGTGCGGAACTTTTTCAGTCGCTTCCTGATAACCTTATGGAGGCCACATGTCAGTGGTGGGTGGAACCAGAGACAACAAATGGAATGATGCAACAAATGTGAACTTTACATTTGTGCAGTTGGCTATTTTATACACACACCTTATTTCCTTTTTCTAGGGCCTGGGCAAACAAGGAGCATGATTGGGGCTCAAGGGCACATTCCAGCTAGGCAAACACAGTCAAAGAAGGTGCAAAGCAGGACCAGCACGGCGTGTGGCCTGAGGAGAAGGATTGTGGCCTCATGGGTGATGAATGCTGCCTGGGGAACACCTCAAGGGCCAGACAGAAAAGCCTTTGGCTTGAGGTTTCCCACTCCTCAATTAAAGGGCCAGTAGCTGGGAGAAGCCTCACTAGTGCTGTGTCAGTCCCCAGACAGGCTGGCACAGTGATTGCATTTTACATTTTTCTAAAAACCCACCGAGTCTGAAAAAAGGTTGGTCAACACAGAAAGCAAGCATTGTACAACAGTTTGGCAATGATCTCATCTTGATTATTTGTAAAAACTGAGTAAGCAAACAATTCTGGAGAAAACGGCTAGTGGAAGCAGTGCTTTCCTAACTGACTTTTGCATAGTTCACCCTCCCTTCAACTACTATTGTTTTCTGGATGCCCTCCACCTGCTAAAAAAACCCCTGTATCCTTAGGAAACAAATCAGTGCACCCTTAATTGAAAATGGCATATGGTGGAGGATGCTTTTGGGCCCATGGGGTAGGGAGAGTTCTTATTATTAATGGATAGCTCCTGCAAGACGTCAGCATAATATGCTTCTGCCATTGAAAGTGGAAACAGATCTAGTAAGAAATAGTAGGAAAAGGTAAAAAACCATTCAAAACAGTTGGGGAGGGGGATGCATATAAATCTATAGGCATCCATACTGAATGCTTGTGTCACCCCATTTCAAAAATCTGGTGGGGAAGGTGAGTACACAAGCACACAAACACAGACATATGGACAAGTGTGGTATATGAATCGATTTTCCATCCACACAAGAACAAAGTAAAACATTTAGCATGGCAACTTGGTAAACAGACCAAAAGGAAGGGATATGATTGAAGTATGCATAATTATATAATGAAGAGGGAATCGTTGCTTACCCTTCCACTTAATGCTGGCACAGGAGGGTACCTAGTGAAATTAGTATGCATGCCACAAGATTGACTGAAACCAACAAAAAGCAACATTTTTTTACAGAGCTTGTTTGTGAAATTTTCCGCTTCTAAGTCTTTGTCCAGGTGATCAAATGAGATCTCGCCCCTCTACTTTTCAAACCCCACCCCACCCCACCCTGGTTCTTCTTCTGCCAGTGCTTGAATTAAGTGGGGAGCAGAGGAGGCCCCAGTCCACCATGTTAACTCCTATTTTCAGAAGGCTACAGGAGGACATGATGTGGGGTTGGGTGGAAGGTGAGTGTTGAGGATTTTTGCACAGGCCTCCCTGCCTTCTCCTCCATGATTCAAACACTCCTCTGTGCTCCTGCCCGGGTTCTTTGCTCTACTGACAAGCCAAATGTCAATCTTTTACTTAAGCCTCATTATTGCCTCTGTGCCCCATCAATGCCCCCCTGTCTCTCAGCACCCTTCCATTAGAAAGCTTTCCTATATCGGACTACCTTCCTCTAATATAATTTCCCAGCACCTCTCAAAGACAAATCTCTTCTTCAGCCTGGCTTTTCTTGGGGCTGACCGTTCTTTACCTTTTGCGTTCTTTCGCTTAATGTGTACCACCTTCAATTAGATTGTAAGCCTGCGGGCAGGATTGTCATATATTGTGCATCTCCTGCTGGTTTTAGTTGCTTTAATGTGTGTGTGTTGGGGGTGGAAGCAAACACAACATTAGGAATTATTTGGAAAAGGGTTGAAAAACAGGGAGCCGCCATCAAAGTCTCAAGGGATAGTTCAGCCGGTACAGCATGAGATTCTTAATCTCAGGGTGGTGGGTTTGAGCCCCACATTGGACAAAAGATTCCTGCAATGAAGTGAGTTGGACTAGGTAACCATCGTGTTTCCTTCCAACTCTATGATTCTATGATCAAAACTACCTGTTTTAACTCTGGAGTGCAATTTTCAGCCATTATATGTTGTTTCCTCCAAGGCTGTTGGTTGAGACCCAGAGGCTATGCCTTCCCATCCTATGGAGGATTATGTGGGAGGCTTAGGGATCCAGCCAGCTGGGGAAAGGCAGGAGGAGTGCCCAAGGATCCCAGGGAGAGGCAGGGCATCAAGAGATGAGAGATTGTCCCCTCATCATCCCAGGAGAAATGCAGACCAGCAATTCCCACAGGAGAGGGATTCTTGCACATAACTGAGCTTTCTCTGCCTCTGCTCAAAACCTTGACAGGTAGGCAGGGAAACTTGTTGGGACAACTTTGTAGAGCCCATGCAATCTTTTTGCTGCTGCTCATGAACTCCTGACCTTTGTGCCCTTGCTCTTGTACTACATTTTTTGTTGTTACTTCTTTCCCTTGTAAGAGCACATGGATCAGCTGCTGCATTTGTACCATTAGGCTGCTGTAATAAAACTTATATGCAGAATTCATCATGCGAAAGGCTGGACTGGATGAATCCCAAACCGGAATTAAGATTGCCGGAAGAAATATCTTTTTTTTAAAAAAAAATAATATTTATTAAAAGTTAAGGAATTACAGAAAAATAGAAAAAATAGGAAACAACACTACAATACATAAAAAAGAAGGAAAAAAACCAAAGCATAGAAACCAATACAACAATATAGCAAAAAGATAAAAAAAAGACACAAATCCATGTTACATATCTTTAACTTCCATTTGCTTGTTTCATTGACCTCCTCACACCTCCCTTTTTGTATTCTAGTTTAATTAGTTATTTTCAGCAAATTCTTTCCATCTTTCTCAATTTTTATTGAATAATTTATCTTAACAATTTAACCTATTAATTAACTCAACAAATCCTTTCCATCTTTCCCCATATTCTGTTATTCAAATTACCTTAATTTATTTAACCTTATCTTACCGTAAAATACCTTAGAGCTTGAAACTTAATACTCAATTATACATAACTCCTTATATCATTTCTACTAAAGCCATATAGTTTCATTCCAACATTTTCCCTAATATTCATTAATTTTAGGCTAATTCCCTAAATAAAAAGTTTTCTTTATAAATTTTCTTCCAATCTTCATCCAGCGTCTCTTCTTCCTGGTCTCAGGTCATGTCAGTCCTTACTGTCCATTCCATCTAGTCCATCAACCTGGTAATCTTATGTCCGAGGCTCTTAAGTCTCTTCCATGTCCCTTCTGCAGATCTTCTTCTTCTTGTTTATACCTGCACTTTTCCTTGTCTTTTGTTGGTCTCTTTCTTAATTTCTTTCCTTTCTCATTGAGGAGTAGGTCTCTGGGAGGTTCCAGCCCAAGATTATCTCCATCTCCCTTCATCAAACCAGCCCATTCCCCACAGTCCCACTCCCCACAATCATCAATGTAATCCAAAAAATATTTAAGAGCATATTTCAAAGTCCCTCCGAAGTTAAGAACCTCCTCAGCTCCAGACTCCCCCTGGCCCACTCCAACTTCAATCTTCAAAAACAGCGGCTTAAGCTCCTGCAGGGCCTCAGGTCTCTCCATTTGTATTATTTGAGGTGCAACCGCAACCTCCTCCATTATCTTCTGCACTTGCCCAATCAATACAGGTTCCTGAGTTGGTCCCTGAATGGTTTCTGTATCAATATTCCCTTTTTGTCCACAGTTATTGACCACAACAGTCATCAAATCCGTTTTCTCATTCATCAGATCCATCTTCTCATGCATCTGTTCCAACAAAGCACTTGTCTTGCATAAAGCAAGCACCAAAACTTCCTCCCAGCTCATTTTTATTCGAGGTCAAAGGACTGGTCCCACGATCTTAATCTCACAGCTGTGGAGACCTCAAGTAGACTGCAGCAACAATTTCACAAGCTCCCTCTCGAGGAGACAAATTCTATTTGAATCCATCTTTTGAAGGCAAGTCCAACAAAGGAAAATTACTTTCATATTTCAGATATTTTGTTTCTTTAGAATGCAAAAGGCAACATTGGAATCAGTTTATTTCTCTTCTTTAGCTATCTGTCAAAGTATTCCATTCACAGTCAGTGAACCTCTCCAACAATTTCTGTCTCTGCCCCCCCCCTTCCCAGGTTTGAGACGGTGGAAACTTATCTTTCTTCACTCCCTCTCCTGCAGGCTTAAACAAAGATTCCCCCCCCCTTTTCTCCTGCTTCCAAGGGGGTTTTAGTGGTTATAAATGAAGGAAATTTAGACTTTTTTAACGACTTTCCAGACTTTAGCTTACAAGGTTTTTGCTTCAGTCTATGTACAAAAAGCGGAAGGCGGACTTCCTGTTTGAACCTTCCCGCTTCGGTGCCAAATTAGGGTATTTCTTAATCCAATTTTCCGTTTCTACTCACGGGTACTTGTTTTAGATCCAATTGTCCACAGGAAAAAGTCAGCGCTCTCCGGCAATGGCTGTGCGGCTTCACTCTGTGAAAGTAGCAATCAGTTCGCAGCACCGCGCCACTCACCCCACTTCACTCTGGAATCCCGAAATGGGGTTCTCCGTGAGTAGGGGAGGCGCTCCTGGTGCCCTGCCGAACCCCACGTTCCCAGGCTTCCTCCGCCTGGGATTTCTAGCGGGTTCTCACCTTCGCCGCGGCGGGAAGACCCAGTTTCCATGGAGCCAGTTCCTCCGGTCGGAGGAACTCCGCCATTCGCCGATGGCGCTAACCCGGAAGTCCCTCGCTAACCCGGAAGTCCCGAAATATCAACAACCTCAAATATGCAGACGACACAACCTTGATGGCAGAAAGTGAGGAGGAATTAAAGAACCTTTTAATGAGGGTGAAAGAGGAGAGCGCAAAATATGGTCTGAAGCTCAACATCAAAAAACGAAGATCATGGCCACTGGTCCCATCACCTCCTGGCAAATAGAAGGGGAAGAAATGGAGGCAGTGAGAGATTTTACTTTCTTGGGCTCCATGATCACTGTAGATGGTGACAGCAAAAAACAGTGGTAACGGGTGGCTTTTAAAAGGGTTATTCAAAATAATGGAGCACAGGTCTATGTCAGTTATTAGCTAAGTGGAACCTCCAGGTCCAGAGGTAGTGTAACCCTGAATGCCAAATGACAAATATGCTACCTTCATGCCATACTTACAGGCTTTTCAGAGGCATTGGCTGGCCACTGCGTAGAAGCAGGATGATGAATTAGGTGGGCCCTTTTCTTGCATTAATCAGTGTGTGTTTCAACTGCACTAGTCCTTTCACTGTAGTCCTGCTATTTCCCCTTCAAGGGCAATAGAGCAATATCCAGTTTGGTTGTAATGGATGGGGAGAGTTCATTGCCACTCACATTGCTTGAAATATGCATATGCATATACATATATCAGGGCAAATGTGCACCATGCTGGAGAGAGGAATGCACAACCTTCAAATAAAATAAAAGCAAATGAGATGGTGTGGCATTGCAGCAGTGGCCAGGCCAGGGTGTGGCCTTTTGGTGACTGCTACTGCCCTGTACAGGGAGTTCTCATGTGCTAAAACAGGAGTAGGGAGCCTCGTGCCTTCCAGAAGTTACAGGGCTTCAGTTTCCGTAATCCCTGCCTATTGGCCGTGCTGGTTACGGGTGGTGGGGGTTAGAGTGTAGCATATCCGGGAGGGGCACAGGTTTCCCCACCCTCTGCTCTGAAACACACCATACAGTAGCTGCAAATGATGTCCTCTCTCTGCGGACAAAGCCACGAGCTCCCACTGAAAAACATTAAGGCTTGAGTGCTTGGGAAATGTGATATTCCAGCAACAGGAGTGCCGCCTCGAGGGAAGATGTCTGGACTTTCTGCAACAAATGGGAAATGTTTAGCATTTCTTCATGCTGAAAACTGAAAGCCTGAAAAGAGCCTGAAAGTGATGAAGGCCAGCAATATAAATGAGTTCATAAAGGCTGTAATCCTGCATGTGGTTAGAAAGCAGTGCAGGATGGGCTACAACCCCGGAATACCACAAAAATGTAGAAGACACAAGGATTTTTAAAGTTGTTCAGGCAAGCCCTCTCAGAGGTTCAGAGAAGCCCAGGCCACTTCCAGCTTTTGAGGGCATTAGCCATAATAATATGTATATTTTAATGACAACACCCAAAAACAAGGCACCGAAAAAGAAAAAACGTGAGTGATTTGTTTATATAATCAGCTGATCTGAGAGAACATGTTAATCATGGTCTAATCTTGTGCCATCAGAATCAATATTTCTTATTAATATTTATGAACATTTTAAACTCTTTAATATGACAAAATCAATGGGTTGACTTGTATCTAACGAAGCCCTCCCGTTAGCACAAGGACTTCTGCCTGCTCAACAGGACTTTCTCTCCCTCTCCTGAGGGTAGAAGTACTTGCAGAAAGACTTCATTGGATACAACCCTGTATCAGGCTGGGTATACACCTGCAGCTTAAAATGCCTCCTTGCTTGTTGCGTTTCTAGTCACACTTGCACTTTGCCACACACACCACAGTCTGGACGAAGATGTCATCACCTGATACACAGCACCTGATTTGTTTCTCCACACCTGCAAGCACCCTCCCATAGAACTTCTGTTTGTGAAGCTGTCATCTGCACAGGTTCAACAGCTGTCCCAAATGTACACACTTCGGCTTAACCGTGGCTTATGTTTTTAAATTGGATGGAAGGTGATTTGAGGAAAAACACGTCAAACAGGAGCATTTCTCAAGACTACAGCATACATATGGATTGTGGCTAACATCACGCATACTCAGCTTCAAACACCAGAAGTGAAAGCGCCCTGGAGCCAGAGTAAACAGCAATGCATACACAGTCTCAGTTAACAGAACAGCCACAACAAAAGAAGTCTTTTACCCAAGCACATCTTGTTTGCTCAGATTTGCAGCTCAAAGCTGAGAGTGTGTGTCACATTTTGTTCTGATGTGCATAAGTTGCAAAACTTATCAAACGTCAGCAAATTAACCTGTCTACATTTTGGGTCTTCTTTGAGCTTGAGACCCAAACCAAATGGAGCTCCTGGTCCCCTCTCTCATTGACCCAGCCCTCAGTAGCTTCTTAACAGATCCCTAAACAAGAAGAGCCTGCCAGAAGCAGGGCCAGCCCTACCAGAAGTCAGAGTGAGTCAATGGCAACCTCCTCAGGTGGCAGGGGGTGGGGGCAGCAGGGGCAGCTCCTGGTCGATTTCTCCTGAATCCCTCCCTCTGCCACACTGTATCTTTCTGTTGAAGGACACAGCTGTGTGCCTTGTGGCTTGGTCTTCACCCCATAACTAACCAACTTCATTCAAGTGTGGTGGAGCACCCGCTCTTGTTGCCAGTATTTCAAAGAGAAGCAAAGGTGGACATCTGCACAAAGGAGGGGTGATCCACAATATGTTGTTAATTCCAGCTCCCCTCAGGCTCAGCCAGCATGACCAGTGGTTGGGGATGATGAGTGTTGTACTACAACATCTATAGGGCCTTGTGTTCCCATACCCTCCAACATTTCTCTGACGAAAATAGGAACATCCCATTCCATAATGATAATTTTACTATTTATAACCCCACACATCTTACTGAGTTGCCCCAGCCACTCTGGACAGCTTCCAACATATATAGTAACATAATAAAACATTAAACTTTTTTTAAAAATAAAATAAAATAAAACCCTATATAGGATTGCCTTCAAATGACTCGGGTCAGATAACTCCAAACCCTGCAACATTTCTCCAATGAAAATAGGAACACCCTAAGGAAAAGTGGGACATTCCGGGATCAAATCCAAAAACTGGAATGGCTTCTCTAAATCAGGGACATCCCTGGAAAATAGGGACACTTGGAGGGAACATAAAAAGGAACATAAAGGAGGTTCTACTGGGTCGATGCCAGTCACAGAGCTTGAAGAAACTGTAAACAGCAGAAGCTGCAAATAGAGCACTCCAGCCTTCTGAGCAGGGTTAGCCGTCAAGACATTTTGCTGCTTGATGGACAAGGTGATGCCACCACCTTCCAATGTTACAGAAGCGACTTCACTAGCAGTTGAATCATCCCTCCTTTGTGCAGAAATCCACCTTCTCTTTGGCTCGCAACTTGAGCAAGCTGCTTGAAATGCAAAGGCAAGTTCTGCTTGCCTACTTCCCACAGGCATCTGGTCAGCCGCTGTGAGAACAGGATGTTGGACTAGATGGGCCTTTGGCCTGATCCAGAAGGGCTTTTAATGATCTTAAGTGAGGGAAAGAGTGGGAGAGTCTCTTGGGCTTTCTACCTGTTTCTACCTTCTTTCAAGGAATGGTTCCCTTTTTAGAATTAAAATGGATTGTTCCTTGTTGTTGTTTTTTAGGGAACAATTTCATGAAATAAGAAGCAGGTAATTAGCCAAAAACTAAGCAAAGGGTGCAGCACCTGGGCAACCTGAGAGTAGCTGTGTGCAGTTAAAAAATGTGAGGTAGATGGGCAAGTGTAGTCTGCCTGAGATCACAGGGCAGGACTTGAGGACTTTGTAGAAGAGACAGGCTGTGTGATGTGTTGGTTGTGAGCAGCATTTACAGTCCTACTCTAAACATACTTATTCGAAAGCCCCACTGGGTTCAATTGGACTTACTTCCCAGTAAGCATTGCTAGGATTGCTGTCTTCTTTTGACTTTAGTGTGCACCACAGATGTTAAAAATATAAAAAGAGCTCATTTCAGCTGCCTTGATTTTCCACAGGATTCGTTTGCAAGAGAAAGCATAGATCAGGAGCAGAGCCATCAACTCTCCCGCCCTTTCTTCTTTTCTTTGAAGTATTTCAGAGATCTAAAAATTTCACCCCTCCCTTAGCTGAGGCAGGCCAGGTAGTATAGAAGCAACAAGCTTCCACTGAACTCAAGCAAGCCAGCCTGATGTAGCTGCAGCAACATCATTAAGTGCATTGTCTGTAATTAGGGTGAGAACAAAAGTTGCAGAAAGAGAAACATGTTGTCCTAATCTATGCTTCTGCAAATTCAAGCCTGCTAAAAATGATTTGACTGAAGTATTAAAGCCAGCTTTGTGCTTGCTCTCTCCCTCCCTAAAGCCTTTGCAACATATGGAAATTAGCCATATTTCCATAGGATCAAAGAGTATATTAGCTTATCTGAACAGTAGGACTAGCAATGCAAATCTCATAGAGCTTTACTTATTATTATTATTATTATTATTATTATTATTATTATTAAGAGAGAGAGAGAGCCATTCACTCCAATCCCTTAGGTGCAGCAGAAGAGGAGAGGCAGCTTCAGAAGCTGGTGCAGTGGCTTCACTGCTATTAGAAAATACCACAATGCCAGCGTTTCCATTGTCAGCAAGGAAGACCCCTCCATGCCAGACCTCGCAAGGTCTTCCAAAGGAGCAGATGGCTTGAACAATTCTGCTCCTCCATAGTACCATCAGAGTCACTAGCAAATAAAGGCTACACTGTAAACAAAAGGAATGATGGGGGAGTATTGATGGACAGCTGGTTATACACATATGAGGAGGGAGAACCTTTTATCAGTGTTACCAGTGCAATCCTTATGAATGCCACATTTTAAAATTGAACATAAAGAATTTATACACTGCCATTTCATATTGTTTCCATCTGGGTACAGAGGAGAAGCAGGGCTATTTCATCGCCTCTGTGGAGAGACTTACTTTGGCCCTGTCTCAACTGTGATGTAGCTGCAGCCACTGCATTCCAGTTGGTTGCTGCAATAAACTGCAACTTCAAGAACTGGTGCATGAGCTTGGTTTTCCCCCACTCCTCCCTCCTCTTCCTTTCTTCCTTATGTGTCATGTCTGTTGACTGGTAAGCAAGGACTACCTTACTACTGATGTTTTATAGGTCACTAATCAGGGTCTTTTACGCAAATTTCAGAATAAAAATGTTTTGAATAAATAAATGCAAAAATCATACACATGATTTTGTAAGTTGTGTGCATGGGCAGTGTTCCATGACTTAGGATGATAACACTGGCAAAGCCAGGGGAACCATTATCCACTAGCATAAAAATACAGCTTCAAGGGGGACTGGAGATGTTGGTCAGTGGCATCACCAGCTCCAAGCAAATCAATATGGTGTGCAGCCAGCTTCTCCTATGAACATGCAAAATCTGCCGTTTGGCGGCAAGGGCTTAGAGTGGGTTGTGGCCTCACAATGGAGAATGTTGGTTATCTGATTAATCTCAATTCATCCAAGCCCAGCTATGGTAAAGTTACCAGATGTCCCCGTTTCCCAGGGACAGTCTCCGGATTTACAAATCAGTCCCCATACAAAATCCATTAAAGTTGAAAAGTGTCCCCAGATTCATTGAAAAAAAAATGGCCTCCATTGCACCGATGGAGGCCTTATGCCAAAAAAATGAACAGGGGTAGGGCTATTCTGGACCTCCCAGCAACTTTTGATACCAACTATCTGGATCTTCAGGACATTTTTTTGGGCAGTGCTTCTGATATGAGCATCCTCAGATGGTGGTGCTGGGGGGGGGGGTTCTTGCTCTACCACAAAGCCTTTGGTTTATGGAGGCTGGGAGAGTTGTTTCTATATTCTCCCCCATGCCTTTTAGTCATCTGCATGATGCTGCTGGGGGGGAAGTCATCCAAAGGTCAGGGATGCAGCATCGCCAGTATGCTGATAACATGCAGTTCTATCTTTCTTTCCCACCTTCTGGAATCTGGGAGGCTTCTCAGAGTCTGAACCAGTGCCTGCAGAACCCCCTACTTTTCAAAATGTTGCTATCTCTACGGTAGTCTTTGTTATGTGAATGGTCCCACAGACCCACTGTGTGGGTTACATGGATCCTCTGGGGTCTGCAGACAACCAATAGGGAACCTAAACAGTTTGCCTTCAAATTACCTGCCAGTTCCTGTACCATCCTGCCCACACACTGAGATCTCAACTTGTTCCTCTTTAACCAGGCGTTTGGCTGATTGACATCCTATGCCTGTTTAAAATGTGTTGGGGGGTGTTATTGAATTCTTTTTGTTTTTATTTTGATTGTGTATTTTGTACTTTTATGTTGTGATTTTATCCTGTGAACTGCCCTGAGATCTGACGGTATAGCATGGTACACTTAATCAATCAATCAATCAATCAATCAATCAATTAAAATAACTGGAGGCCATCTTGGTGTGCCTGCCTTCTAGGTCTGTAGGATGGGTGACCACAAGACAGAAGGCCTTTTCTGTGGCGGCTCCACACCTTTAGAACTCCCTCCTAGCAGAACAGCACTGGGCAGCTATACTTCAGGCTTTTTGGAGGGCCTTAAAGACTCACTGTTTCACCTGGCCTTCCCTGTGCAATATTTTTTATGCTGCTCACTGGATAGAAGCTGTGATATTATTATGTTGTTATAGTTCTGAATCTATTCTATCTTTGTGAATCTATTTTATTTCTGTTTTTAGAAATACTGGTTTTTGTACTTGCAGTTTTTATTGGAATAGACTTGGCCCAGAAAAGCAGCATATACATGTTTTAAAATATTTCAATAAATATATTTCAATAAATTCTCTTCCCCTGAACTGCTTCCGGGGGAGACAGACACTACATTAATCTAAACAAAATGGGGCAAGCATGTTTCTACAGTGTTAGGTATGTCTGCATGCAGCCAAAGTGGAGGTACACCCATATACACCCAAACCCATTTACAGTGCAATCCTGTACAAGTCTACTTAGAAGTGAGCTCAGTGGGAATTACTCCCAGGTAAGTATGTGCAGCATTACAGCCCAAATCCTGCTGTTGTCCTAGAGTTGGAAGCTTTGCTGCAAAGATAGCGCATTAAAAGGTTACACTTTCCCTGTAATTGAGTTGGATCTCTGAGACCATGGGATGGAATTGCAAGAGCATCTATTTTAAGCACCTATAGAGTTGTCAAACTGTGTAGAACTGGGGTAGATCATTCCTATTACTCCAGCTCTCCTTAGCACTTCTCCTTCGTTTATCTATTAACACTATGCTTTTTCTTTTTTGCGACCCATGGATCCAAAGCCTTCCTTCTATTGCATTTGTTTGTGCACACACACACACACACACACACACACCCTGAAACGTTAAAGATACAGCATCCTAATCTGCAAAAGTAAAACTGCTACTATGTGATGCAAATTTGTGCACTGAGAAATGCTATTTCCCTGGGCAGCAATGGAGCCACAGCACTGAGCAAATCCTCCCTGGGACTTTGCAGATCAAAGGGTCCTGCTTCCTCTTTAGCCCAGAGGCAACCTGGCAGGAATCTAGAGATGGAGCCACCAAGGATAAAGGGTCGGGCCCCTTCTGCTTGAATCAAAAGACTCAGAGCCTTGAAGCACGTCCTGACAATTGTGAGCTGGGGGAGCTTGTAGGATACCTCGTGGCTGGCAGAGGCTAGAATTGCCAACAAAGTCAGGCTTTGAAGGATGCTTCAACTGATTAGGTTGGAAGGGGAACATTGATCCTGCTTTTATATATCCATTAAAAGCCCCAGATTAACCAGCATCTACAACCACCAACTCTTAGTAGCTCTGGGTGGAGGGAGAAAAGGAAGTGCAGTGGTTGGAAGGGAATGCCAAAAGCTGAAGATATTTCCATTAAAAAACAATCTATTTCAACACACACACACACGCCACATGCCACGCACACACATTCACATACTTTGCTGGCTGTTCAACAGAGAGGGAGGCTGTTTCAATTGTGGGAGGAGGGGAGGATTTGCTGTGATTCACAGGCTCCAAATCAAGGCCGGGTGCCCTTCGCAAAGAGACATATCAGGCAGACACAAACAACTGGACTCTTTCCCCCGTGAGGCTGCCTGTCTTGGAGCTGCCAAAGTGAACAAGAGAGGCAGCATGTCTCTGTCAAAGCTAATCCAGCACCTGCTGGGGTGAGGAATGCCCAGGCACACATAAGGCCCTGTCCCAGGGGGCCCACAAGAGCTGAGGCAGCTGCCCCACCCCACCATCTACTTGTCGCTTCAGGCCCCAGTTCACCTCTGAGCCTGTGCAAAAGCTATTCCAGAGAGCCCATGTCTCATGTCCTGTTTGGGGTCTGTTATTTCTCTACACCAGGTCTCATATATCTATGCACAGGGGGCTGTGAGATGCAGTGTGCATTCTTCAAGGGGCACCATAACAGGAAAATCTGGAATTCTCCCTGGGACTTTGGGAAAGCAGAAGTGAAAGTGCCCTTAGAACAATACTTGGTGAGCCTGGTCAGGATAAAGTACTTTGGAAAAGGACTTTAAGGTAGGAGGAGTCACTGCTGTAATGAGAACATAAAAGAGCTCTGCTGGATGAAACCTTCATCTCGTCCAACATCCTGTCCTCTTTTAAAGCCATCCAAGCTATCACTACATACTGCAGAAGGAGATTCCAGATATTAAGGTGAGCCCTCTGATCACGGCTGTGTGCACTGCATGCAAAGAAAACCCAGGTTTTGCATCAAACATATTTGCATCTATTCTGATGTTATTTGGCAGCCAAGATCACAGTTGCATTGCTTGCACAGTCTGGCAACAAGCAAAGAAAGACCACAGAGAGCTGATTTAGGTGACCAGTTGGGTAACAGCTCAGAGGACATTTGTAATCAGAGAGGGCACTGTAGCCACAAGCTGAATTTCATCCAGGAACACCACCAAGAATTCCTTATTGATTAGAACTTGTTCTCCTGTTTCCCCATCTAAGAACTGGTAAGATATCTGGCTGTTTTAAGGGCAAAATAGCAACCTCCCTCATTCCATGCACAGAAGCTGACCAGACTGGCAGCTGAATCTTCCTTCAACACTGGTGACAGGACAGCAGGCCAACTTAAAGAATGCAGAGCAGGCCACGTGGCACATGCATACACACACAGCCCTGTCCTCAATGGCAGTTAGCTGAGATTCCTGCATTGCAATGGGATGGACTAAATGACCCTCAGGGTCCCTTTTAACTCTGCAGTTCTATGATTCTACAATTCTCTGATGCTATCTTGCTGCCACTTCTCCTTCCCAAGCATCCATGGCCTCAGGCAGCTACCATACTCTGCCTAATAGTCCTGTGCCACCTCAAACAGAGCACATAAGGTCACCCTGGGTTTAGGAATATGGATACTCCTAAACCTGGGCAGAATCCAATGTCATGCTACGGAGATCATTCCATCAACAAACACACTTCTGCTCACCAGAGAGAACAATATCTCCTCTCTACCTCCCACATGCTGTACTGGGGGCTCTTCTGACCCTCCTGTAGATTTGGGAGAGGCAAAGATCTGGGCTGGTGGTGGCTGATAAGGAAAAAGATATTGGGGCCATGGAAGATTTCTCAATGAAAATGTCAACCCAGTGTACAGCAGCTGTGAAAGCGGTGGATTTAACACTAGGGATCATTAGGAAAGGGATCGAAAAATAAAACTGCCAATATTGTAAATGCCATTATGCAAATTGATGGCGCGACCACACTTGGAGTACTGCATAGAGCTTCAACTCAAAAAATAGTATTATAGAATTGGGAAAAGTGCAGAAAAAGGGCAGCCAAAATGGTCAAAAAGATGGAACAACTCCACTGTAAAGAATTTCTCCCTTATAATACTAAAACCTGAAGAGTCTTCCAATGAACCTGAGCGGGGGGAGATTTCAAGACAGACCAAAAGAAAGTACTTCTTTATACAGTGCATAGCTACAAACTATGGAATTTGTTGTCCTAGCAAGTCCTGGGGAAGGGCACCAAATTTAAGGTATGAGTTTGTTTTAAAATGCAAATAGCATCAACTGGGGTTGGCTGATATTTAGCAGCATCACAGCAGGCATGGAGGAAGACATTAACCCTTTCCACCCTTGCTGTCCTGAGGGGGGGGGGCAGAAACCCTCACTTTACTTTTGGAGGAAATTCCTCATTGTCACAAATTTGGGGGAGGGGGATTTCCTCCCAGTACAACCACTAGCTTTGGAAAGGGAGTTTTTCTGAGGTTCACAGGTTCCCCTCTAGTGTCTGCTGTTATCTCAGCAATTATCACCCCCTACCAGCTGAGGTTATTTGGACCTGCACATTAAATGCAAATACACATTTTAATGATCAAGCCTAGCTTGTCTCTTAGATAGCTTTAAAAGGGGATTAGATCATTCATGGAGGATAAAGCTATCAACAGCTACTAGTCATGATAGCTATATTCCACCTTCAGAAACATCATGTATCTGAATGAATATCAGTCACAGGGGAACACGTGCAGTTCCTGCGCTTCCTAGAGGCATCTGGTTAGACACCATGGGAAGGCTGGGCTTTCTTTCTGTTCTTACCCATAAAAATTGCAAAATCTCAGATTCTCATCAGCATATCAAGGAGTGTCTTTCTGTAGAAAAACATGTGTTCTTGAATATTCTTCAATGTGCATTTCCCCCAGAGATACATATATTTGTGCTGACTACTTCATTGTTTCCCAAAGCAAGGAATCTTCCTAGCCCAGGAAGACAAGGGACAACCAGGGCAGCTGGGCATGTTGTGGGAACAAAACAGTACTTACCATTTTGGATGTCTCATTGGCAAAAGGTATTGAAAGAGTCAGTCCTTGGGGGTTCCAAATGGTGGGTCATAACGCATGGATGATTGCTGAAAGGAAGGAGCAAGATTTACAGGTGGGAGAGGTGGAAATGTTCAAGTGTACGAACTGGGCAAAGTAGGAAATGTTATGAAATAGCTGTCGTGAATATCCTCTATGCAGCTTCCAGGTTGCAGTATTGCGTGGCGAGTTCCCGCCCCCAACCAGGATAAATAAAGACACAAGACACCAAATTTAAGGTTAAATGGGCGAATTAGGCCACAACTTTATTGAATTCAGGAATGAGAGGCATTGGCTTAGGCATTGGTCCTATCGACTATCTGGCTCCAGCCCATTTGCTGGAGACACGGGAAGGGTTAACACCATAGAGGGGGAGTCTCCTGCTGAGGCACGTCAACTAGGAGCTCCCCGGGTCACCGCTCGGGGGCGTGCCTTTGGCCCACACCTCCACAGGCTTCGGACAGGGCCACACCCACCGGAGTCCTTTATCGGACCACCCTTCGCTCTCTGGGGGAGGTGATGGTGTTCCTCCCCCCACACACATCCTCTTAACCCCTTCTTACCAATGCCTAACCGCCAATGCTGAGGAGTTGTGACGAGTTGCTACGAGGTAGGCGAAAAACCAAATGGCTGTAAATTGCCAATTGGGAAAAATTCCTACCATGCCCCTTGCGGCGACAGACCAAAGTCCATAGCAAAGTCAGAGACCTACCTAAAGCCTACCCACAGGGAGGGAGGGTGGGAAAACGTGGGGGCTAGCCGGCGAAAAGAGGGCGAGCCCCCTCTGCACTAGCCCTAAATAGGGCAGGCCACGGGAAGACGGGAAGACACGGCCGGGATTCCCCTGCTCTCGCGGGGGCTGAAACACCTGAGAGTAAGTCAACTGCAGTCAGTGGGGCTAACATTTGAGTAAATGTGCTCTACCTCCACTGTTGGAAGCAATTTGCATCTGGATACCAGGTCCTGGGACTCACAAGAAGGAAGACTACTGTTGCATTTGGGTCCTGCTTTCAGGCTCCCCACAAGAAGCTACTATGAGAACAGAATGCTGGGCTAGGTGGCCCACTAGCCTAATCCAGCAGGCTCTTCTTATGTTTGTACTAGATTACTCTGTGAAAAGTTATAAGGGAGATGCAATTTTACAAAGTTCAAGAAACATTGGGCTAACTGCTAACTGCTTGGCAGTTGTTCTCTATTTTGATTTCTCTGTTCTTTGCTGCAACGACAGAAAAGTCCCAGGATTGGTTTCTACCCACTCATCCCATAAACCTCTGACCCATTACACCACTTTTCTTCCACCTGTCAAGATGAATGCATCTTTCCCCAGTGAGCAATCAATTAAGTATTGAGAGTCGGACCCAGGGACGGCATTGCTGAAATACAAAACAAAGATTCCTAGGCTGCATGCGGAGGCACGAGGCCCCAATCAGTTATAATTCAGTATGAGAAAGGAAGATAGAGGAACCTCAGTCCCAAAGGCCTGGGCCTCTACCTGGCCTGCAATACATCTGATGTGACACTGGATGAGCAGAGTCATTCAACCAGTAAGTGCTCTGACTTTGTATTCCAGCTCACTCTGGGAGCCTTGGCTCTCAGTCCCAGTTTCCCATTTATAAAACAGGAACTGTGCCTAGTTCAAAGTTGCATTATAAAGCTGAACAAGATATGGAATGTAAACTTCCTTCCACATTAACAGCTCCCAGATTCATTTCATATTTATTTGGGAGTTTATCTTATTGAATTCAATGGAGGTACTCTACAAAAGGATGGAAAGACACCAACAGTTTTAGAGAGAGAGAGAGAGAGAGAGAGAGAGCACCTTTGGGGGCATAGCACTTACAAGTTAGCTCACGTAATAATGAAATATATATTTAATGTAGTTAATTAAAACATTACCAAAACAGCAATGTATTCCCCCCCAAAAGCAATGATACTAAAAGCATTTTAAGAACAGCTCCATTTTAGACCAGCAGAACTAGGAGACCTCCTTTAAGAGAAGGCAGTCTGAAATAAATACAGCCCACTTAAAAGCATGTAATGGTGGAGCCATGTACACCTCAGAGAGTTGCAAGTGATTTTGAAATGGGCATCGCATTTCTTTTGTACTATTGTCACTTCTAGTTAAACAGGGCAAGCCACTTTTAAAAACAACACTGAAACCTTTTAACTTAAAGTGATGGCTGTACATTCAACACGTCACCCTCAGCAGCAGGGAGCCCTCCTTCAAAGTGCCTTTGACTTGTGTGAAAACACACTTGCCCGCCTGCAAGCTTAACATGTGCAGGCTTTTAAGCTGAACACGTGCTGTGATTGCCAGGTAAAACCGGGGTTAGGCAGGTGCCTAGAAAGAGCATAGAGTTTTCTTAAGTTATTGATTTTTCAAAAAACCAAACATCTCTGATGTTTGCGCTCTTGCAGTTCCAGATGTTGGGCTTTGTGTGTTTAAACTCAGTTCCTGCTATTTGGACTGCAGCATCAATAATAACTGAAGGGGTGGGGTGGGGTGGGGTGCGGGGGCTTTATTCAGCCCAAGAGGAGACCACATGCCAGTGATAGGCATGGGCAGGTGCAAAAGTGGGTGGAGGAACTGGCATGATTCTTACCAGTGGCAGACTTTGCGCTGTAAAATTCCAGCGGCATCCTGCAACAAGCCAAAATTCAGTGCGCCCCCAATTCTCACCTTTCGCTGTTCCTCATTGTTGCAGCGCCCTCTTGGCTCAGCGCCCAGTGAGGGTGCACCAAACATATTTCTCTAAATCTGCCTCTGCTCTTACCTTTGCACGGCAAAAACCAGAGGTTTCAACATGCAGTCCCAGGCATCTGTCTATCCTCCATTCAGGCAAAGGAGAGGCATGAGGAGGAGAGTACGGATCAGGCCTGGCCCCTGGGCAGAGTCTTGAGGCTCAGAAACAGAGGCTTGAGGGCCGTATTTTGCCCTTAGGCCTGACGCTCCCCGCCCCAGATGATTTAAGTTATTACTGGTTTTGTTGTAGGTACTGTATTACCTTCCCTGTTTCGTTATAATATATTCTGAGACCTTCAGCTACCGGGCGGGCCGTAAACGCTTGAAATAATAATAAAACACAGAATAAAAGTTCAGTCCTTGGGGACCGAGGCCGAGGCCCCGGGCGGTTTCTTACGGACGTCTTCCCGTGGGGCTTCAAGGATCCTGTCAGCGCCAGAGCCGCCATGGAAGCGGCGGAGTTCCCGGGGGAGGTTTCTCGGGGGGCTTTGCTCGTGTTCGTGCTTATTGTAGACAAATGTTCTCCCCGCCGGGGCTTCCCCGGCTCTCTCGTGCTGACGGCTGGCTGCACATTGCTCAGGAGGTGCTCGGAGCTCCCGGGCGTCTTGCCGCCGCTTTGCTTTGGGAAGCGCAGTTGCCTTTTTCTCTCTCCCGCCGCACCCCTCAGCTCCCCTTGGCGAAGCCGGGCCCGCTTTCACCTCAGCCGCCCGCCCGCCCGCCTGGCTGTATGGCTGGCTGGTTCAACTGCAGAAGGGCTCGCTCGGCCGCTAATTACTCCATCTGTTTCCTATGCGAATTCACCTGCCTCCGGTTTTATCGAGTGCTTTCCTTATTGCAAACATTTCTCGGGCTCATCTGGCACTCAGTTTCCTGGAAAGAGAGATGGGGGCCCAATGCCCGCTCCCCCCAGCCTAGTAGCGGGGTAGGATTTGCCAATGAAGCGAAATAGGCGGCTGAGGAAGGCCCGAGGCAAACGTGGGGTGGGGGTGGGCCCAGGGCAACGATGTGCCCGTGACGTGAACGAAGGAGCCTGCTAAAACGCTGGTGGGAGAGCGAACCGGATGAATTCTTCAACCCGAAACAAGCAGGACAATTGCAAGACAAAAGCCAGCGCCACGCATTTCATAGTCCTGCATCACCCCCTTTCCCTCACAGTTCTGAAACTCCTGCCCTGTATTCGATTTCTTCCTCCCTTCGTCCCAGGCTTATTGCTCCTTTTCCCATTCTCACCGTTTAAAGTACCTCGCAGTACATACAGTTGCAACTGTCCGGGCTCCTCCTCCTGCTCTCTTTTCCCCTGTTGCTTTTCCTTTGAAAGAGACGCGGCTTTCCCACTCCCCCTTTTTCTGTCTATGCCGCTCTGTAAGCACCGTGTTCACCAAGAGTCCGTGTGCGTGTATAACAGCAATCCATCTCCATCCTTTCCCTGCCTTGTTTCTTAAGTTGGAACTTAAATTGTCAGATGGTTTCAGTCTGTATTGTTTAGACAGATAGAGATGAATATATAAAATTGTGTAGGGTTTGCATTGTATAAAATAAATAGAACTCCCTGCCTATTGACATCAGGTGGGCGGCTTCACTATACTCTTTTCAGCACCTGCTATAAAAACAAGCTCGTTTAGACAAGCTTACCCAGATAAGTAGAATGATTACATGTGTCTTAATCTTTTTCTTAGCTTATTGCTGATTTCATTATTTGAATGTTTTAAATAGCCGCATTTATCATTTTTATTTTATTTTTATAAGCCCCTTGAGGTGGGGTTTTTTTGCTATATAAATTGTACGAAATAAAATATATAAAACATTAAACCAGTCACTCAGAAGGCAATGCAGCGCAAACCGCCACCTTCTTTAGTGCTTCGATTGTCCACCTCTGTCCCTTATACTCATTTCCTTACATTTCTCCCAGTTGCAGACATAACTGGTGTTCTAGCTGAAGTGGTGGAACAGGATGGCAGGCAAATGGAACATTTTAGCACTAGGACCCTATGCCGCCCTAAGAGATTGCCCTTGATATCTTTTTTTTTTTTTAAAGATTTTTATTGGTTTTCAAAAATATAAGCATTAGGTTTCCCCCATTCCCATCCCTCTGCCTGCCCTTGATATCTTAAAAGCTCAGGTGAGCTGGCAGCCTGGCACACCTCACTTTTAAAATTCTTTGCACCCCAGAAAATGGTTCCCATAAAAACATCACCATATCCCAGCCTATACCAACCTAGTGCCCTCCTGATGTTCTGGACTACAACTCCCATCAGCCTCAGCCAGCACAGGTTGCCCAAGACTGCCATGTTATCAGCTTTGCTATTCTAACCTAGCATAAAGATCTGAGTATTCGTTCTTCAAAGCTGCACCCCCCTCTAGTCCCTATACGCCGTGATGATGTGTGCTACTGCAGCATACAGAGTGAGAAGGAAAGAAAGGGTAGCAAACCCAGTCCCTCCTCACCTTACAGCCATCACCAGGCAGTGCTTTAACCTCTGCAACTTCTAAACTGGCCCACCCAATCATCCATATACCAGGAAGCATGGTAAGGCAATTAGAGATTAACTTTTACTGAAGGTTTTTGCAGGGTAACAATAAGATAAGAAATGTTTGTGAAAATCAGTTTTTTTGTCTTTTAAAAAAGCACAATCCTTATTTTAAAAGCATTTGGAGAGCACAGACGGAGCCCCTGTAGAAAAAGAAGAGAAGGGTGCAAATGGAATCAGAAGAACTCTTGAGATGGCTGGAAACTGTTAAGTGTTGACAGGAAACAGGGAAAGAGGCTACTCTCAGTTTAGCTGGATGAAATTTCCTGTGTTCTTTATATTTGCTCTCACGAAACTTGTCAAAATGTTTTTATAATTTTTGAAAAAACTTGCAGTGTTTCTGCTCTCCCACCACCACCTCTATTTCTCTCTCTGATTGTCCAGATGTGAAGAAATGGAACTGTTTTACCATTTTATGTTTTGTTCTTTGTTATAAAATGGTTGTGTGGTTTTTAGAGGCGGTAGGGCCCAAGGCTTGATTTGGTAGCGAAGGAGAAAATGAAACTTAAGGACAAAAGTTGGGTAGAGGAGAAAAATCTATTAAATTAGGGGAACTGGAAACTTTGCATGACTCTACTCTTCTGACTGGCCATGAAGCAGGGAGGGAGAATTAAAATAGTCTATGTAGGTGATAAACTAGAATACTGCAAGGACAGCACCAGTACAACAGAGACAAACTAGCTAAGGCTGCATACATGCCATAAAGCACATGACTTCCTTCAAAGAGTTTGGGGAACTGTAATTTACCCCACACAGAGCTACAATTTCCTGCACTCTTAACATACTACAGTTTTCATGATTCTATGGGGAAGTCATGTGCCCATGGGCTTTCCTTCCAATGGGAGGCCAAGGATCTGCAGAACATAGCACAATTGTAACATGTTCCACAGGTCAACCCAGCAGGTTGCAAACAGTATACAGAAGAATGGAGATCTACCCTACAAGAAAGAGTTGGGAGATTCCCAGATACTGGCTGGCACCCAATCTTGTCTATGCTCAGGACGTGTGCCACAATACTAATTTCTGATCTGCCAGCCACACACACCCTGGCACCTTTTCATCAGTAGAAGCTGATCCGTTTGGGCAAATGGGGCACTGTCCCACCAACTTCAGTCTGCCCTCAGCCAGCCTCCACCTGCCTGCTTTCTTACTTACAAGCATTTTAGGAAGTGATGCTCCCTGTCCGCTTCCTCCCCGTAGTCTTAAGTGTTGCTGCTGTAGAACTCAGCAGGGAGAAGAATGGGAACAAAACTAGAATGAGCTGGCCCTGCCTCTCCTTGGCTCGGGCGCCACCTCCTATTGGTCTCCCTGCTTTCTGGCCTGCCAGTCTCAATGGACACCAGCCACCACTGTTTTCATCATCCAATCTAAACTCAACTCTTATCTTTTAAGAGGGTTATCTTTTCCCAAACCCATTATTCCCCATGAGCAGCCTCCTTGGCACCTCAAGCTCTCATTCTCCAAGCACCAGTAGCCAAGTTGTTTAACAAACCTGCTGCTGTAGTTCCTTGTACACATCCCCACCCCCCACCCCTGTCTGGCATGATATATAGCCACTTCCCTAGGCCAGCTGCCAGCCCCTGTGGAGCAGGTAGAACATGTTTCCTAGAGGCAATAAGCCCAAAGGGATCGGCCCTGTTGCCTCATCTACATTGATACACTCCAGGCCCAAAAGAGAAATCACACTAGAAAAGATGGATGAGACATTCCCTCCTGCCCAACACGCACCTTTTCCTTTATACAACTTTATGGCCTTTTCCTGCTGGATGCAGTGTCCCAGAGGGCAAGGGCAGAAGAAACCCCTACAGGGTTTGTCCTTACTATGCCGGAATGGGAAGCTACATTGCTATACATTCTTTCTTAACCCTCTTTTAAAAGGTGAGACATGGATCTCCTCCTCTCCAGGTGTCCAGAGAACCCGTTCAACACAGGAAGAGCATAACAAACTATTGCAGTGATCTCATAGGCATGGCCAGCTTCCATATTTTGCCATGCATGTCCTCTCTGTGCTCTCGGTTGCTTGTTGCATGGAATGTCTCTTTCCTCCAGGAGTGACAGCTGGCTCCGCAACTCTGGAGCTTCAGATGCCCTTGTTCTGCCATGAAGTGGCAGCCCAGATCCAGGAACGATAAATCATTCCCATATTCCTTCATCCGCACCCATTCTGAGAGGACCAATGACATCATTAGTGCTGTCTCCATCTTAAGGCAGCTTTGTATCAAGCAATCAACCCATCAATCATTTTATTTGTATGCCACCTTTCCAAAGTTAAAACCATCCTCAAGGCGTCTTACAACATATAAAAACCACGTAATCGTAAATGTAACAAAACAGACATAAACAATAAACAAAACATCAAAAAGAACACAACCAGATTGAACAATTTCAGCATAAATCATGAGATCACAAAATAGTATCAATAACAGCAACTATTCCCACTCCTGCTATAAAAAACCCTAAAAATACCCTAGCCCAAGAGTCATTCAGAGCCCTGCCCTTCTCCCAGGCCAGGTGGAAAAGGCCTGCAAGGCAGGAAGCAGGTCTTTCAGGACTCAAAGTCAATATGATTGTATGCCTGCAAGGCCCCTTGTCCCCTATGTGCCTTGGATCAAACAGAATACCCATGTTGTCCAGAGCTGCTAGATCAAATGGTTTTGCATTCTGCCCACAGCAAAATCCCCTTGTGTGTGGCTGCTTCTGTGAGCTTACCTCTGATGTAGGAAAGAGGGAAAGTCAGCAGAAAGGACCTCTCTTTTTCCTGGTGTTCCTTTTATCTGTGCGGCTGTCACTGCCTCCATAGCTGCTCCTCCCACACTAGTCTGAGAGCGTGTGCAGGCTTCTGCTCACGGCTCGGGAGGCCATACATTGCAGAAACTGGCATGTTGGGAACAACCACTTGAGCAGAACTTGTCTGTATGCATCCCTCGACCACTGCAGACCAGCCACCAGAAGCAGCCGTAAGTGTTCTGATAATGCAATGTGCAATGGGTGTCCCAGGTTCAATATTCCCTGGTGGAAGGGTACCAGACTATATGGAAGCAGTTTCTACATCAAAGTGAGTGCATGCGAAGGAGGTCAAGCCAACGACAGTGGGGAAGGGACAGATTCAGATTTACTGCCCCCCCAAAAAACTTGGTTGCTTTAGTCACACACACATGCCCACAATAACAGATCACCCCCAGCGTTCGAAACTCCAGTTGTTCTAGGTGCATTTTGTGACAGGGAATTTCATTAGTGTGAGCAGTTTCTGAGCTTGGGGCGTAGTACTGCACCTAAAATTTCAGTTTAAACTTGTGGAGTGGAAGGAAAGGAGGACCCTTTTCTGCCTCCCCACTTCCAACTACTCTCAGAAGACTGGAGAAGAGACCCTCTTAAGAATATTTGAGGGGTGGGCAGAGGAAGGACTATGTGAAAAATGAATGTAATATTTTAGCTGAGTTCGGTCATTTTCAGCTTTGTCTTCTTGTTATAAAAAAAGTACGCCTAGACATTCTGTTGTTGAGCCCATAACCTAGGCTTAAGGTGCCATTTAGCTCCTAGTTTTCATATCTCAGTTTCTAATACTGATCACCCCCACGGGGAAACAGCACCAAGTTTATTTGAAAAGGTTTCAATGCTTTGTCGCACACAGATGCTTTGTGGCTCTAACATCCATCAGAGTGCACTAGGAGGTCTGAGGCAGGTCCTGAGGTAAAATATTCTTCTATCCCTGAGCATAAGGAATAAGGAAGGACCATAGCTCAGTGACAGAGCATTTGCCTTGCATCCCAGGTTCAATCCCCAGCACTTCCAGGCAGGGAGGGAAAGACCCCTTTTGAAACCCTGGAGAGCTGCTGCCAGTCAGTGTGGGCCATACTGAGCTAGAGGAACCAATGGTCTTACTCCAAATATGGCAGCATCATATGTTCCTAAGAGGCAGCTGGATAAAGTGGGGTGATTGTCCTCTCCGATGCAGTTCCGTTTTTGGCCCTGGGGAAGCGGTTTCCTCGACACGGCCGGTACGTGTGAAAGGGGCTCTAGTCATGCAAGAGCGAGGGAGCATGTGACATGTGGCAACAAGCAGGGAGCTCCCACGTCTCATTCTCTTCCTCCCCTCCCCTCCCCGCCTCTGGCTGCCACTCCATTAACTCCGCTGGGATCAGTCGATAGCAGCGGTAATTGTTCCCTGCTAAAATGCATTCCCGCTGTTTAGAAAGGCTAATCCAGAAGCTGCAAAGGTCAAGTGCTGACATTTCCCAGCGCGGTTCCTGATGCAGAGACAGAGCCACAGGGGCCGGGGGGGGGGAGCCCCAAAGGAGCATGTGGAACCAACCTCAGGGATGGGTGTCGTATTCACGCAGGGAACACTTGCCGTTCCACCCTTCTACGAAGGTGCATAGGTCTCCCTGCCACAGGTTCTGGCTGAAAGAGCTCTGCAGACAAGGAGACTTCAGGAAACTTGGTGTGGAGTCCTGGTCCTCAGCCCTCTCTGCTTTATCCAGCCGATGTGTCCAAAGGACTGGGGATCTGCCTAAGTCACTATGAACACACTCAACTGTCAGCAAATCACTCGTATGCCTGAAGTTACATCATTCTCCCCATCCCACGCTCCCTGAAAGCATGTTTTCTTTGCTAAGGTGGTCTGTTGTATAGCTGAAGGGACATTCAATAGAAAACTCTGTCCCAAAAGGGCACAAAACGGCTCTCCTACGCTCCTTGGGAGGCCTAGGCCACACCACAATGAGCAGCTCCAGCTGTGGCACTGGAAAGGTTTTCCTTTTGGAAACGTTTGCCTTTCAAATCGTTTCATCACAGTCTCAGGTGCCACATCAAAAAGGCAGACCAGAAAACCCCAAGAAACCTGTCTGTTAAGCAATGAGAAGAAACGGCAGGAGCTAAAATCCTTCAGCAGACACACTGATGTCATGTCTTAATCCACTTCCCTCTCCCTCACTGTTGCCACCAGTGGCTCCTCTGGCTCTGGCTTTGTGGATGCCTCTCCCTCTTGATCCCCCACCCGCCTAGCCCTGCCATGCCCAGCTCTTCACCAATAATACCACAATCCACACCTAGTTTTGGGCTCTTATATCTCAGCAAGGCATTAGGGATGGGGACTGGTGCCTCTTCTGGTTGGCAGGCAAGGAAAGTGCATAACTGAGCTCCTCTCTTTGCCTCTGGATAGTTTATGACTCAGTTCACAAAGTATATCCATTTTAAAAGGCATTTAATTTCCCTCTCAGTAGCTGCCTCTCATGCT